TCCAGAGAGTTGAAAATTACAATATTTATAATTGTGAATAACAGCCATAGTTTCCTACCCATTTTTACTTATTATTTATTATAAATCTATCTAATATAACCATCGTCGTTATATTAAAAAAAATAACACAAAAGACAAACTTAGACAAAGTGAAAACTAAAACAGTAAAAATAATAATAATTAATTTATTAAAAATAATAATATAATTAATAATTATTCGGAAATTGTGAGATCCGGTCTGGTGTGACGTAGGTTTTAGAAAAACATTTTCTTTATCGTGCCAACGTTTCGATCTTTATTGAGATCATCTTCAGTGAGTGCCTCTCAACACGACAGACGGAAAACAAACACTTTGAGCCCTGAAGAAGATCTCAATAAAGATCGAAACGTTGGAACTATAAAAAAATGTTTTTCTAAAATCTACGTCACATCAGACCGCATCTCACGATCTCCGAATAATCATTTACTAACGGTCACTAAACACCAAACATAATTAATAATAATTAAATTAAAAATAATTTAGTGATTATAGTAATTCACAAAATTTGGTAAATATGTCAGTACAAAATGATACAAAGTCAGTCGTAAAGCAACCATGTTTGATGTAGTTGCAATACAACTCATACTCTCATGGATCGTATGAGATAATTATTTTAGATGCCAGGTTCGTAAAAGTGTGTTTTCAAAACTTCTCTGACCTTGTATGTTCAGAAAACAACAAGTACGAGTTTTCATTTGATGAAACTAGTTTCTTGCACGACTAAGAGGTTATCGATTGCAGTAATACATTTTTTTATTACTGTTGCTTTAAACGAAATTGTTACTTTTAGAATTTGTTATTCTTGCACGTTCGTCTATGTGAGATACCGATCTCGAATGTTACCAAATCGTGAATGATTCATTCACAACGAAACGCTTTGGAAGAAATCCATTTCGTAAAAATACACCCAAGGTTGGGACAAAATGAAGCTTTTTGGAGGAAAAAAACACTTTTAATTGTAATTAATGCTATTAGTGATGGCATAAAATGATTAACGTAAAGTGAGACCAATTGTGGAGGTGTAATAGCAACCTTGACAAATCTTTGGTCAAGACCTTGAAATTTGTGAGCCGAAGTACTTTTCTGACTAATCTCCCCTTTCGGCTTAAATAGAAAATCTGATTAAAATTTTTTTTCTCACAATAGTTGACCAAGATAAAATTACATTTATAGTGCCAAGGGCGGTACAATTATTTTTAAAAATAAAATATGAATGATTTGCTTTGGAAATCGTGATATAACAGTCCTCAGATCAAATAATATTATCTATAATATTGTCTATGGGTTTGCATAGTGAAAAACGAGTTAAGTATTTTTATAATTTCGAGGTTTTTCCATGGTCTTGCATAATCAAGAGTAAATATTTGACTGTAATTGTAATGTAAATGGCTAATCTTACAGTTTGAATAATATAAATTCCAATCACACAAGTGACTGTGCGAATTCTCCAGGCTTAAGAATTATATTGACAAACCATCAGGCATAAAGCCAACTGGAAATATACATATAATACATAAATATATAAAAGTCGAACTTTAGAAGGAAAAAAATTTTAAATTACGAGGGTTCGCAACTGCAGAGGTTATATCAACCCTCGGGGTGCGGTGCCGGTGTGAAAAAAGCCCATTTGCAAGTATGTCGGGTTTGAATGCAGGGCCGCTGGATTCGAACCCCGGACCTTTACCTTACAGTGATAAGCGCTGTGTCAACGCCTAAACCGTTGCGGCCACAGACGCCCCAATTCACTGTTATTGTACGCAGTTATATACTCAATGTACTCTTTTTTTCTCTCGCTCTTTGTAATCGCATTGAATCACGCTCAATTTTTTTCTATTACATTCTGATAGAAACTTGATTACGCATTAGTAAAAAGAATGACTAATGTACTGAAGTTCTCACCCGACTTATAACAACGATTTCTTAAAATTGTACATAAAATTGCAACTTGTTTGTTTACTTTATTATTTTCATATGTTCTTCTGATGAATTCTAATGACATTAGCCGCGATATGTAAGTAAAATATTGAGAGGCAGAATATTGGTAAAATTAACAACCATGATATCGATTTTCAAGGAAACTAAATAAAAAATAACATTCAGAGGGCAATTTCTTATTTAAAAACTTTAATAAAATCTTCATTAATTTAAAAAAAATTTTTTTTGCAAACAAGATGATATGGTCAATTTTTTTCAAATGTAATATCCTTTTTTCATACACGATGTATGTCTTTTCTATTGTAAAAAATATGATGCCAGAAACTGAAAAATTCTTTGATTCATTCTGGAGATATTGTTGTTTTCATTCAAAAAATTAATTAAAATTATCGAGTTCTAGAGGAAAACTCCAATATCTCCAGAAGGAATCAAACAATTTTTGAGTTTCTGGTATCATTTTTTTAGAATGGAAAGGATTTTAAAAATGTTTGGGAAAAAAATCATCTTCCAAAAGTCATTGGTGCTGAAGATATTGCAGTTTCCCTTCAAAACTCGATTATTTCAATTTGTTGTGCAACTGGTTGAAAATGCAGAGAAAATGAAAAATGTATTGAATAAAATGTGAAAACTAAATTTGGGTTGATTTTTTTAAAAATAACGTTAAAAAGCAACCATAAATCGATATGATCGATTTCTAAAGGAAAACCTCAATATTTCCGGATCAAATAAATGAATTTTTAAGTTTATCGTCTGATATTTTTAGAAAGGAAAGTACTTTCAAAATATGTGAAAAAGAGGACGTTGGGCCTTATCGAACCCGGCACCTTTACCTTACAGTGATGAGCGCCGTGTCAACGCCTAAACCGTCGCGGCCACCGACGCCCCGAAAAATTACTTTTAAAACCAGTTATAAATCAAAATAGGCAGCGTAAAAATAAAAGGCCGTGAATTTTATAATAACTCAAACTGTAGATGGTACTATATCAAAGATCTGTTATATAGGACATTGAGTTTTTTGTATATTCATATTCATAATTATGCCATAAAAGTTGTAAAATTTAAAAAATAGTTATTAGGATATTGATATAATAAGAGAAGACAATAACATTGCCAATTTCTTTCTATACCATTGAAAGGTCCGGCTCTACAAGTCTTTTTCAAATTTAAAATATATAAAGAAATTTTAGAATTCACAAACAATATAAACAATATACAATATGAAAACATGAACTTATGCTAATCTTGCCGTACCTTTGAAAACAGAAAACTTCCAAACTTGAATATATAGGAATAGATTATAACTTACCAAATGAAATGATAGAATTTACTACTAGATAATTTATAAATTTCATATAAAAAAAGTAATATACTATTCAAGAATATTCTAAATTGTATCCTTCTGATTTGTTAACATAATTCGAATTTTGTGGCAAAAATAAAAAATATTAAATTCTATAAATTTACTTTTTAGCATTATAAACTAATTACGGAAGAACGCGTTTTGGGGAATTAATTATCTTGGCAACCTTTTACATTTTTTAGAGGGTTGAGGGTGACTCATTGGGCTGGAATATACGCCAAACCAGAAAAAACCACGTTTATTTACATATTCTAATTACTAAACATTGTAATTTTATTATAGAGTAAATAAATACAGTAGCGCAGTACCTTAGAGACGGTGGGTTTTTCAAATTATACATTAAAGCTAATAAAAAATTTTAATATTAATAATTATTAAGCACAATCTTTTGTGTTCTGCAGTAGTTTTAAAAATAGTTGTTAATTGTAAGTAATGTCTTTTTAATTTTTAATAACACATATTCACACTTCGTGCTAACCAGCGGAAATAAATTTTGATCAGGTTTTGCATCAAAATCACATTCTAGTTGTTCCTAACATTTCGACTCAAAATTCTATTTGTTATTAAATCTCGTTTTTTAAATCTCGTTATTCTCCAGCCTAGGATTTATTTTTACTGATAAATCTTTTTTTACTGATAATATATATAATTACTGCATGTATTATTATATATATTAAAAGAGCTCTTAAAGATTTGCAGCAGGCTGTAGGTAGTATTTTTTCCTATATTATTTCAGACAAAAGCTGTGCGATGGGTCAAGAACACTTCTTACAAGTTACAACGAAATTGAAACAAAAAGTTTTACGACTTAGAAATCGGTCGAATTGTGAAAGAAAAGAAATATCAGTTCTATCAATGAAAAAGCTGCAAAACAGCCATGAATATGAAATCATTGTTTACCAACTGTTTAAACAACCACAATTTTCTCTCACAAAAACACTTGTTTAATAACGATGTGATAGGACATTTTAAAAATAGTTCAAAATCATCGTGGGGATAGCAATAAAATTAATACACAATGGAATACTTTTTTGAAATATTTTCTCTTCCATTCTTTGATAACTAGTTTTGTCATGATGTGTGTTAACTTGTGTCAACAAAGAAAATTCCTTGCACTATATTACAATATACAACCTTCAGTACAAATAATTAGTTTTGATTCTATAATTAGACATACAATATATAAGTGTCAATCACCTCCCTTTGATAAACTTTATTCCTAGAAAATTCTTTAATCTTTTACCTGTATTGATCAACATTTAATAATTCATAGATTCAACAATTGAATTGGCTAATCTGTATAACTAAAATAAAAAGATGTATCAGTGTACAATAATTACTTTGACATCACATAATATAAAAAATAATAATATGAAAGTATTAATTGATAGCATAGATAAAATTCTTTCCTTTTTTTTCTTTTCATCTTTATAAAAAAAAAACACACAATAAAACAATAGTTCATAGTTATAAAGATTTTTATTAATTATTGACGTAGGAAAAATTAAAAATAGTTCAATGATTCTAAAAATTCACCAAAAATTGTCACATTCAGTAAAAAAAGCTCCCCCTCCGAAAAAAACAAAACAAATTAATGAATAAAAATAAAATAAAACAGTTATTAGTCCATCGGTGAGAATCGATATTTAAACGTGTTGCACTTACTTGACTGGATTGTTGCTACCAAGCAGACGAAAAGGATTGCTGTTGTTGCTTGCATGTTTGTGGTTCGAGTTAGCAGGGGCGAATGGCTGGTCTGATCCCGGGGGTCCGTCGGGAAGGGAAGGAGTGCGACACCAGCGCTCGACCTAGCCCGAGATTACGATTTTATGACCTCTCCAATTAGAATTTACCGTGTCCACCCTAATTTTACATATTATGTCGGTTGGATAAATTAATTATTAATTAGGACAAGAGATTCAACGAGTTTTAAAAATAAAGCCCTGATCATCTGAACATTTTTATAAAATGCATATGTACATATAGACATATTTACAACTGTAATAAAACATTAGGACGAACAAGTCGGCTGGAAGTTACTATGATTTTTAACGGGGATTTTCTTAACTTGCTTCACTGTTTCAAAATTTTTGTTTGTTGTGGAGGAGTTGATAGCGACACATTTAATTACAGTCATTTAAGTCTGTGCGGGTTCCATGTCATTCTCTTGCCCATGAAAATTCCAAAATGCGCAGTGTACAGTGGACAACTGAAATTCTTTTGGCAATAAACGAGAAAAAAATTGAAAAACGCTATCGTACTCTTCCTCTCTCTCTCACCCACCNCTCACACACACACACACACACACACACACACACACACACACTCACAGAGTTTCTTCATCTTTATTTTGATTCCTGTTTTCCACCCTCACACACTCTATCTTCTTCTTTCTCCTTTCCTACCAACCTTCATTTCCTTAATTTTACATTTCATTCTCTCTCTCTCTCTCTCTCTCTCTCTCTCTCTCTCTCTCTCTCTCTCTCTCTCACACACACACACACACACACACACACACACACACACACACACAAACACAAACACAAACACCACGCACACACACAAACGCAGAGTTTTTCTACTTAGTTTAGGTTGCTGTTTTGCATCCTCACTTACTTTATCTTCTTCTTTCTCCCTTCCTACCAACCTTTATTTCCTTAATTTTTCATTTTATTCTTTCTCTCCTCTCTCTCTTACTCTTTCTCACTCTTTATCTTCTCTTTCTCTCTCCCTCTCTCACAGACACAGAGTTTTTCCTCTTTGTATTTGTTCCTGTTTTCCACCCTCACTCACTTTATCTTCCTCTTTCTCCTTCCTACCAACCTTTATTTCCTTAATTTTTCATTTTATTCTCTCTCCCTCTCCCACCTATTCTCTCTCACTCTTTATCCCTCTCTCTCTCTCTCTTTCTCTCTCTCTCTCTCACACACACACACACACACTCTCGCGCTCGCCGAGTTTTTTCCAGTTTTGGTATTCCGGTTTTCCACCCTTACTTACTCTATCTCATTCGTTCTCCTTTCCCACCAACATTTATTTCTTTGACTTTTTTATTTATTTTATATTTAATTCCACAGCCAACAAGACCAGTGTCGAATTTCTTTTTTTCAGGAAAAATAAAATGGCGTATATCTCGAAAATCGTAATGCCATCTGTTCCAAACATCCACAAATAATCTCGCCAGTCGCGTAAAAAATATCTGAATCTTTATTACAATCATAGCGCAAAAAATTATCTTTTTGAGAGATGACTAATACTTCTAGGCATCGTGTTTACTTTCTTCTGAGTAATCCATACAAATAAACACAAATATGAATTATGGAATGTTAACGAGACGATCTTTTATGTTTACGACAGCTTAACTAATTTAAAAATACCGATTTTTTCATGTTGATTCAATTACTTCTTCGTTGAAATGCAAATTTATCTGTTTATAAGACAATAAAGGGCTTCATTTCAACACACTGCGTAATAATTTTCTGAAAATTTCCTCTTGTGCTAAAATATCAAAGATCTAATATTTGGGTTAATGTTATTGTAGTTTTTAACAATTATAACATTAAGTTACTATAGGAGATAGGCAGTAAGTGTTTTTTTGATTAGAATAAAATTTGAAAAAAAAATTCAGAAATGAGAACTATCCTCCAAACAGTTGTAAACAATTATACTATTAATTACGCATATTTTGCCCTGTTGAAAAATTTTTTTTTCTCAAACTTGTTCGGAATTTTATCCATTGGTTTTAAACTAAAACAAGTAACAAAAAGTCCGTTCATGATTCCATATATAATTAATCAATATGACCATGTACATACAAGTGTAAAACGTACAGAGAAGCTATATAATTTGGCCATAAAGGGAACAATTATTCTGATGAATAAGAATGTTTATAACAACATTCAATAACGTTATAAACCAAATAATAAACATATTTATTTAATGTGAAAGTGCATATTATGTGTACAAGTGTTCATCTACGTTCTATACATTTGCAAAACTATTTTTATTACATTGCAGATAGAATATACATATATGACTGCTACTTTCTTTGATAATATTTTTTTGTGCTTATTGAAAAATAACTGGAAAATTCTATTTGTTTTCTTTATAAATTAGTAAAATGAGTAAATATATTCTAAACAAATGTTGTAAACTTTTCAAATATATGAAATTTGCGAAATTGAATTCATTTGGTAAAGAACTTAGAAAGGATTGACGAAAATAATTTAAATTGTGAGATTACTTTTTTGGGTTTGTGAGATGAATACTCCTGTAGTTTGGTTTCGGATCATTTTTGTCTGCGTATCCTCGATGTTTTGGACTGGCAGACAGTTTTCGGCTTTTCGCCATCTGCAATCAAGGTTATAAGCAGGGTGAGACATGTCTATCCAGCACTAGAAGTGCCGAGAATCTGAAACATGCCTGAAATAGGCTGGAGAATTGATCAAAAAACGACCAAACTACAGAAACATTTGTTGTGAACCCTCCAAAACGATGATAGTGCTTTGATATAAACCAGCGGAACGGACAAATAATCCGAATGGACATCTTATCACTAAGGACTTCCTGAACATTAAATTATGTTTAATAACTTTAATTGATGAGTAGTAAATAATTATGGTATTGTTTTCACAACGGACTCATCATAAAAATTCATGACTATTTCAAAATTGGCGAGTGCATAAAAATCGTGCCCTGGATCACTGGACGTTCTTCAAAAGATCCAGGAGAATGTGAATTGCCAGCGTCAGACACCCAAAGCGGAACACAGCGTTGTGCAGATTCACCGCGCTGTTGCATCCGTCGCTGTCGCACGTCTCGCAGAAATCGGTGATGTTCTGGCAAATATCAGCTTTACCACATCCGCGAATCGCCAAATCTCCCACTGAAACAACGATGCAAATTACTAATAAAACGAGACAGGATAACTAGCTTTAATTAAGTTTCACAAAATTAAACTTGTCTTCATCTTGTCTGTTTTTGGTTGAAATAACGGGTAGTAGGCTTCAGTATTTTATAGTGGATAAATTGGTTTCGGGGTCTATAAACTGCCTGAGTTTATTGGCCCCCAAGCAAAACTTCGATCAATGAGAGAACAAATAGTCAAGAACCAAACAATTTAATGTCACTGAAATTGTCTCATCAATGGGAATGTTGATTTCAGTCTAAAATAAGTCAATACAAGAATCGCATTTGGACGGGTAGTAAATTAGTTTTGGCCGTACAAATTAGAACGTAATCATTATTTTGCATTGAAATTTGTACAACTTAATTTGTTAAACAAATGAAATTTTTTGTAACATATAAAACTGCTGTTATACACAAGTTTCAGTGCAGATCAATAGTTCATATGTTCTTACATAAAAACTGTTTATAAATTTTGAAAACTTCCGTTCTGTTTCACAGTTTAATACTTAATCTTTATAAAAGAATCCATGCGATATAACAGACCAAGGGTTCCGAAGCCCATTTGTGAAACTAGAAACTCAAGTTTTACGAGAAAAAAAGAAGCAAAAACACACAGAAAAGCCTTAAATTATTTACTGAAAATCAAAAATGTTCTTTTGTTAGTTTAGGTGTAGAAATACTCCTGAAGTTTGCCAATTTGTAAATAATCATGTAAAGAAAGTAATTAAAATAATTCGTCCAACAGGAAAGAGCGAGAGGAGAGAGAGAAAAAAAAGAGAAAGAGAGTGAGAGAGAGGGAGAGAGAGAAATAGAAAGGGAGATAGGGTACAACTAGCTAGACAGATGAATAGATTAAATTGATAAAGCCAGCGAGAAGAGAGTGAGAGAGAGAGAGAGAGAGAGAGAGAGAGAAGGCTAAGGGTGTTAAACAGCTTTAGATAAGCCGGGGCGTTTCCTGTGGTTTTGCGTTTAAGGTTTGTGAATTCGAAAGAAGTAGTATTTTGACTAAACTAGGATTTCAGTCTTTTATTGTAGGCGTATTTGATCAAGTAAGGCTTTGAATCATCATCGTGGTTGTCTTTCCACTATGGGAAGTCTGATAATAATGCTTGCTTCCTCATTTTTGTTAGATTTTTTCTTGTTTATCATTAAAATATTTTGCTTTGATGGAAACAGTGACTGTCTTGGATGTGTGGGTAATAAAATGATATGCCTGTAAGAGATATCCCATATCTTTAGAGAACACTTGATAATGGAATTAACATGTTTGAGTCAAATGTAATAGAGAAAATTGGTCTATTCAGTCTCGAGTTGAGTTTTTACTTGGAGGTTAGGGAGCAAAAGAGACCCGAATGACAGAGAGGCAAAGATAGGAAGAGAGAGAGAGAGAGAGAGTGAGAGAGAGAGAGAGAAAGAGTCACACAGAGAAAAGAGAGAATGTGAATGAGAGAGAGAGAGAGAAAAAATGGAGAGAGAGTGTGAGTAGACAGACAGAGAGACAGACAGACAGAAAGACCAACGAACAGACAGATAAAGACAAAAAACGAGTTGCAGAAAAAGGAATGGCAGTAGTGAAAAATACGAATAGCATTTATAAAAAGCATAAATAGGAAAAACCAAGATGTAAATATATTGAGGACGGTAGAAAGATGGCGTGAAAGGAACAGAAAATGACAGCTGGTAAAAAATAAAGACGAAACGGTAGCAAGGAGATAATAAGATACCTCGAAAACGTAAAAATATAAATAATAAAAGAATGGCCATTTTTACAATATTATAGAACAATGTTAGTCAAGTCAGAGTTTCGAGGGAACGTTTGTTTAACCAGTTTCCTTTTTTGTCTATTTTACGTAATTCTCGCGACCACCCAGACCTTTACACACAAACTGTACGATATCATCTCATTTTTCTTGTAACTGTAACGTATGTGTGTGTATTTTTTTAATATATTTCTTATTTGTGGTCATATTAAGTAACTACAGAGTGAACAAGGTTTTGTACTGAAGGCTGGTGTTTCGTCATTGCCATTTATTCCATAAAAGCTCTTCAAGGCGTAGCAGTTATGCTTATTGGTGTTCTTCTACAGTTTGCTCCCTTTTTTGAGTAATCAAATGATATTTAATTTATTTTCTTTTTGTTCAAAAAATGTTATAGATCCATGCTTACACTCACATTATTCATATTTTTAAGATGAATGATATCATTTCGTGCGTCTTTTCTTCTACTTTTCTATTTCTGTTCTTCTCTACCACTTGAGCTATCGTGACTTCGATTCACTCGGACAGCAACTCCCCATCTCGACCTACAACCTTTCGAATTTTCCCTCTTTTTGCCATTTTTCAAAGTCGATCAAATCGAACTCACGATAGCTCAAGTGGTAGAGCAGCGGTATTTGACCGAACGCCGTGGGTTCGAATCCCGCTCATGACACAACTTTTTCATTTCAACGAAAACCTTACATACAAAGATTAAATAACTGATAGAAGTAATTTGATCAATACACCACTAAATATAATGGATTTAATAAAATAAAAGTAAAGTAAAACAATTTCACCAAAAATGTGGCTATGGAAATGATGAACAAAATCAATTCGTTACGGAGTATTTCCTCCTCTTGCGTTGATCACCGATTGCATTCGACATGGCATGAGGTTTTGAATATACAGCCGTGGAATATTTTCACCCTCCTACAGCGCCATTCTTCTGCGAATTCTCAGGTTTGAATTTTACCCTCTTTGGCAACTCGTCTCGAGGGTGTTCGATAGAGTTTAAATCTAGATTAAAAGCTGGCCACTCCAAATTGAATAGCTCATTCCAAGTCGTCACCAACGATCCTATCTGTGTGGGGCCTTGCATAATCATGCATAAAAATAAAATTGTCACCAATTAGGCATATAAGGAACAATTTCTTCTGAACAACACATCTCAATGTTTGGCGCAGATATTAAGGAACGGTCGATGAAGTTTGTGCGATCTTCCATTGAAACGCCTGCCCCGACCATAACCAAAATGTTGCGAAGATATATCAGTATATCGATTACGTCTCCTGTCCTTCTCTCGGCCGTCAGAACACCACAAACAAAATCTTGACTCATCCATGTCACATAGAACTCGGGGTTACTTTTGAGTAATCGGTTTAAACTACAACCATTAAAATTTGTGATGAAAGAAATTTAATAAAATATTAAAAAAATAGTATATACTAAATACAAAGTATTTTGAGTTAGAAAATTTAATTTTTTGCAGTAACAAAATTTAAAAGTAAAAACAAAATATATATATAATAATGCGTCCTTCTAAAATGTTTCATTGTGGGCTCTAAATTAAAATATTTTGAAAATTATTTGTAGCTCTAATATTGTTTTCCAAAGAAATTTTTTTTTCTAAAATTTCAATTTTTCAATAGAGAGTTTATGAACCATTGTGCAGCATTCATCACTACAATGTGTTTGGGATCTGGTTTCTGGTCAGGTAGAAAAAGAAGTTGATCACTTGCCAAGCTTTCGGCCTTTATAAGACCATCATCAGAGAAGCATCCTATTTCTCATATTAAAGTTACAGAATGACGACAAAACACGACGACGTCGACTACGAGGTCTCGAAGTACATGAGGTTGGTTAAGTTGAAATTAAGACGTTTTTTCATTTTTTTCAAGGATAGTGGTCCTTCCAAAATACAGGTCCAGTCGATAAATAAAACGTTGATCATTTTCATCACCATAATGTAAAGTGGGTTCGAATCATGAGACATTGAATTAGGTTTTTCGGGGGGATTTTTACAACTGAGCTTTTATTCAAAAATTCTCGGCTGATGTTTTTCCCTGTTGCGAGCTCCTGTAAAAAAAATGTTACATTGTGGGCTCTAAATTAAAATATTTTGAAAATTATTTGTAGCCCTAATATTGTTTCTTAAAGATAGAATTTTTCCAAACTGAAGGAGAATCTACCGTACCCAATTGTCCTAGCCTTTCTTCATCTGGCTATCATCTCTTACAGGCAACGGTCAATGACGTGTAAGATTTAAAAAAATCCATATCCAAGAGATGGTACCGCCATGAATTAAGTGGCTGTAAATGTCAATAACCATGGAGTACCAGGATCTAAATTTCCAATAAAAACAAGTTTTTCTTACTATGAAATAAATTTAATTACAAATCTTTAATAGTCTTGTTTACTAGTTTGTCGTATTGCAATTTTTTCTCATTTTGTCGAGTGGGATTTTTTTTAAATCTTCTGATATGCATTTTCTTTGGCATAAGCAGGTGTTGTTAAGATACACTTGATCTTGATCATTAGAAGTTAGTGCGATATTCATGTTTTTATATTTTTATTTTTGTTGTATTGTTCTATTTTGTATATTTTGCAGCTCAAATGGTTCATGAAATTTAGTCGTTTCCAGTCATCATGTTTAATTCAAATTGTTCTGCTTGCCCATTTTTTTCGAAGTAATCGTTCATTTCGTATCATTTTAGTTTTAACTTGTAACAACAGCCAACATAGCTTTAATCAAATATATGTTGGGCGTTAAAATTAGTATTCCTTGCTTGGTATTAAATATTGAATTAAAATTATTTCATTTTTTTCAAACTTTCCTTTCCGCATACAGCACAGTGACTTTATCGAACCGATTGAAACTTAGGGCGTGGTCGTTCTTCAATTTGGTAAAAGCGGTGATCACACCATCACGTCGACTACACGCCACAACCCCTCCCCATTCCGTGGCAATCAAAGGCATAATTTATGGCAGGGTGGAACTATAGGGCAAGACATCACCACGAGTTACAACTTAAAAAGGGACTTTCTTTCTCTTCTTATTTTTTTTCTTCTTTCTCAGTGGGGGGTTGAGTGACTCACTAGGTCCAAGCATAATGGCTTAGTCAACGATTCTTTTAGTTTTGCCAATCGTTAGTTTCACCAGAGTAATCAATTGAAACATAATAAAACAGCAAAATTAATAAACAAATAAATTAGCTTGTTGAAACATGGACAAACTATCACAATATATAATACGCATTAATTTTTTGAAACGTTTTCGCTGCTTTGTGCAATTACTATTGTACATAATCTATATCTTAAACAACCAGATAATCCGTTTTGAAACAGTTTGTTTTTTCTTTTTGTAATGTTTTTTAGCAAAATATCTCACAATCAATCGGTATGTTTGTTTGTTAATACAAAAGTGATACATTTGATTTTAAACGTTTAAAAGTATATCATTCAACGTTTTATTATCAATAACAACTAAAAATGAATATACGTGTTTCAAATAAACGTTATTTATGGATTTGAACTGCTTATAACATTATTTAGAAGGCTCAGCGAATTTAATTAAATCATTTCTTTAAAATACTCCGACAAAAAATATTAAAAACTAGTCCGTGCGACATTGTTGTGCATATATTTGAATGTAATTATATATCAGTAGATTTGTTTTTGACATACTATAAGAAAATAAGCAGGAGTCTCAATAGAACAAAAGGCAGAAGAAAAATTCAGGAGGAAATCAGATATGGCTATACAGATGGTTCCAAAAGAAATGAAGGAAACGGGTCAGATATTTTCAGTACAAGCCCAAAATATGAGGATTTGAACTCATTAGGGCCAGTACACCTTGGTATTTCAAGCTGAAAACATGCCATCAACGCTTGAGCCTTAAAAAATCTTAAAAGAGGTAATACTGACAAAAATCCTCATAACATCAGATTGCCGAGATGCCCTAAAATTTCATATCCATCTAAAATCTTCAAAACCTGGAAAACACAACAACGTGGAAATATATTGGGTGCCTGGGCACAAAGGAATTTCGTGTTGCGAAAAGTCAGACAAACTGTCAAAATGAGAGGATCTACAATGGCCCTGAATCAACACTTAGAATGAAAAAAACAAACATAGAATTCAACAATGACTACAACCAACAACCCCCATCCTTACAAATACTTTTAAACTTACCTCCATTACAAACACAACTGTATACAAGTAGAGATTAAGAAAATCTCGTATAGACTGCTAAAATATAAAATAAATAAATAAATAAATTGGATGGGCACTAAGCATTACGGGTATACTACAACAATAACCAAATCAACTCAATCAGACACCCATTTGGCGACTGATTATACGAATTTGGAAACATTCAAACTTTCCAACATCCTATAACGTTTGAACTGACAACGAAGTAGAAGAAGTAATCAGGATGAAATCGAGTACAATTATGTAGATGGACCCAAAACAACTTAAGGAACTCGTTGAGGTATATTTGGTAGAAGCCCAGAACGTACAAAACCTAGAAATCAAACTCATTAGGGGAACACACCTCCGCTTTCCAGCTGAAATACATACCTTCAACGTTTGTGCCCTAGAAAATCTTGATCTTCGGTCAACCACGTGAAATGCCCGGATATGTACTACAACGTCTGGTCATTTTGACTCAACTCTGTTTTTAAGTGCAATGAGTCATATTTTTCAACATTTTTGGGAAATATTAAGAACTTTTTTTAAAAGTTTTTACTTTTATTAACCTTGTAGGATACAAAACCACATTTTTTTCAAAATAAAGGGTTTAAAATATATTGTAATCACAATAAAGTACAGTCAAGCAAGGAAAAACTCGAAGATTTTGGGAAATCTTTCTTTGTAAAAATTTAACTTCGAGTTTTTGATATTATCTACAAAACTACAGTCAAACGTCTTCATAAAGTGCACATTAAATTCTTATAAAATGAAGATGAAAAAGGGAACTTCACAAAAATAGAACACAGTATCACAATGGAACAACAATGACATACATACTCCGAAAAACGGGAAGCAAAGAAGGAAGACAAATCTGTTTTTGGACATCACTGCTCGAAAAATCAATGGTCTAAATAGACGACAAAATATGTTGGGTGCCTGGGCACAAAGGAATTTCGGGTTGCGAAAAGGCAGACAAACTGACAAAATGAGAGGATCTGCAATGGCCCTGAATCAACACTTAGAATGAAAAAAACAAACATAGAATCCAAGAATCCAAGTCTATGTCTGAGACATTCAGGCTAAAATCCACCATAACGCCGCTGAAAAATGAAAAGCCCAGCAAAGCTTTCACTTCAAGACCATCTGTGGAGCCAATATAGCGCTGGTCAGGACTGTATTGAGTTTTTATTTATCAATCTCTTTATTGGTATATTTTACAATGACATCAATCATGGTTTGGTTGATGAATAAGGAATACAATGATTCTTTATCTACAAGGTTCCGAGCATATCCTTTGGCACAAGGCAAATGGTTAATCATATTCTTTGAAGCTAGTCTGACGTTTCTGGACGGTAAAAGATCGGTGTCAGTCCAGAGAGTTTCGCCATCTTTGCCCAACTGATCTTCCCATTTCACGTCGTATTTCTTCGTCAGTTACAAAATGTGAACTATTTACCGTGGCTGAAACACTCCAGAAAGATTATAAAGAAAAGCATCGAGAAAACTAATTAAATTTATAGAAAAGAAATTAAATTTGAACTAAAACTAAAAGAACATGTCGTACAACGTGGGGTCATATTGACCCATACCATGATTTTTCTTACCTTATTCCAATATTACGAGGTCACTTACCTGTGAAAAGGGTTCCAGTGGCGTCCACGTCTACAGGAAGACTAGAAGGAAAGCTACTCAAAACCTCAACCTCTTCCGATCACTACCCTCTGACACACGCGCGTTTTTGAAATTTTTGGGTCATTTTGACCTGTACGTTGTAGAACAAAGGTTAAAAGGGGTTACACTGATAAAACTTAGATCAGATAGCCAAGCGGCTATTAACATTAACATGTCAAAAATTACATTGGACAGAGGATGCAAAATCAACATATTCTGGGAAAACGCGACAACCTCATGATATATTGGATACCAGGAAACAAAGAAATTTTGGGGTTACAAGAAAAAATGTTATAAATTGGCAAGAGGATAATTTGCAGACCATATATAGGTCCTGAACCTATAGTTGGGATGACAAAAACAAACATAGAATTTATTAAATCTCAGAATGGATTCATGATAAAAGGAGAATAGGAATTCTAAGAGGTGCCAGACATAATAAGTTTATGTTAAAAGAACACCCACCAAAACCTCAAATTCAGTACGACAGATATAGAAAGCTAAATTCAGAGGAGTGATAGGACTGTATACTGGTCACTGGCATCTGAGAAAACATCTACATAACACGGTAAATTTCCACGATTTCCATCGTCATCGTACAAAATCCAAAAGACATTCCTAGTAAATTAACTTAAAAAATTTGGCTTTCTGTTGTAGCAATACGGTTTCGCTTTATTAACACCCTTAAATATGAACGTTCATATTTATTTCATTATTTTTTTTTCATTTTCACAAACATTTCCCAAGTGTGATACCCATGCTCCATGCTGCCCAGTATAATTTTGACCCGTACGTTGTAGAACAAAGGTTAATAATACTCCCGACCAATTTGTAAAGTAGATTAAAATATTATTTTAGCTTGAAAGAAAGTAGACTTCTATTTGATTCAATTTTTTTTAACAAATAATTTGGAATTGGTTACAATTGGATTCTTCTCAACTTACATCTCAGTACATTCTCACATTTAACCCGACAAATTTTATTTTATTTTTATATTAATTTGTAGTATTTACTTACAAACCGTCACTGCAAATTTGGAAAAAAAAAATAAAAACGAAAAACAACAATGCGACTTACATGAATAACAACTGACCAAGCACCTAAATATGTAAATATAAACAAATTGAAATATTTTAAATCTAATTATTTTCCTTTTGTTAAAAAAGTACCTCGAACAAAGTATGCCAAAAGCTTGGAAGCATTGCAAAGCGTTAATTAATTTTTTGGACCTCAACCCTGATCCCAGAACGACCGTTTCAAAAAAATCATTGGACTTTTTTTCATTTGCTGGCAAACCCGTGAGCATGACAATTGAACATTTTACCTGACATTTTGAAACAATAATGCGGCGGTGGCTGCAGCGGTGAATACTGCGGTTGCAGTCCTCCAAGTGCCAGAGAAGTGGCCACTGCTCCTACCCCGACGTTTCTCACATGCATACAGTCGTATGTCACGATCGTTCCGGAGGTGTTTCCCTGCGGGAAGGGATCACCGCATTCCGAATTCTGTCTGCTGTGACAAACATAACACTCGAGAGATTCTCCTGAAACAAAATGCAAATAGTATATTTCAAGGTTTTTTTCAATTTTTAAGTTGTCACACTATTCGTCGACCTATCTTCACTAGATTGGCATGTAAGACGCCTTCAACATTTAGCTATGTTTAATGATTGGTTAAGGATATGAGAATGGTGAGGGGACCGATTAAATTCATTTATATACTTCACTTGTGTCAAATGCGAACGATTACAGATCATCTTGTGGCACTTCTCCCATCCCAGAAGTCTCCGTACCCTGGTTTACTACGAAATATCTCTCTTTAAGGTATGATTGAATAATCAGATAATAGGCCTGGGGTAAAAATAATTTTAATTTGTATAATAATCCCTCATGCCATACTTTGTCGAAGGCCTGAGAAACATCTAGAAACACCCCAGTCGCGTACAGTTTCTGCTCGAGAGACGAAGTAATGAAATCTGTCACTCTGTGAAGTTGATGAGTGGTGGAATGATGTGTTCGAAAGCCAAATTGATGAAGATGTCGTTCGAAGTATCATGTCGTTCGAAGTAGCAATAGAGATAATTCTTTTGTAAATTAATTGTTCGAATAATTTAGAAGGAACGGGTAACAAACTTATAGGAGGATAAGATGATGGGGAGCTTAAACTTTTATGGGGCTTTGGGAGCATTTTAATCTAAGAAAGTTTCCATTGTATGGGGAAGTGTTTAGTCCTCAAAATTGCGTTAAATATAGAAATCAGAAAGACGACTGCTTTTTTGGGAAGTTCTTGAAGAACTTCAGGTGTTATCAAATCATGACCAGGTGATTTTTTTTCGTTGTTCTTGAATCGCTAAAATAGAAATAAGCGTTTTATACATCGTGCGAAAGTACATTATGGAACATGAAGAACAGTTACGGTTTCTGTTGAAACGCCGATTTTGTTATTGTAAAGATATTTGTGCGAAAGCAAACGAGCTAGTGAATACGGCCAAAGTAAACCAAGATGATCGGGAACTAAAGTACAACGATTGTGTTAAACATAAAATAAATGTTTTCTTGAAATATCTCGTAGAAAAATAACAAAACAAAACATCTATGCACTTCTGGAATAATGCACAAATCAATATCAATCAATATTAGTAACAAGAGTAAAGTAAAAATTTGTTGGTGATTTGTTCACCTTTTGAAGCGTAAATAATTATTCCGTTGTTTTTTATTGATTTTTACATCTGGAAAACAATTAGAACGGTAAAAATGCTGTAAGGACAAGATTGACATGCCTCATGGCAGGCATCACGTGGCCATCAGCGCTGATGGATGGGGAGGCATATCGGGGATGTTGGGATGTTAGTGGAACTGAGCTGACAGACCAGGGCAATGGGATGTGTGGAAGGGATTGATGAAATGTTTTATAATTGGGTTTCGCTACTTCTGGAACAAAGAGAAGGTATTAAGGTCTCGATGTGGGGTGAGGTTTGATACATAATAAGGAGGGTTAACATTTTTTCTTAGGACTTTTGATTGGAATCTTTGGATGCATTGTGAGATGGAATGCTTGGTTGACCCCCCAGGGTTCGATACCATAAGTCCATATAGGTTTGAGAACCATGGTTGAAATAATTTTTGTATTTTAAAATGTTACAAGGCTAAAGTAAATATTATTAATAAATTAATATAATATATAATAAAAAATATTAAATGCTTAAGAAGAATGTAAAAATTTTTGACAGAAAAAATTCTTCTATTATTGTTATTGAAAATGGCATAGTATCGCCGTAACTGCGAAAAATCATAATATTTACTTTTTCTAAACACCTGAAAATAAACCTACAAAAAATAATTTTTTTCATTTTTTTGAATTATTCAGTTTATTCATTTTTTGCTGAAAGACAGCGAGTTCTTTGCCAATCCTTGCGGTCATTTTGGTCTTATGAGGTAGCGGATATTAAGCGGTACGATAATGGCTGGGAATGGAGTGTTTTGTGTGCATGTTGAAGCATCGATGGATTCAGTTTTTATTTACGAAATTTTTACTATTGCTGTGTCTATTTCGTGGCGTGTTTTAAGACGGTAGGAGGAAAATTGTCTGTTACAGTATTGTTCCAAATTTTATTCCGGTTATAGCGTTAATTATCTCTCGTGGATCTCTCAATGTAGAAATAGGTTTAAAAATCTAATTTAATTTTCAATTAAAGGGGAATTTAAAATAAAAAAGAACGGGTGGCGAAATGATATTAACGGCCGTTAAGAAAAAGGTAACAATTTATTCAATTAGAAAATAAAATGAAAACCTTGCCAATAACACAAATTGGAAAAACTTAACAAAAATAAAATGATCCTTTCAAATGAAATCGAGCTAGCTCTATTGTATCTATTGTAATATTACAATAAAAATAATAAAATAAACTTACTACAGTCTTTACATAAACGCAAATACAAAATAACAAAAATCCTTTTTTTTTGGGGGGGGGGGGGAATATTGAAGCCTCTTCTTTTTTGCTTTTTCGGTTTCTTCTTTTTTCCTTTTTTTAATCTTCGGCTTTCGTCAAATTTCTCTCTTTGAAAGGTCGATCTGATCTGCCGCTTCTCTTCTTTTTCGTCTGCCTTTTCTCTGTCGTTACGCCTCCTACCGGCTGGTAAATATTTTCTAATTTTACCGTCATACGGTCTATTGGCCGTGTAGTAATGTTGCCTCTAATGGGACATCGTTCAAACATAGTGATGAAAAGAAAAGTTAGAATGTAATAAAAAAAGTACATCAAAAATATGAAAATACGCTAAGAGAATTATTCAGAAATCGTGAGATGCGGTCTGGTGTGATGTAAGTTTGAGAAAAACATTTCTTTATCGTTTCGTCTTTATTGAGATCATCTTCAGGGCCTGGGATTTACAAACATTGTTTAAATTTAACAAATGCATGTAGGATATGGAAAAAAGTGAATTTATACAATGCAAAAAAAATTATTATACTCAATTAAAGTATTTCTACTCACTCAAAGTGTTTGTTTTTTGCGTAATTTGATTTAATATAATTTTAAAAAATTATTTTTTTGCATTGTATAAATTCACTTCTTTCCACATTCTACATGTATTTGTTAAATTTAAACAATGTTTGTAAATCCCAGGTCCTGAAGATGACCCGAATAAAGGTCTAAACGTTGGCACGATTAAGAAAATGTTTTTCTGAAACCTACATCTCACCAGACTGCATCTCACGATATTGAATAATTATCGACTAACGGTTACTAATCACCACACATTTTTATACGCTAAAGACCAACAAAGCCGGACACTTGTATATATTTGTTTATTTCCCATAATAACTAAATATAAAGATTAATAGTTGACTTAAAATGTAAACACAACATTAATAACTTGTTTACTTTTATAGGGTATTTTACTCTTTTTACCTGAAAGACCTTTTACCTCTTACTGTCTACCTTTTACTCTCTTTATATAGAAAAAAAGAGAAAATCAGTTCTATGTCATACTTTCCAGAGTAAACTTGTCATGTGAGTTAATTGCTTTTTTAAATTGTTTTCTTTGAGGAAACAATAAATTTGAGTAAAAAAAAGTACGTTTTTTGACTGATTGTGTGTATAAGACTTCCCTTGTATCGTGTAGACTAAACCATCCTTTCAGCCAGGTAAGCCGGGTTTAGCCTATTGGCAAACGCCTTTTCAGTCTATGGCGATTTTAAGCATGAAAATAACAATATTGAACTAATTTAAAACTATTAATAAGTTTAATAAAAGTAATTAATAGCAAATGGAAGAGTTTTAACTTCATGTATAATGTTTTGTAACAATTTTTTTTAAAATTTGGTATGTTATCAATATGCCCGATGATTATCTTTCCTTCTTAAGAATACCGATGATTATCTCTTCTTAAGAAGAAGAGATATTCTTCGTAGAAATCTATGTTATCTGAGACTTTTTTGTTAGAAGACTATTGTATCACGTATACGAAATATATATTAATTAAAAGTTCGAAATATCTAAAAGATACCGATTTTAATCTTGATTTTAGTCTAACATCGATTATAATAGTTACTGCCGTGACTCACTTCCTTTTCTTCTTTGTACTCCACAGTATGCTCAATTATGTCTACTCTACATAACTACATTTTAAATTCGTTTGTAAAACCCAAAAGATCTTTATGTTCAAAAGTAAAAAAGATTCATCGTATGTAAATTACAATAAAAAATAAAATTACGTAATTTTATTAGTAGGTAATTATTTTTATATTATCATAAGATTCTTATATTCAATAACGCGAAATTTTTAGCATTTAGAAAAATTTAAAAAGAAAGAACATTTATCTAAAATTTAAAACAATTTTTTAAACTTTGGAATCTTTTTGTGCATTTGTCATCGTTATTTGTGATGTTTTTAATTATAATAATTTCCAATGTTATAATATTGAAAAAAATCTCAAATCTCAAAAAAAAAAAAAATCAAATTGATAAGATGTAAGTTTCAAAAAGCAGTGAAATGGCAAATTATGTTAACCTTTCTTATATATATATTAAATTATATATAAATTAAAAAGAAAGATGTTTTATTTTAAGATTTTTATTCGTTTAGTGTCTTTTAAAGTTAGTAAACTTGTTTACCCAGTTCCAGCAGTGTCAATATGAAAACCAAGCGAATCAGGACTCTTAATTCCATGGTGATATCTGATTTAGGACTGAAGAAAACCCGGCCCCGAGGGATCATATTTAATGCAGGACCCATTTGAAGGAAGCGCTGACCTTTCTGTTAAGCACGAACTTGAAGCGTCGTCTTGTCACTGTATAAACTATTCAGATGAAGGCCCCAAGGCCGGCCAATCCGTATCACGTTTCTCGTCTTCTAATGTGACTTTTCTTTCAATTTTTAACCCTTTTGTTACACTCAAGTTTTACTTCGAGCCGACTGATAACTGCTGTTGAAGAATTGGTCAATTTATGAACGTTTTTAGGGAAAATGGTCGCCGGAGTATTATTTAATTTTTTAACACACAAACGCACGCACGGACCGGATACATACATGCAATGATGACTTGTAAAACGGCGTAACAAATGGACTCTATGGCTTACTATTTTTTGCAGTTTTTTCATCTTCAACATAACCTTTCAACGGGCAGACCGGTTAATTTCGATATATCTGTCATTTGTAATTATTAATACGCGAATTACGTTTGTACTGTTCTGTGGTTTAATTATGTTAATACAGTTAGTTTAATTGTTTATCATTTTTTCTTATTTCTTTATGACGCATCTTTTGAAGACATGTCAAACGATTTAAGCTCTAACTTTAATTTAAGACATGCTAAAAGCCGTGAAAAACGTTACTAAGCGCTGTTTGCACGAGGTTCCAAGTAAATAATAACAAGGCGCTGCTAAGGAGGTGGGGCCGTTGATCTTAAGGAAAAATGTGTGGTGATTAGTGACCGTTAGTCCATAATTATTCAGAAATCGTGAGATGCGGTCTGGTGTGATGTAGGTTTCAGAAAAACATTTTCTTAATCGTGCCAACGTTTCGATCTTTATTGAGATCATCTTCAGGGCCTGGGAGTTACAATTTTTTAGAAATGGTTTACATCAACCGAGATAAACACATCATCAATTACAGTACAGACACATGTAAACTCAGTCGCAGCTACGCAAATATCATTAATCAAATTCAATATCGATAACATACATATATCATCACATCACACAAAACACATAATGTAACATATAAAACATTCATCACATTCCACACATCAAAGATTTTTACATAGTCTAATTTTTCAACAATTTAGCTTTCCTTTTCCTATTTATCCCCGTCTATATATTATAATCCTGAAAGGATAATTTGGCCGAACTATTACCGACATTTTTTCCTTTGGTCGGTTCTTTTCACCTCTTATAAAAAATGTCTTTCTATACCGACTTCCTTCCCCACCCCTTCAAAATCCAACGTATATAAACATAAAACACGCAAGAATGGCACACTTACGCAGAAAACAACACGTTGAGTGAGTAGAAAAACTTTGATTGAATATAAAAAATATATTTTGCATTGTATAAATTCACTTTTTTCCACATCCTACATGTATTTTTTAAATTTAAACAATGTTTGTAAATCCCAGGCCCTGAAGATGATCTCAATAAAGATCGAAACGTTGGCACGATAAAGAAAATGTTTTTCTGAAACCTACATCACACCAGACCGCATCTCACGATTTCTGAACAATTAAGTAAAAAAATTTTTGGTGGAATTAGGTCGAAAATATTAGACACGTCCTAGGGCGTTTTTGGCAATGGAAGATTTTCCGGGAAAGAATTATTTCGAAAGTCGATAGAGTAGATTTAATAAGTAGGAATTGATTAATACATTTTTTTAACATATTACCTTAAAAAAAAGTAAAAACAAGTTGCGACGGGACTTGACGATGTGGGCCATGTCACAAGACATTTGCCCTAGCTTAAATACTCGCAAGCTTCACCATAAAATCTGGATCTTCTTATAAATTTTAATGTTAAGGGATTTTAGCACGGTTGTTCTTTTAGAATAAAATCCTAAAATGTTTTTAGGTTTACCGACGTTGCAAATACTTCAAAATCATGAAAAACATTTATAATAATATAAGTTCAATATATTTATGTAATACTAAAATAAGGAATAATAAATTTACGAACTCGGTTTACTGGCGAACGATTTTATTTTATCGTGGAGTTGAGCCAGTAAAATATCGCACCACAAATTGTCCAACTCCTAAAATGGTGAATCTTCCCGAACCTGTTTTAATTAATTACAATCTGTGAAGTTTGTCACGATCCTGGGTAACCGCGATGCAAGGAGGAATTCAAAACCTCTTCTTCCAACTGGAAGGACTTGTGTGCTCGAGCCGTGATATTGTCCGTACATCCAAACAATGAGATTTAGGGAAACGATTTAAGGCAGGCAAAGGAAATAATTCTATTTTAGCTAATGTTGTTTTAATTGGTGAAGGGATTATTTATATTTAAATTTTAATTATAATTATTTGAAATCAAGGATTGGTCATTATATTTGATTTTTCCTCGATCATTTGTACTTCTATTTCCGCTGGCGGGAAAGCGGTGTGAGAGATACCTTGAATGGATTACTCGGAAAAGTTTGCATCTGGAAAACGAGCTATGTTCGGAATAAATGTGATTCCTAAGTTGACAAAAATAATTTTTTTTTTACCTGAAACAAGATTTTTGATCTGATATTATGTATTTTGGTAAACCGTGTGGATTAAAAATTTTCTTGGGTGTAGGGATTTTTTGTCTTTTTCTTCCCAAGAAAGTTATTAAAAAAGGAAGGAAGAATTTGTAAAGATGTGAAAAAATGTTTGAGGGGATTCTGCATGACCTAGTTTTGAAGATGACCTTGATCTTTACCGTCAGTTTCTTCAGGAATGCTGAATCTTGACAAATAATCAGCGACTGTATTATTTGTTCGTTTTCGTGTTTTGTGTCAGACTTAAAACTGTATTGTTCTGCGGCCTATTGAAGTGCAGGATTACTTAAAATTCTAGTTTTGACACCTCCTAAAAGTATGCACTTAAGTCTGTGTAATGATAAAATTTTTTGAAATTAATGGAAGTTATGTAATCCGTTAAAATAAAAGTCAAAAAAAAAACTTTATTTATAATAACGAATACAATTTTATACAACAAGTATACCGGCTAACAACTAGCATAACCCTGCGTCTAGGATAAGACTAAGAGTAAGACTTAATAGAAGACTAACGGAAGACTGTCGGCCCTAGCGCCTGAGCCCTATTTATATGGAAGTGAAGTTTGCTGACTCAGACGCTGTGGATTCTGGAAGACGGTACCATAACTTGGATAAAGATTTGTGCAAATAATTTCTTCTTGTGAGATAGAATCTCATGCTTAGATAGCAACTTGAGAAAAAAAGCTCTCGTTCGTAAGTGCACTTAGAGTTGCGGATATTTCCTAAAGAACACGTACCCAGAAATGACAACTCATTTGAACATTTTGGGTGCTTCTAATTTTTGATGGCTTCTATTCTTATGTGGTCGGTCGATATTGAGTCATACGGAATTTGCTGGCCTAAATTCATACTGTTGGTTGGAAAAGTTTGAGTTTCTCGGGATTGGGAGTCACATTATTTATTCGTAAAATTTCAAGTTCAATGCTAAGACTTATGTTCAATGTGTTCTGCCATAATGCAAAAATTTATTACCCTACGTTTCTCCGCACGTCGTCTCCTCACTTTCCGCTCTGTGATGTGGCGCCCGAAGTACAAATTGTTATAACCTCAAGTTCCGCTGACATTCCCACCCAAAACAGACACTCCTTCTCAAGTTAAATATATCTAACCCGGTTGCCGAATCGCGACCCATTGGCTTTGTTCTCATCACGTCCCGAATCTTCTTCCAAAAAATTCCCTAAAAAAAGCATGATCTTCCTCACGTATCTATTACAGTACATTCTGCATTACATACTTTCCTTTTGGAAAATTTTTGAAAGTTGATATTTTCCGGCTTTTGAATGTTTTGAATATTTCGCCGTTTTACTTGCTCGAGTCATCTATGTGAATATATTATTTTACAGTATTTTTTATGTAGATTACAATAAAAATATAACCTTATTTTTTTTCTGTTTGACATTTAAATCCATTTAGCTCTTTTTGAATTATAGCCGTTCCAATTGATATTCCAAAAATCGGAAAAAATTTAGTGGCCAAAAATTCGATAAACATAAATAAAAACAAAAAAATATAGTTATGGATATCTGGAGGTGTTAAAACGAAATTCATATTAGTTTCACGAGAAAAAATTTTATGACCGTTTACTTGAAAAATATTTGGGTTTTAGGAATTTTTTCGTTATTGATAAACTTCGATAGCTTTTACTATATTAAAAAAAAAAATGGATAATGAAAGTTACGAGTATTTCTTATAACAAAACCCAGAATATTAAGAGCTAATTACTATTATTAGGATAATATTTAGTTGTGTTGTAATTCACAATTTTCGCAGGTTCAAAATTGAGCGGCAATAAAAAGCAGCTTTTCATTGGAAAGTCGCGTTGGCGGTGGATCGGGGGGTTCACACCAGAGCGATAAGGTACACTTCTTTAGGTCATAAGCGATAATCGATAATTGTAAGATACACAACGTTCAGGCCTAGAAAAAACGGGAAGTAACGACAAAACACACGTACGATTGTACACACATGTACGATTGCGACATCTGTCGTAAGATACTTGAACCCGGCCTGCTTCTCTCTTCATTCGGTAGTGAAGATGGCAAATTCAAAGTGAGGACATTGGCTTTGTGATTTCTTTTATCCGGGATGCAGACTCACTTATGAATTATTCTTTGAAATCGTATAACAAATGTGAAGAAACCGGCTTGACGTAAGAACAGCAAGCATTCTTGACTTATCCCATGCTCCATATGGAGTCACGGATGGTGAGACTGCTCTCTTTAGGGATGGTTAGGGATGTCCATTTACATGATATATTGGCTCGTTTGGGTTTCGAACCTCCCCATTTTTTCGTGACGTAAGTGTGGTGGTAAAGCACAAAAGAGACATAATTGAACGTGGGGAGAGTAATCTCTATTCAGTTAACATCAACTTGAGAAGGAACCATCCAACAAGGTAGACAACTTAGCAAAAAGCGGGGTTTACCAACTTAATTGTAATGATTGCGACATTAAATATATAGGTCAAAGCGGTAGAGAAATAAAAACGAGAGTAAAATAACACTTGCCTAAATCGAACCAATTTTCGGAATTTAAGGACCATCTAAAAGAAACAAAACATCATTTCAATTCAAATTTAAATACAACAGTGCTACATAGTTTCAACAAAGGGAGAGAACTAGATTGGTTTCGATAAGGTACACTTCTTTAGGTCATAAGCGATAATCGATAATTGTAAGATACACAACGTTCAGGCCTAGAAAAAACGGGAAGTAACGACAAAACACACGTACGATTGTACACACATGTACGATTGCGACATCTGTCGTAAGATACTTGAACCCGGCCTGCTTCTCTCTTCATTCGGTCATCAGAGAAATTTGAAATTAAAAAATGTAAAATTGAACATGGAGATAAATGCATTAATAATGTAATAGATTTTGATCTACCTCCCATTTTAAATATGTACATAAATAATATTCAAGTCCAAATAATTAAATTAATTATTTTAATTGTTATTAATTTTATCATAATTTAATCATCTATTATTAAGGTATTATTCTAATTTTTTATCTTTTATTTTTAATCACTAATTTATAATTAATTTCTTACAGTATTTACTATTATAATATTTACTTGTTTAAATCCCGCTTTTCGCACGTTCAAAATTGAGCGGCATTAAAAACCAGCTTCTCATTGGAACGTCGCGTTGGCGAGGGTATCAGCGGGTTCACTTTTGCAATTCGTGTCGAGAAACGTGGTTGTAGAACTCCTTCAGCCTGATGATGAGCTAAAAGCTCGAAATTCGGATCATTGCAAAACAAATTACTGTTAGTAAGAATTGTATTTTTAAAAAGGATCTCTTTATGTGAACATTTTCTTCAAACTGTTTCCATTGCCAAGCGAAGAACCATAATGCGATTGAAACTATCGGAAACTGCAGCAATCAGATTCTTTTATAACGGCATTGCTTATTCCATTGACTGCACACAATTATGCATGATATGCAGTTTGAAGGATAATGAAACTTTGGCACACATAATACGGGAGCGGAACCTATATATTCGTCATTAAGGAAAAAATATTTACAAAATTGGTTAAACTTTGCATTGGGTGCATTGAAATTGATAGATTTCGTGTTGGATGAATGATGCAGTCTGCCAGAGGTTTTATTTTATTCGTCCATAATAGAATGTTTGACAAGTTATATAATAAATAAATGCATTGACATAATATAATGTTGTAAATCATAATAAAATATACATCCCTTGTATATGCATATAAATAATGCTTAAATACAATAAAAAAATACTCTACACTACTTCGTAGTTGAAATATCATCGGAAAAGTATATTCTATACATTTCATTATTTATGTAGATCCGTGTTTAAGGCATTGATCATAGAACTCTCAAGATTTCAAGAACATTGAACGTCACGCAATTAAAATTGTGTTGAATCACTTAAAATAATCGAACCTCGAAGTCCGCACGCATAAAATAAAATGTAAGACAACACATAAAATTTTTTATTGTAAGTAAACTACAAAAGCTTGGAAGCAGATATTAACAAGGCGATAACAAAAGTGACAGTCAAGTCTATATTTGCGGCTGAATTGCACAAATTTCCAGTACAGAAGTCGCAGGAGTTGAAGGCGTTGAAGCTATACACACGTTGTAACTTCTGTAACTCCTTATTGCAATCATCGATCGCACAACCTCTATGTGTGACTTGTTTATGTTCTGAAACAACAAACAACATATCAAACCTAAATGATAAGCAATTATTTTATTTAACCCTCTTACTACTTATAAAAAACTCAAATAACAAATAACAATGATTTGGTCGATTTTTAAGCTCAAATGTTTACGTTATGCTTAACATTTTAAACAAGAAATGAAAGTTGTAAGATGTGCCCTGAATGGTTAATATGTATTACAAATTGTGACAACCAATTTTTTAATTTTTAATACATCGGCAATACATTAATTGAAGACCATGCTAGAAAAAGTACCTATTTAGAGGAAATTTAGTTGTACAATATTTTTATTATAAGTCGTGTAATGATAATTTTTATATCCTAAAATACTCACGGTACTGAAATGTCACTTTGGTACAGTAAGTAGGCTCTCCGCTGTTCGGACATGTTTCAACTTCTGCTTTTGAAATGTTTTGTAGGTCGTGGCAGTCTTCGTAATAAATGGTGCTGCATTTGTAACAGTCAAGCCCCCAACCTGCAATTATGATCTATTAGACTTGAAATACAAATTTTTAAAAAAATGGCGATGGCTCTTTTTACCTAATTGAACGAGGCATGAGAGTGCGCAGAGTAGAAATATAGGGCGTATGATTTGTACTGCCATGATAACTGTCTGTAAACCACTCACGATCAGATGAAGCGTGTCAAATGGTGACCATTATTATGTTTGCAAGGTGATCTGTCCAGGAAAAAAAGTGCGTTTTAAACCGAATCTCTAGTCGTGCGCGATCGTTATTGCCCTGCCGATCCCAACACCCGACTAGTCCCCCACCAACTACAAGGTCGCCCAAGTCCCCACTCATTCAGTACTTACGTTGACATCCCAAACAAACGTAGTATTTAACACAAAAAAATAGATAAACTTTTATTGGAAATTATAAAATTCCAAAACAATGTACCAATGGTAACTTATGTGCACTACTGAAACATTCCCAAACAGACCCGTATGAGCCAAGATAAAATATTTTAGTAACTTTTAAAAAATGTCTTTCCGCCTTTTCTTCTGTCTGTATTTCAAGATGATTTTTTTTTTATTTACCCAAAAATTTGAATAATTATCCTCTATGTAGAGGTAGTCTATAGTCTAATTTGGTTTTGAAAAACAATGTTTATTAAAATGTTACATTTTATGTAATAATATGTTATATTTTATAATTGTTGACGTTTTCATGTAAAGCAAAGGGCACCAGGAGCAGATATAAAGATCTTTTAAGATATAAAAGAAACGTTTTACTTGCATAAAAATGTATTCCGCATGTATTTCTTACTTTGCTTTTTACTAAAAAATGTCTTTATACACTGGCTGGCGAAAAATTCCACCCAATTGATTTTTCTTCATTTTCTCGATAAAAGGAAATTCTGCCCTTAATTTGTCCCATTGTTTTTGCCAATAAATATTTTTTATGCTGTTTCAAATTGGGAATATCAATTAGAGGTAAACACACATAATCATTAATCTAAAACAAGGATAAAGGATTTTTCAATGATTACTTTTTACGGATTTTAATATGTTTGTTCAATCCCATTTGAATTCCGAAACAAAAACTGTTTAGGTTTCATCTTTGTTTACTTAATTTCAATTTTTAAACTTAAAAATGCCGCTTAGTGCTGAGGATGTTGTGCGTGGTGTGGCACATTTTGATGATGGACGTTCCATCAGGTAGACGACTATTGCCATCGGAGTTCCCTACGAAACTCTGCGAGACCACATTAGATGTTTTTGGGTCCTACCATAGAAAGCCCGGTTCTGGACGCCCTAGAGTAAAAGAATCACAGGATGACCGTTTTTTGACTTTGACTATTTTGCGAAACCGGCATCACTCTTTGTTGTTCAAGCGATTCATCAGCTCCAGGAAAGTTTGAGGTACCAAATTTCTGAACGCACTGCTCGAAGAAGATTAAATCAGAATGGACTGATGGCTTTTAGCCACATAAGAGGACCAGAATTGACCAGAACATAGAGTTGCATGGGTTGCATTTGCTCGAGAACACAGCCATTGATCTTTGAACGATTGGTCTGCTGTATTTTTTAAAGACGAATGTAGATTTGCTCTACGATCTCCAGATGGGCGTGAAAGAGTGTGGAGAAGGCGAAATGAAAGGTAAAAAGCCTGTAATTTTTCCCAAAGCCACCTTTTCAACGTAGTTCAGTGATGGTGAGGGCGGAAATTTTAAAGGAGAGTCGCACAGAGTTGGTTCTTGTGCGTGGAGTAATGTAAAATAAATACATCTTATTACAACAAATTTAAACAAAACCCCAAAAAAGTAACATTTAGATCAGTGATCCCATCGATTTCAGATTTCCTATTTCATCCCAGTGATTTAAATAAAGCATAGGGATAGAGCTAGGAATAAAAGAGGCGGCCAGAAGGGCTTCTGCACCTCGACCTAAATAGATCTACTGTGCTCCCTTGCTTTTCTATAACGGGTTATAAAAAACTCGCTGGCCAGCTTCAGGTTGTTAATCAGGCTCCTTAGTGTAGGACCTTGCATGCGGCTTTTCTTGTCCTAATTGGAACTTACACCTACATAGACCTTCACAAAATCGTAAAATATGTTCTGCCGTCTCCTCTTCCTGGCAGTATCTGCACAATGTTTCTTCTGTTTGTACTCCTATACGGTGCATGTGCTTTCTTAAGTGGCAATGACCAACCAGAATCCTGGATGGGTCGCGGTTGCCTTCCAGTAATTCCTTTCTATGTTTTGCATATGGTGCTTCTATGAATTTCTTCACGTGCTTCATTCCTGTGGTATGAATGTTTTGGACTCATTGAGGATCCATTTCCAAGATGATGTATCCTCTTTTCTGTTAGGATGCTAAGCAGTAGGGTTCATTTGTAAATCATTGGTAATGTAAAATAAAATAAGCTTATTGCAACAAAATTAAACAAAACCAAAAAAGTAACATTTAGACCAGTGATCACATCGATTTCAGATTTCCTATTTCATCCCAGTTATAAAGCATAAACATACTTGTTATTTCATTCGTTCATGTAGTGATTATCTAAACTATAGATAAACTATAAAATATGAAGTAGGGGTCGTTTATTCTTTCAGAATCATTTTCATCACCTTTCATTATAGACCCGTATTCAGTTTTTATTTCCATCGATCATTGAATGAATGAATAATATGCTTTATATTCACTAATTTCGTGGTCCGCTTGACCAATTAATATATTATAATTAATTATGGTTTTTAGTTGAGATAAAAAAGTCAATGGCATGAGCGGGATTTGAACCCACGACCTTCGGCTTGATACGCCGCTACTCTACCACTTGAGCTATTGTGACCTCGATCCACTCAGACACTAAACTTCCCATCTCAACCCCACCTTTTGAATTTTCCGTCACGATAGCTCAAGTGGTAATGTTACGGTACGTTTTATCTCAACTAAAAACCATAATTAATTATAATATGCTTTATGGTACAATAAATATTTTTTTAACATGATATATATTTCAAAGCATGAATGACAATGGCAGAGACCGTCTGTCGAGTTGCTGCTAAATTACTAAATCAATTATATCTTTAATAATTTTTTATTTTATTTTATTTTTATTTTTAATTTTTTTTAAATTTTTTTAAACTTTTTTAATAATTGAAATTTGGAATTATATATCATCGTGCGAGAAATTTTATTGTATGAACCAAATAAATTCCGCCATTAAGGATATTTACTACCTCGGTTGTATCTAATTGTGGTTTCCCTAAATATATTTTCCTGAACTCACCTAGCACTGGACATTTACCCAAAAAGTGCACAGTGTCCTTTGGAACATTGAGATTGCACATTGAGCAAGTAAAATTTAAATCGCTCCTCCAACGCTGGCAGTTCAGTTGCAGGAGTTCTCCCCTCGCACTAAGCAGTAATGAATTGCCATAAATATTTTTAAAAAATTTATATAATGGTCACCTTGGTCTAAGTATAAACTTGCATATGATCTATGGTAAACATTATCCCTAGCCCTAGTCACTATATCATTCCTTAGTTGCGCCTCTAGCGTCATTAGAGTGCTTCTATTTATTTCAATACTATAATGCCTTCCTATTTCCGACAGATGTTTAAACCATGATATTTCTTTTGTTATTTGTTATTGGCTAGGAAATGTGTTAATCTACTTGGGGGTTATCTAAGATCTTGCTAATGTTCTGTAAATGCAGGGTCATTGTATGAATATAAAGCGGAGTGATTGAAGTCTCAATATAAATCATGCAGTCTGGAGTGTTAGTGGGAAGGTAAAACAACTTTTTCATAAAATATTTTTGAATCGTCTCTACTTCCTTTATATTTAAGAAGCCCCAGATCTGCGCCCCATAACAAACAATGGTATTGTACTGTTAAAAATGCTTATTTTTTATCAAGAGATATATTTTATCTTGTTCACTATTACCCTTTTCCAGTTGCTATTAACTGCCGATTTAGCACAACTATTTTTTTCTTTAAAAGGCATCCCTAAATTAAATGGTGTAATATCAAATCCTTGTGATAGTGCCGAAGTGCGGGCACTCCCAACACGACACGCAAGAATGGCACAATTACACAGAAGACAAACACTTTGAGCCCTGAAGATGATCTCAATAAAGATCGAAACGTTGGCTCGATAAAGAAAATGTTTTTCTGAAACCTACATCACACCAGACCCATCTCACGATTTCTGAATAAATTGATTAATGGTCACTAACCACCACACGTTTCATAGTTCATTACAGAAATAATGTCATATTGTCTATTGCAGTTTGTTTAACTCAGTACTTTCTGGCATTTCCTTCGTTGTCATTGAATGTCTGTAAATGTTTTTACATTTCTATAAATAAAAGTGGTTTTTTCCAACGCTATGGTCTGAAGCGGAATTTGTTTGTCCACCGCACCCTAGTAAATAGAAAGTCAAGAGTCTGTTTCCTCAAGTATGAAATTCCATCTCAATAAATGGGATGTGAAAAAAATCGGTGTAACTACTCATCTTCCTTAGAACCGGGTCAATATGTTGTCGTTGTCGAGACAGTTGACTAACTTGGAGTCTTGTTTAATCGGTGACCTCATTTTTCAACTCTACACGGAATCGCTGAAATAATTTTTTTTACAATGCAATAATGGAACTTGATTTTGTTGACAAAGAAATAAAAAAATTGATTTGTTAATTGGGAATTGAATTATCACAAAGAGGAGACATAGGGGGCTCTTATCACAAATACTACTAGCTATTAAGATAAAAATTTAATAAGACGAGGAAGTGTACAAATTGCAAGAAAATTGTTTACACTTAAAGCGTTTTTAATTTTGTTCATGTTTATCACAAAATACTCCATAATTTAATAAATTTATCATTTTCCTAAATTTCAGTCATTATTTTTATAAAAATGTGCGAATAAATTGTAAAATTAATAAAATGTTTATAAAAATCTGTCAGCACATTTAAAAATCAAATAATCTGTTCTTTTTTCGTGTAAAACACAAATATGCATAAAACATAATTGAATTCTTAATATAAATAAATGAACGGTGATAAATATGTGTATGTTTTTGTGGCATTAATTTAGCGATCATCGATCTCCTCACAGAAGGCTCAAAATAAACTCTTCAAGTATATCTTAATTAGTTTCGTATAATGGATTATTTACTATATATTATTAACTAAAAATTTTTATATATGGATTTATTTCTGTATGTTTGTATACCGGCTCTGGTAGAGGGTCCAAGGACTATGGATGTTTCGGTGTTTGTTTACTTGTAATGTACCGAAAATGTAAAATGCTTCTTCAATAAAATATTATAGTATCACTATTAAATCCATTATATTTCGTGGTCCGATTGATCAAATAACTTCTTTCATTTTATTAATCTTGACCTTATGTAAGGCATTGGTTGAAATGAAGAAGCAAAAAGGAAAGTTGAAAAATGGCAAAAAGGAGGGAAAATTCGAAAGGTAGGTGGTGATAGGGGGGTTGGTGTCCGACTGAATCGAAGTCACGAAAGCTCAAGTGGTAGAGCAGCGGCGTATTGAGCCGAAGGTCGTGGGTTCGAATCCCGCTCGTGACACTTTTTCATTTCAACCAATACCTTACACAAGATTGTCAATATTCTAGTCTATTTAGAAAAAATTCTTTGGTAGGGGTGGATTACAACTTTTTTTACCACTAGGAAGAATATATGTTACTGTATCAGTCAAGTTAAGCTTTAACGAGGACTATTATTCGTTTTTTAGACAGGTACCATCCCGAACTTCTTCTGTTGGTGATTTATCCGTAAGGTAAACTTTACGTTTCCATTTTGGAACGGTTATACTAGCTTCTATTTCAGGCACGCTGACCCTGTTATCCGCAATCTTCACTCAATCATTTATCTCAGTACGGCATAAGCACGATAATATACCCAATGTTAAGCAAAAATAGGTATTTTTTCTACTCTCTTGGTACAATAATTTCTTTGCAATCTTAACAGCATTGAGGGCTTCTTTATTGTAAGGGACTTTTTAAGTCTTGGCCGTTTGGTTAAGTCAATGCCTTCATACTTTAGAGCAATGTCAACTATTTCACCAAATAGTCTGTTTTCCTTTCATCCTGGAGTAAACTATATATGTGTGGCGGGAGCACTTGTTTGAATTATACTTCCTGTTCATCAGTTCGTTGGTCATTAACCATTTCAGACCGAATCAGCAATAGTTAATACCACTTCTCTCTTTCTTACTTGATCTATTTAGGCTATTGATAAAATAACTCCTATTTGGCCCGAAAGTCTGCGCTGACACTGAGATGTTAGGCATGATATTATGTCATAATATTATGACCTATCTTTGAGGTTAGGTCTGTTTTCATTTTGGTTGCCTGATAATTGATTGCAGTTAAGTTCATAGCTCTTGACCATTTCATCCTTTTGGCTTATCATTTGGTCTCCGGTTCCTATTTCACGCGGGAAATTTTCCCATCCTAGCAAGGCCGGTAATTTTATACCAATTTCTTAGGGCCGGATACGATGTTGCGTGCTCGTTTCCGGTGGTATAGCGCTTTACGTTAGAGGGTCCAGGATCGCGCTGATTCACCCGCCATTAGTTGCTCAAATGTGTCCTCTGTCACCGCGCTACCACTAGGACCAGCTCTGCAGGCAAAGACCTCCTCGGGCGATCGCATTGAATAATTATTTCGTCTCGTACACACCAATTAGGGTAACAAGCCATTTATGCTTTTGATCTGGTAGAAAAGCAAAAGGATTTTTGGATACAGGAAGGATAAGTTAAGGCGCAACGGCAGTAACTCTTTTAGTCGCCTCTTACGACAAGCGAAAGATACTGTGGTTCTTTTCTGCTCCAGGAGACACAATTATTAATTAATTATTTATAATTATTATTAGTCTTATTCCTGTCAGGCATTTATACAATACAATTTCCATTTTCATATTAAGTAATAACGTTACCTTAAATCAAACAAATTATTTATTAATTGTTGCAGTTACGTAAACGATCTAACATTTTGAATTGAGCATTTGATTGATAAGTGAAAATAATATTTCAGTTGTTTATTCGCGGGTATATGTGTCAATGTTAGATTTTTTGTAAAAAGAAATCCTTGATAATGATTGTATCTCAATGGGAATCAGCGTTAGTCAGAACACTTCATATTCTAATCTTATAAGGGGAGGCCACATCCGTATCATCCATTTCAATGATACTTTTTTGGGTGATGATCAAAACATATTACAATACATATGGGATCGAGAGTTTTTATCAATGGATCCAATTTTTCCCTAGTAGGCCGGATATAGTTATTTTTTAATTTGGTTTTCTGCCTTGGTTATGCATGCAATTTAAGGTTAAATATCATTAGATTATCAATTAATGTTCATTTTTTCTTCACAATGTGCCCTAGGAAGCAATATAAAACATTAAGTAAAGTTACATAATGATTTTTATGTGTAGTTTTCTGCCTTTGTTGCGCATATATTCCAAGATTATTATGTATCATTCGATTTGGTTTATTATCTAGGATTTTCGGATCAGTTGATACTGGATCGTTTTAAAGGAGAACAAATATGAAAAAAACGGTTCTAATAGTGTAGGCCAAAAACATATCTTTTTTAAAAAAGATTTAATGTCATGAACAATATTTCATAGAAATGAAAAAAGAGTCTTATTTACGGATAGCCGGATTTTGGAGTTACTTGTAGACTTTTGGCTTTTAAACCCTAGTGAAGTTTCAGTTGAGTTGTTTCATAGCTATTATCATTTTTATTATTATCGAAAAACAATCAAAAGGCAATTTTTTTAAGGGGTTTATAAGATTTCTTATTTTCAATATACAACTTACTCTTAAATTTTTATAACTAAGCTTAAATTTTTACAGGAACATTTCTTTAAAAGATGCGTCAAAGAAATAATGAACAGTGATACTTAAAAAAATTTGTATTAGCACAATTAAATAAAAGAACAACAGTACAAAAATAAATTACATATTAATAATTATAAATAGCACTTATATCGAAATTAAACGGTTGTCCATCCGGCCGTCGAATGCTTATGTTACGGTTTAAAAAAAAATTACGAGAAATAGTAAGACGATATTAGAAATGTTGAAAAAATGGAAAAGCTGGTCGCCAAGATGCTCGAGGAACCGTTGCACAAGTTATAATTGCACGTACGGCATGTTGCAGAGTACCCTTTGTAATTTTTCTGCAGGTTACTGAAGATCGTCGAACAGTTAATGTTCGGAAAGCAGTCTCTAACGGTGATATTGGATGGTACGTTATCTGAAATGAGAAAATATATAATCATAGGTATAATGGTTTTAAAATTTTATGTTTTTTATGTGTATTTAGAAACATGAAAAAAGGACAAAATTATCAATAGGCACAGACCTAGCGCTGAAGATGGAGAGAAACCGATACCTGTCTGACAGACCAAAACAGCGAGGATATGCACACCAAAATGGACGGAAACAAGATAATTATAATTTTTTTTTTCAATGGATACCAGGAACTGGAGTAGTTCCCTCCTGAGCACTGCAGCTGTACAGCTTATTGTACTTTATCCCTGGCTCCATTTTTTTTTTTGGGGGGGGGGGGGGCTCGCAACACAAGTGTGAATGAGCCCCCGGTGTGCCGGTGTTCTACCATCGAAAAAAACTCATTTTTGAAGGGGATTGAGAACAAATTCAGAGTCGCTGAGATCTGATCCCGCACCTTCCATTGACGAGTGCCTGTCAATTTCTTTCAATTGCGGCCACCTTAGTCGTCAGAAAAAGTCCAGAGGGGACGGAGGGGATCGAACCCACGACAGCGGGATCTACTAGCCGAGAGTCTGACGCCTTAACCACTCGGCTACCGCAGCCCCCCAGCTAATTATAATAGTAGGAATCGGAAAAAATTCCAAATTCTACCAATTGAAGTCGTGTAAAACGCGAACGTTATTGCAATAAATTTAAATAAATAAAGACAAACAAAAGTTTAGCTCTGAGTTATAGTTCACTAAACTAAGAACCCTCTTCTACACTTAAGAAACATTTAAAAACGTCAGTTAAGATGTAGCAAATTAAAAAATTCCAATCAACAATCGATAAAAATTTATATTGACCACACTTACCAAATTCAACTAATACCTCCAGGCTTATATTGTCAATTACGACCATTGGCCTCATATAAATCCAAATTCGGAGAAATGTCACAGCCAAAGATAAAGAATGAATTTCCTTTTACTTTTTAATTCGATACACATTCTTATCTTTAAATATTCTTATTAATATCAATTTAATTTAATTCTTGCGATTTGAGTGCTACTGATACAAAAACAATTGCGCTATATTGTCTTTATTGTCTTAGAAGAAACGTTTAGAAACCACCTTACATCAGTCCAATTGTGTCAACAATGACTCAGACAATTCAGTGACAACAATGTACTCATTCCTAGTCAATTAAAAAAAATCAATTGGTTTTATCGAATCATCGTTTTAATATCATTTTCTAACTAATCTCGCTTAATGGAGACACATTATTGCTCATTTATAACGCAGTGAATATAGTTAATAAACATGTATTTCTAACCCAATAACTTTAAGTTCGATCGTTTCGATAGGTTCAGTTGTATATTTCCTGCTAAGTTGGATGAGCTATTATTCAGAAATAATGGAAAAAATTTCTAATTACGTGGTGAAAGCATATAATAGGGTAAAACAATGGGTTTCTAATTTAATATTATTTATGATTTAAAGATAAAGTTATAATAAAGCTAGTGATGATGCTAGTAAAGAAGTGATAGTGATAAATAGAACTTTAAAAACAGTAATACAAAGAAAATAAATTTAATAATAAAGATTTTATAGGCACTACTTAATGCATTGTCGGACCTGTGCGTCGTCTAGGAGAAAGGCAGCGGGCATAGATCACTGTTCAGGTGCCTAAGGGCTACAGGGATTTTTAAATGTATATTGTTTGTGTTGTGTCATGTTAATGTTAATTTACTAGAATGAATGTAATTTATTAGCGTGAAAGGATTTTAACCCCGCTCAGAGGAAAGTCAAGTACTCTTGGGGGAGTGGGTAATATCTGTAGAGTAAAAGTAGTTATTAGTGCGAGTGGAGGGGTTCGACCCCGCTCCGAGGACTAGACCAGACCCCCTACGTTTGTGGTGAAGTATATATAAAGGCTACCATTTTATGACAGCCTAGGTGGTCCGATCCTTCGCTTCTCCAAGGGTACCACGCCGGTCATACGCACAACAATGCACAGTCCGAGACACCGATTCACTACCCGTTTCCGTTCGCTTACTGACGTATTCGAGTGACTATTCAGCATGAACATCGCTTCCTCAACGCTTTCTCGCTGTCGTCCGGTCGCAACGTCTCCCGTGAGGCCGGGGAGTAATTAAGCTGGCCATACGCAAGCTTCACGAAGGTCACAGATGGAAGACAGTCTCTGTCTAAGTTCCCGCCACGCATCCATTCCCAGTGTAACTAGGGCTGAATTTGGACTGTTTAGTTACCCCGTGGTACTGACGGCCATACACCCTCCCCCGTCTATGCAGACAGGATCTAGTGCACTGGCCCTCGTGTGACTCTGCTAAGGCACCCGCCGCCCATGCCGACCCTAGGCCGACAAGAGTACAGCTTGTGCTTTAGAGAGGTTGCCACGCCCTCTGGGCTGCACCTTTATTTTGTGCCCGGATACCCCTCTTGCAACCAATGGTTAGGAGGGGTCACAGGATAGAATGAAGGAAGTCGGATTGAGAATAAGGGCCGTGAATGAGAACACGAGGTGAGCCGTTTCGGGGTATCGAGTCTCAAACCACACTATACCACCCGTCGTCGTCGTAGTTCCACACGGCTCCTATGGTTGTTCTCAAACCTGTCCAAGCCCCTAGAAAGATTAGTCCAAGCACAAGTCTCCAGGCATCTTGAACAGCCCCATCTTCCCAATCCCCTCCAATCTGGCTTCCGCCAAGGCTATTCCACCCATTCAGCACTAATAAAAATTACCAGTGACCTCCACTTAGCAATGGACCAACGGAAAGTTACTATACTTGTCCTTTTTGATTTTTCCAAAGCCTTCGATTCTGTCCCTCCCTTTTCCCTCCTCTCTAAACTCGAATCTTTTTCCTTCTCGCCAGCACCATCCGATGGTTCCACTCCTACCTTACCAATCGCCACAAGCAGTCTCCCTTCCCAATGGCCTTACCTCCTCATTCCTCCCACTAAAATCTGGGGTGCCCCAAGGCATCTCTCCTATCCTATTTTTCATTTATATCAACGACCTGCCCGACTCCATCCAGTACTGTAACCAATGTGCTGATGACTTCCAAATATACTCAGCCATTCTCAAGACCCAAAAAGACTTAAACTCCATCAACGAACGGGCACATAAAAATTCCTTAGTCCTCAATCCGTCCAAATCCACCGCCATAATTATCGGGTCCAGGCAACTCCTCAATTCCCTCCCCAGCATCCCACCTCTCATGCTAAATAACCATCCCATTCCCTTCTGCCCCTTGGTTAAAAACCTAGGAGTAGTCTTTGACCAAAACCTTTCCTGGCATCCTCACATTTCCCAAATTTCCCGCCATTGTATTGCCTCCCTCAGCCTGTTTCGTCGGTCCTGGCTTCTCTTACCTTTCTCCACCCCGAAACTCCTTGTATCTTCCCTTATACTTACCTTCTTCGAGTCTGTGTGGCAAACGGTGGTCTCTCGGAGGGGAGAACGCGCGATTGAAGCGTATTATGAATTGTTGCGTAAGGTTCGTGTTCGGCACCCCACGGGGTCCAGGGTGTCGGGGTTGTATTCCCAATTTTCCTGGCTCTTCCACTTCCGTGCACAGTATTTCCTAGGTTCCTTTCTTTTCCAGTCCACCCACACTCGTCGTCCTCCTTACATCACCCAATCCCTCCAATTCAACTCCACACATCACACTCGTAACACCCGCTCATCCCCTTCGACCTTATCCTTCCACAACATACAACCCATATCTTCGAAAGATCCTTTCTAACTCGAGCCACTAAACCCCTGGAACTCCCTTCCCCTTTCTATTCATGCTGCCTCCTTTTCCTCCTTTAAATCCCACCTGTATAAACACCTTCTCTCCCTCCAAGCAGAGACCTAACGTTAACATTTGTTACTTTTGATTAATATTCTCGTAATTTTCTCTTCTGGCCTGCCTTACTGGTATACATTGTGCCAAAATTTCTATCTCATTTTACTTTTAATTTCATAGAAGGAACTTCCTTTATTTATTCCATGGATATTATTCTTAGGGGACACCAGTCCCAGATAAAGTTATTTTTCTTCTTCTTCTTCTTCTTCAAATATCGTGAATACCGATATTGAATATACTATTATTAAATATTAACTTAGTTCTTATATAAACGTAGAGTCAGTCGAAGAGCGCTCAAATGGGTGCATACTGCAAAATAAAGATGAAAGACCAGAAAAATAAGTAAAAACACGCAAAGGGCCGGCGATGACCTCAGCCGTTTGTGGGCCATTAAACTGCCCACATTATGTACATAATTAAAAAGCTTGCGCAGTGTAACTTCTGGATATTAATATTAATGTACATATATACTCATAAAGAAACAACCTGTATGAATAGAAATATATGAATGGAAGAAATAGACATATACATGGACATGTCAAATTATACATTAATGAAGTGTTCAATTTACATTTTGGTAAATGACATTACAGTTTTATGTAGAGTTAGATGAAAGGTTTACTTACTAACTGATGCTGTAAGTTTGAAGCAGAAAATCTCATCCTTCCCGTCCTTAGCCTTAACCGGCTCTCCTAAGAATCGCGTAGCACTGTATTCTGATAGGGATGTCGGACATTCTCTGACTTTCACGTTAGGTGACATCGAATCCCCGCAGTTATTATCGTCATTACATTGGTAACAGTTGAGTGCCAAACCTGACGTTTGAAATACAGAGAACATTATCTGATACGAACTAAAAAGCAGTCGAAAAGAAAAACTTACATGTCGTGAGCACAGCAACGAAGGTGGAAAATCTAATTAGCGAACGCATGTTGCGATATATTGCGCGGAATTCCGACAACGAGTGCGGTGCCTCGGCGAACGTATTCTGAAAATATCTTATCGGCTTTTATCGGTGGGAGGGAGACTAGAGCCATACAAAACATCGATTCATTATAAAATAAAATTAAAACTCATATTCAATTAAAAGTAAATTATGGAATTTAACGGAACTGTTTCCTTCCAAAACTTTGAATACGGACAGTTAGGTTGTTCAAATTGTGCCGAGAACAACCTGTTTTTGTGTATTTATAGAATTGTTCAAACAGGCGCTCGACATTAAAACCTATACAAACAGAAACTTTTCTTGTGGTAAGGTTATAACACCGGGAAAAATACGTTAATATATTATTAGCCTAAGATTTTAAAAAGACATATAAATAATTGAAACACGAAAAATAAACAAATAAAATAAAACAAGACAAGAGCAATTTCACAAAATATACTCTGAATTACCTTCTAATTTACTCTGCAAGATAAAATGTATATGTGTANGTCTATCCCCTTATGTTTTTTCGAATTTTAAAGCTTTACCGCAATGCAACATTTCTAATATATATGTATACAAAAACACACTAATAAAATGAAAGTAACCTAATAACCATCAGTTGAATTATTGGGTCTATCCCCTGTTTGTTTTTGTTTTTTTGAAATTTTAAAGCTTTACGGCAATACTACATTTCTAATATGTGTGTGTGTATATATATATATATATATATATATATATATATATATATATATTGTATATGTATAACACACTCACACATGAATGTATATTTTACTCATTTTTATTTAGAATTATCATACTCAAAATGCCTTTTATTTATTCCAGTTCTATCGAATGGAAATGACTCAGTTGTGTTGCTGAGGCAGGCAGTTTTTTATCGGGCGATTGTTGTCAGCAAAAATTTAAAACAGCAATTTAAAATAAATTAAAAACATAGACAATTAAATAAAAATTTATAAATTATTATAACGATGTATGTAGCAAATATGCTAGTTTTATGGACAGATAATAATTTAGTAGCAGTAATTTTGTAAATGAAAATAGTTGTAAATTAAGAAATATTGTTTGACATTAATTGAGAAAAATACAATCGATACAAAATGAAAATATTTTCAAGTTAAAAAAATTTCCAATTTTTTATGCAAAGACGGTAGACAGCGTTCGGAAAACAGCTTTCCCATGGTGATATTTGAATCTGGATTATCTGAAAGTGAAATAAGCATATATATGCAAGATATATTCCCATAAGAAACATAAAAAAAATAAGAACTACAAAATTTAACAATAGACCCGGACCCACTGAGGAATACGAGAAGGTTTATAAAAAAACGAATAGATTTGATACAATTATATATTTCTGTTTTAAAACTTATCAAAAATCTTAGTGAAGTAGCTCAAAATATCTTTTCCTCGGTTGGGAAAGATCAAGGATTTTTCTCGTCTTGCCTGTTGATTGTGTTATTTTTGCTTCTACTAGCTTAAAAATAGATTTTCCATGGTTTTATTTCACATATGACTATTTGATGTATATTATTTGTTTGTACTTTTCCATCGGGTTCCTGATTTTAAAGCATTTCTCGTTTAAAGGCAGACATTTCTTCCTCTGTATTAACTGGCACCTCAGTCTAATGTAGCAGCTGTTGTCCCCAATCCCTATGCCGCTAGGAATCCTGCAAAAGAAAACAGAAATTCCTTTCATGTACGATTTATAGATCGTTTCTTGTCGTTTCTCAAAAGGAGATCCATTAGATTGGAATAAATTAAACACAAAGTAAATAAATCCTCACACCTTCCTCGAGCCTTATTTTCATAAGGCAAGACCCGAGGAAGACGATAAGGTCAAAAATTTCCCCCTTTTCTGTTTCACACCCCCTTTTTCAGTTTGGCGTGGTCCGCGGGTATGGGGTCTTCCTCAGATACGGCGGGGTGGTGCATGGGAATAATAGATGTTTCTCATACAACCTGAAGAAAAGGCTTGCCAGTACGTATACTGTTTTGTATACGTCGTAACATGTCGCACATCCCGCTCGTGCCATTGGCTTTTTGAAGTCACGATAGCTCAAGTGGTAGAGCAGCGGCGTATTGAGCCGAAGGTCATGGGTTCGAATCCCGCTCGTGTCACTAATTTTTCACCTACCCTGGGAGTCGTGGCCCACTATGTGTGGAACTACGGCGACGACGGGTGGTATAGTGTGGTTTGAGACTCGAGACCCCGATACGGCTCACCTCGTGTTCTCTTCCACGGCCCTTTTTCTCAATCCGAGTTCTTTCATTCTATCCTGTGACTCCTCCCAACCCTTGGTTGCAAGGGGGGTGTCCGGGCGCAAAATAATGGTGCAGCCCAGAGGGCGTGGCAACCTCTCTGAAGCACAAGCTGTACTCGTGTCGGCCTAGGGTCTGCATGGGCGCCGGGTGCCTTAGCAGAGTCACACGAGGGCCAGTGCACTAGATCCTGTCTGCATAGACGGGGGAGGGTGTATGGCCGTCTGATCAAGGGGTCACTTAAATGTTTCAAAATCAGCAAAGTTACATTGGGAAAGGTTTCGTGGTGGCGCGTGGTGACGCCCCTGACGGGAACTTAGACAGAGGCTGTCTTCTATCTGTGACCTTCGTGAAGCTTACGTATGGCCAGCGTAATTACCCCCCGGCCTCACGGGAGACGTTGCGACCGGACGACAGCGTGTAAGCGTTGAGGACGCGATGATCATGCTGAATAGTCCCTCGAATGTGTGAGTAAGCGAACGGAAACGGGTAGTGAATCGGTGTCTCTGACTCGAGTATGCTTTGCGAGTATGACTTGCTTGTTGTGCGTATGACCGGCGTGGTACCCTTGGGGAAACGAATGATGGACCACCTCGGCTGAGCCTATGGCGTCCCTCGAATGCGCATGGCAGGTGTAGGCTGAGCTCGATAAGAGACTTTACCGTACTCGGTGCTCATCTAGGGTGTGGTTAGCAATTCCACTTTAAACTAAACCGCTGCGGGGCGTTCCCGGAAGTTTCTACGCTAGGGGAGCCCCTATACTCAGGGAGAGTGGGCTTCTCTATCTAGGGAGTACGCGGGAGACACACCGATGCACAATGCGGGCCCGACCATTCGGAGTGGACAAGCGGAGAGCGAGGCTGTCTCAGCCCTTAGGGCTACAAAAAAACCTCTACACCAATGCTGCGGCGGTACCACTATTCCGTCGTATGCGGAGGTGCGTCAGCTCTCATCTTGAGAATCAAAACGTCCGATAAGGCCGAATAGGCCAAGTGCGGACGCTAAAGATCCTTTTGTCTTGTTGACGATGAGTTCTCGGGAACGGGACATGTCAGCTAGTTTCGATCCATCAATAAGAAGTTACAATTTTTATCCACGATTTAAAAGTATCTTTGCTTCAATTTATCCGTATTGGTGGATTATTTGGTAAAGTCATCATGGTGAAGTTAAATCATGCAATAGACTTAAATGGAGATTTGAAGTACTGACATAGTTAAATATTTACAATGTGGTTTGAAACATCAAATAATTGTGCAATATAAGATATACATTTAACAAATTGTAATAATTAAGTGGTAGAGATTTGAAAAAATAAATTAATTAAAAATTAGAACAAAAATAAAACGAGGCAAGAGAAATTTCATAAAACATACTTTTAATTACCTTTTATCTTAGATCATAATAAACGTAGATTTTTTGACGATATGCATTTGATTTTTACAACCAGCAGAGAAACTTATTACAACAATTCTTTCCAATGAGGTACATGCTCAACGATGCTCCTCATTTGCAAGGGCATATTCCGTTTTATGTATAACTTGTCCTTTTGGATCCATAGCCCCGTCAATTCTTTCAGCATACTTTCTCATTAAAACGTTTTAGCTTTGTTTGTTTTGTTTTTATATTCGATAAAATTCGGAAGAATCTCCATGGAAGGGATTTGCAAAGCGTTTTATTCTGGTTAAAGGAATATACAATTTTTTATACCGTTGAGGATGTATAACACATTATAATAATTATCTTAATTTTCTTTAAGAATTATCATTCTCAGAATACACTTCATTTCATCATGGAACTTTATTTTCTTCATTCATTATAGAAAAATGTTACAACAACAAATATAAATGTTAATAAATAAAAAAGGGACTGCGGAATTCTCAAATCAGTGCAGATTCTCGGTGGACCCTCTCGTCTGCTCTTTTTAGTGATATACTGAGCCGGATGGCCTCAGAAAACCTGTGTTAGTTGTCTGGGTACCCGGACACGTCGGGCTGGAGGGGAGCGAACTTACTGGGACGTCTCGCCCTCAAGACCAAACTACAGCGACCTGCCCGGTGACGCTGTGCAAGAAGCAAACTGTGAGAGAGCGTTGGCAGCGTCAGTCGGCCGGGTCGTCCGAGAGGTTCTTGCGAGTTGAGAGCTTAACGATGGCTCTCCGAGAATCTGAAACGAAACGAAAGGATCGGCCACACCCGTCTGTCACCTGGTTTTGAGTCAAAACCCGTTTGTAGAGAAAGGTCAATGATCATCGTCCGAGCAGGTCAAATTCTGTGTATGTGTTTTATGCATATGTGTGTGTATTTATTTGTACATGTACCGTGTGTCATTCCCTCACGCTCTCTGTATGGAGCCAAGGAAGGACACCCTTCAGTTATAAGTGAGACACATTAAGTAACCTTTCTGTACATGCCGGGCACATTAGCAGTCTTCAGCCCAAAAGTTAGTATCCTTGTGTTAGGATGATCCGTATTCTACGAGTCAGATCCTTCGAGGGCAACCTACCGACAGGGCTTTTGAGACATGAGAACTTAGAGAAAATAGAGTGGATTGAATATCATCCTTTTTCTCTCCTGGGTTTACAAACTCTTGGCAATGTCATACGGATTAACTTCTGCGTATTTTAACGCTTCGGATCCAGGTAAAATAGCACAAAATGAAAATTTTTTAATGTTTGGGATCGCTGTTAATTTCTCAAACCTGTGATTGGAGTTGAGTATCTAAAAACAGAGATAAAATGATTAGATAGCGATATTTTATAAAGTGACTCTACCTAGTTTTTAATGTCACTCATAGAGATACACAATCACAGATGAAACATGCGCTTCTTACTTCTATTTTGTGCAACTGCGTGCTTCGTTCCATTAGGCAAGTTGAATAATCGCTTTTCTTTCTTCAGTACAATCCTAACAATAACGAAATTAAATCGTAGGTTTGGGTATTAAATGTTACAAATGCACCAGCGATAATTCTGATTTCTGCGGCGATAAATTCGACGCTAAAAAAGCAACAGTTGAAAATTGCCCGACCAGAAATGCGCATGAAACCTGCGGCTACGTAGAATTCGAGCACAGTGAGTATGGCAAATAGTTTAAGCCTTAAAGAATAATTAACAATATATAGTAATTATAGTTATATTACAACGTTAGAATATAATAAATTGTATTATTTAAAATCAAATTTTATTTACCCTGATAATTTAACTGGCAAATTCTATAATCGCAGCAAATGTTTTGGTACTACAATTATATTACATGACTTGGTAGTTACAAGTATCTGCAGTACTTTTTTCATTTACGCGCATAATTATCGTAATAGATAACTTTTATTTATTGATAAACATCTTTAGCAAAAACATTTTGTGATTTTCTGAATGTTAAGTCACTGATTCGGTCAGACACTGAGATTGAAAAAACATATGTAAGTAGTTTTATAAAATCATTTCCTTTGAATGGGTAATTTTTTCGCAAAATCTTCAATTACTGTATTTCTTTTTGAACTTTTGTGATACAGAATGTGTTGTAGTAAATAAATTAATAAAAACTTACATTTCACTTGATTATTACTATAATTAGTACGTATACAATATTACTTATCATTGCTTCAGGGCACATCTTAACAAATATCATTTATTTCTTGAATGCCAACTTAAGAAAAAAATACACAAAGTCCTTGGATAACGTTAACATTCGGCTACATTCAATCATGGATCCTGGACGGCCTTTGGGTTAACCGCTTTTAAATTTAAAAAATCTAATTTACGCAGTTTGACTTTTTTTACGAGGGTTCGCCACAGCATAGGTCATATAAACCCTCAGGGTGCCGGTGTTTAAAAAAAAAAAGCCCATTTGTAAGTATGTCGGTATTTAAGTATCCAGCAGCCCTGCATTCGAACCCGGGACCTTTACATTACAGTGATGAGCGCTGTGCCAACGCCTAAACCGTTGCGGCCACCGACGCCCCATGTTTGATTGTTTACCCAGAACAATAAGATGAAACAGTCTTATAGGTGATGACCTTTTTGTTGTTTCAGATAATAAACTAGCTACACATAGAGATTGTGGTGGGCCTTATAATGATTGCAACATACTGTTATCGTCGTTAAGTCAGACGTATCACATCAACTCCTTAACGGCTTGTAAATTCTGTACTGGAGATTTGTGCAATTCAGCGACAAACCTTCAAGTGACTGGCCCGATTATTTTCGCTGTGTTATCTACCGTCTACATGTTTTTGTAATTTTTTAAATAAATTTATGTACGTGTTGTTATAAATTTTATTTTACCTGTGTAGACTTCGATTTTTGATCATTTTAACTGGTTCAACTCACTTTGATGCATTGGAATTCATTGAATGCATTGAACAATGCATTGAACATTGTTGTTTATCGTACACCGAGTTATGTTATGCATTGTCTACTCAACGGCTAATATAACAAGACCTACTACCAGAAGACTTTTATTTATTTATTTTTATTATGAAATTTTTTTGGTTTTATGCTGGGCGTGGTTGTTACGTCAAAAAGCCTGGGCCAAACCGGCTGGGTATTACCAAGGCAACTACTTCATCAGTAGTAAAGTTCGTTTTGGATTGTAGATATGGCGTGTAACTTTTCTTTTTTGGGCCCAACCCTGAATCAGGGGACCGGAAAACAAGATCCCAGAGGATTTTTGTGACCGGACCTGACAACTTAATATAATCTATCAAGTACCTTTTTTTATGATAAATGAATTCCAAATATTCAATACAAAACCAAAATAGATACAAGACCAAGATCAAGAAATATATTGAAAATAAGTTAAACAAAAATAGAAACAAAAGACAATTCTTTCCTCATTAAAATTCACTAATTTCGTGGTCCGCTTGACCAATTAATATATTACGATTAATTAAGGTTTTTATCTCAACTAAAAACCTTAATTACTTATTAAAATTTTATTTATAAAACCAAAGAACTAATTTGGAAATTTGAAAACTTTTATACCGAAACCTATTTAAATGTATACTTAAATTTTCCTTCTAATTTAATTTATTCGTTATAATGAACAAAGGATAAATATTTAAGAATCTTTTTATTACAATTTATTTCAAAATAAAATTACTATTTACTTTTAAAATTATTTTTTTAATTTAAAGAATCTTTTTATATTTTGTAATAAACCCTATTTTAAATATCTACAAAATTTATCAATTTTAAAATCAAATTTAATTCGTTTTATAAAGAAAAGTGAACGTAATTTTTTTACTACCTATGTTAAAATAAAATTAAACTTTTAACACAACTGTTAATATCAAATGTTATTTATTTTATTTTTCGTTATAAAAAGATATGTCTTTAGTTTCAATCTCTTTTAAACTAAAGTACAATTTTTATTTTTTTGTTTTGACGTCAAAATATCAAATTGACTCACTTGATTTGTGTTCACACCAATTAGACCAAAATAGAAATAAAATAAAATTCTTTATTCACTAAAATTTTATTTATAAAACCAAAGAAATAATGTGAAAATTGGAAATCTTTTATACCGAAACCTATTTAAATGTAAACTTAACTTTTCCTTCTAATTTAATTTATTCGTTATTATGAACAAAGAATAAACATTTAAGAATCTTTTTATTACAATTTATTTCAAAATAAAATTACAATTTACTATTGGAAAAAGTCAAAAATAACATTATATAAAATATGTATTCAAAATAAATTTAAAAACGCATACACAAAAACAAAACCGACATCACAACAACATTATCAAACATACCTCATTCACACACATAAAGAAAGAAACTTACAAGCTATATCCATTTAATAAATTATGAATAAAAACAGTACTGAAAGCCGCGAATGTAATTGGAAAACTACTGAGATAAAAAAATGATAAATCCACTTGACAAGTATCGCATATACGCTATAAGATGCGAATGAGGAGACAGATATAAATTTTTCGAACGAAAAATAAACGAGAGATACAAAGAACATGAGATGGTTTAGGGACAGTTACGGAAAATAAACTCACCTTACAGAAAACCAACATTAACAAGCATGAAACTTCTACACCATTTTTGAACCAAAAGAACAAAAATCGCACATGCTCGTAAACTTAGAAATATTCAAGCATAACTAATTTAACCTTAGAAAAACTCACAAATTAACAAGGGTCTACATAGAACTTTTTTACCATTTAAACACTATACCATTAAAAAAAAGAAAAAGACAATCCCAAAGTGACAGGTTGTGCAAAAGGGAGGAGGTGTCTATTAACCCCCATAAAACCATATTGATTCCATTGACAAGAAAGAGGGCAATAAGAAGCCTAAAACCTCCAAGCCTAATCGGGACTTCGATCACATTTTCCAAGGATGCCAAATATCTAGGGATCACACTAGACCGCCGGCTCACCTGGAATCAATACAATTAAAAACACCCAAAGAGCCAAAATTGCCCGGGAAGGCGGAGAAGGCTCTGTACTAAACGCTGGGAATTAAACCCTCAAATTACCTTATGACTTTACACCTGCGTTTTAAGATGAGTGCTGATATATGGGTCGGAGGTGTGATGGACCAAGACTCTGCAGGCCAAAGCCACTTGAAGCTGGCCCGCGAGTTGTAAAAACTAGAGGAATCCAATGGACCTATTCCGGTCAGGGAGGGGAAGGCCTTGAGGTCGCCTCTTTCTTCACTAGAGGCGTATTTAGCCGAAGGTCGTGGGTTCGAATCCCGCTCGTAACACTGACTTTTTATATCCCAATCAATACCTTACAAAAAGTTTAATTAATTGAAAGAAGTTGGTCTAATGGATTTAATAAGTAAAATGAAGTATATCTTCACTAAAAAGCTCTCCGTGGCCATTTCATTTGTCGCCGAGAATCTTGTAGATTGCACGCCATTTGAAAAATGGAAAAAGGAGGGAAAATAGGAAAGGCGGGTTGAGATGTAATAATCTATACCATTTAATCAAAACCAGAATCGGAAGTTGGTGTCCGAAAGGATCTAAGTCCCGAAGCTCAAGTGGTAGAGCAGCGTCGTATTTATACGAAGGTCGTGGGTTCGAATCCCGCTCATGATACTGACTTTTTTTTATCTCAACCAAACCTTACATAAAGTTTAATTAATTGAAATTTGTTTAACGTTTATTTTAAACCGTAGTGGAAAGGCAAATTGGAGATCGTTTCAATACCCTAATAAAAAAAACACCGTCGTTAAAAAATTAAATTGTTGTTAAAATATTCTATAAATTTCATAACTTAATGTACTCCTTGCGTTCATGGCAACGTCATTTGCATTGTCCAGAATGTACACCTCGAAGTCCTCACGGATAAAATAAAATGTACGACAACAAAAGAAAATCTTTATTGTAAGTAAACTACAAAAGCATGCAAACAGTTGTTAACAAGGCGACGACATAAGTGACAGTCACATCTACATTTGTGGCTGAATTGCACAGTTTTCCAGTACAGAAGTCGCAGGATTTCAAGACGTCGATGGAATACATAGATTTTAACATCTCTAACCCCAAATTGCAATCGTCAACGGTCGCACAGCTTCTCTGTGTCATTTTTTTATTGTCTGAAACATCAAAAAACATATCAATTATACTTCTGTTATACTGGTAAAAACAAACTCAAACAGAACACACAGTTAGGATGAGATTTTTTTTTTAAATCTCAAATGCGTCCTTGAATATTTATCTTTCTCTTAAAATTTTAAACCCAAAATTAAAGTTGTAAGTTATGATTGATAATTAGAACCTGTTCCAATTGTTAGTGGTAAGTAATTTTTTAAATACAAGAAGCAATACAGTAATTGAATACAATCCCAGAAAAATACCTATTCAGAGGAGATTTAATTTTCCATGATTTTTATAAGTCGACGAATAATAATTTTTTTTACAACCTAACATATTCGATACTCACCGTACGAAAATGTATATTTGGCGCAGAAATTACGCTGTCCGCCGTTTTGAGGACATAGTTCAACTTCTGCTTTGGAAATATCTTGCAGATCGTTGCAGTCTTCGTAATAAATGGTGCTACATTTGTAACAGTCAAGCCCCCAACCTGCAATTAATATTCTGTTAGACTTGAATTATAAAATTAAAAAACGCAGATGCCTACTTTTACCTAATTGAACGAGGGATGATATAACGCAGATTACAAATAAAGGACATACGTTCCGTGTCATGATGTCTGTAAACCGGTCACAATGAGGCCTAGCAAGTGGTGATCATTATTATGTTTGCGACGTGATCGTTCCAGGGAAAAAGTGCGTTTCGAACCCAAGCTCGAGCCGTGCACGATTGCTATTACTGTGCCGATCCCGACACCCTTCTTTCGGCTGCCCCCACCAACTACTAATTCACCCCAGTCCCACCCTCTCTTTTGTTGACATTTGTTTCCATACAAACATCCGGTGCCTCTTTATAATATTAAAAATGTTTTGTGTTAAAGTGTGAAATTGAGAAAGACCTATACGGTTTTAATAGACTAGAAAGAGATAAAGCAAAGTAAGCAAAACAAGAATTTTTCACTTTTCACCTGTTTTCTCAGTTTAAACTTTAATAAACCCTGTCATATTATTGATCGTTGGAAATAGGTACGTTATTTCTACAACAATTGCACTCACTTGGCACTTAAGAAGAAATTACCTGCTTTATGTTTTTTGGTCAGGACTGTGTCTTTTTTTCACATAGAATTTTTTTTTACGAGGGTTCGCAACAGCAGAGGTTATATAAACTCTCAGGGTGCCGGTGTTTTTGAAAAAAAGCCCATTTGTAAGTAAGTCGGATTCGAATGCAGGGCCGCCGGATTCGAACCCGGGACCTTTACCTTACAGTGATGAGCGCCATGTCAAAGACTAAATCTTGCGGCCACCGACGCCCCCCACATAGTATTAAAAAGTTATTTAAGACCAATCTAATTATTTTTTAATAGCTAAAAAGGGATTACAATTGCGAAGTTACGGAAGATTTTATGGAAAGCGTTAGGGCCTAAGGCTACAAATTGTCGACCATGTTGTTTCAGATTGGAAACATTATTGCAGTTTCATTGCAGGCTCTGATCATTATGATTAGACCATTAAATGTGAGTCGGAATAGTTTAAGTTAATGAAAGTTAACAGTAACCACGGTGGCTACAACGTATTTGTCGGGATAGTAATGTAAACCACTATTTCACTTAGACAATCAAGGTCTAAGAGAATCGTCGAACAAACGCAAAAAAGAAAAATTTTCATAATTCAGAATACAAAAAAAAAAAAACAAAAAAAAAAAAACAAAGCAAGATCCACTGTTGGGAGAGATTAAAGGCAATATTACGAGTGATGTCGAATAGGATGTAGGAAAATAAAAAATAGAATTACGAGACCCCTCCGAGGAGGCCTTTGGCCTCTCCGTGATGGATCAGGGGGAGTCACCCACCTTGGTGCCTGAGCGACTCCGAGGTTGGACTCTAGTCGGGCGCCATCGACTTCTTTGGTCATTTCGGTGCCCTTACGTTCCCTAAAACTAGTCATTCTCATACTCACTCACACAATAAATACATATCCTATATACAAACCCAATCACACATGCATATCCTCTGTCCAAAATCCAGGTCGGAAGGTATTCGATCCGGCTTGGCGGAACAGCGGTGGAGCCTTGAAATAATATGCTGCACCGCCGCCCAGCATACTACTGTCTTAACATAAACTAAATATAAACTTTAACCTATGAAATAAATACCCCACTATATGCAACCCATCATCACAATGTCTCTTAAAAACCTAAAAACTTTTTCTTTAAACTCGCTGCCATGCTCGAGCATTCTCCTATTATCCGGCAGTATTCCATATATACTCTTAGTGTCGTACTGCATCGTTGTTAGAGAATTCACTAATTTCGTGGTCCGCTTGATCAATTAATATATTACAATTAATTAAGGTTTTAGTTGAGATAAAAAAGTCAAAAAGTCATTTGTCGTCGAGAATCCAATCGGGATTACACGATATTTGAAAAATGACAAAAAGGAGGGAAAATTCAAAAGGTGGGGTATGACATATAAAGCTTTGTTTGTTATAAAATATATTAAATATAACCACTAATTTCGTGGTCCGCTTGACCAATAAATATATTATAATTAATTAAGGTTTTAGTTGAGATAAAAAAGTCAATGGCACGAGCGGGATTCGAACCCACGATCTTCGGCTAGATACGACGCTGCTCTACCACTTGAGCTATCGTGACCTCGATCCACTCGGACAGCAACTTCCCATCCCAAAAAAAAAAAAAAATGGCAAAAGGGAGGGAAAATTCAAAAGGTGGGGTATGACATATAAATCTTTCTTTGTTATAAAATATATTAAATATAACCACTAATTTCATGGTCCGCTTGACCAATTAATATATTACAATTAATTAAGGTTTTAGTTGAGATAAAAAAAGTCAATGACACGAGCGGGATTCGAACCCACGATCTTCGGCTAGATACGACGCTGCTCTACCACTTGAGCTATCGTAACCTCGATCCACTCGGACACCAACTTCCCATCTCAAAAAAAAAAAAAAAAGGCAAAAAGGAGGGAAAATTCAAAAGGTGAGGTTGAGATGGGAAGTCGGTGTCCGAGTGGATCGAAGTCACGATAGCTCAAGTGGTAGAGTAGCGGCGTATCAAGCCGTAGATCGTGGGTTCGAATCCCGCTCCTGACACTGACTTTTTCATCTCAACTGAAAACCTTAATTAATTGTAAGATATTAATTGGTCAAGCGGACCACGAAACTAGTGAATTCAATAAGTTTAAAATGAAGTATACTTCACTAAAGCTCTCCGTGGCCATTTCATTTGTCGCCGAGAATCCAATCCGATTACACGACATTTGAAAATGGCAAAAAGGAGGGAAAATTCAAAAGGTGTGGTTGAGATGGGAGGTTGGTGTCCGAGTGGATCGAGGTCACGATTGCTCAAGTGGTACAGTAGCGGCGTATCAAGCCGAAGATCGTGGGTTCGAATCCCGCTCGTGCCATTGACTTATTTATCTCAACTAAAAACCTTAATTAGTTGTTAGAGAAGTTTGTCGATCGGGTTGTTTGTTGCCATTAAATTGTTTTACCTGATCTCGATATCTATCAATCGTATCCTATCCCGATGGATTAAAAAGCGTTCTATATGGTTCTAGAAATTAACAACATTTTAGAGAAAATGTTCGACTTTATAATAATCTTTTTGATTTTCGTCATTCACTGCTCAAAATGATGATTGATCCAAGGTGCCGTTAATACCAAAGATACTAAAAGTCTTAAAAACACCCCGAGCTTTGGTCAAATATACATATTTGACGATAGAGAAGCAACGATGCACCGAGCTCAGAAAGACAAATGGCAAGATGTTTTAGCTTCAACCTATTATGAAACGCAATCCCCATGCTGAGCAATACAAAAATCTCTTACCAATGCACATTCGAATCTGGAATATTTTACATTTCTACTTGAAACCAATGGATCATCCGCGAATTTATAATAAGCCAATACGCAATGAGATTACAGCAACCATTGTCTCCAGACATGAAGATATAAAAAACTAATAAAGGTTGACGTGCGTGTTCATCCAAAAAATGAGCATGTTCATCCAAAAAATCTCTTGCCGGCCTATTCCCGCATGTGGTTCCATTACTTATTCTTTGCTATTTTCTTCAGGAGAAACGTCGAACTAACAGACTTCGATCATGAAGCAATCCCAGAACAGCGACAAAAATCTTTGTCCTGTTCAATATTACCGATACCAATTAGAAATTCGTAAATAGATGGTGAAGATTTCTCCATTAGTAAAGATGATCTGCGCGAATAAGTTCCGTGGAAAGTGCTTGGAAATTACCAATGCATGCACAGCCACACAACGTTGAATTGAACTTTCATAAAATGAAATGCCCATTCATTTGCCCGGGTAACATCATATTACAATCACAGAGGGAAAAGAACATGGAGCATTGACGTCGAATGAAGCAACAAAAAAACTATTAGTTTATTTTGAAAAAAGCAATAAGAATGCTCCACAATAAACATATTCACAAATGCACATCGTGGAAAACAGGGCAAAATAAATGGCAGGTAATAAAAACAATTATAAAGTTGTGGAACTACTGAACATAGTTTCACCGAGATATCTCAACATTTTCATTTGAAACTATTGCTTAGAAACGCAAATACCATTTCAAGTTTAGATGAATTGCTGACGATAAAAGGAGTTCAATGTAGTACTTGTTAGGAGGCAGCGAGAACAACGGGATTGTGCGAACCGGAAAATTATAAGTTCGAAATGATGAGCTATGCTACAGTAATTATGCTAAATAGATTGAGGCATTTCTTTGTTTATTTAATGATGAGTGGAGAAGTGGATTCACCGATGCTTAGGGATCAATTTAAAGTCCAATTAAGCGAACAGCTATTGCACTGTCCTACATTCGAGGTCTCATTGAAAACGAAGGAATGACAATGAAACAATATGGCCTTTCTGGAACGACTGATGTCTGGAAAATCTTGAAATTGCGGTCGACGAAGATCTACAGAGTTCCACAACAAATTTATACAAAAATGAACGCGGATCAGTCAAGTTTTCGGTACCATTAAATTGACCTAACTGGAGGAATGATTAGGTCTCGCCCTGCTAGCTTTTTTTCAAGGGGGTCAGCAAAGCCAACCCGAGGGCCTCCTAGTTACTTAAAAAATAAATAATGTAAAATAAATTTTATAAATAATTTTTTAACAGAATTAAAATATTTATTGAAAATGGCATAAGTTGCCGAAACGTCAAATACTGTATTTTCATTAAAAATCACTTTAACAGGCCTAAAAAAAGGAAATTGTTCATTTATAAAAATAAAAAGAAGGACAACAACGAAAAAGAAAACGTTCGCCAAGTGGGTGGGCAGTACATTCCTCACATTTTGTACATGTTGATATGTTAACCATAATAATTAAAGTTTGAAATAAAATTCATAGGGGATCATTTAGAAAGCAACCCACATAATCCTTTAACATTGCATAAAAATCCAAAACTGGCTTCAAAGACATAGCCGAGTACAGGATTTTACGTTTGCGCAGGCGATACCGTTGATCTGATTTGGATGAAATTTACATGAGACCATGTACTCAAACCGCACAACGCTTAAAAATTTCGTAAAAATTGATCTGATGGTTTTAGAATTTTACCGGTTACAAGGGATTGACCACAGAAACGAAACGCAAATCGGTGTGAAACTCAAAATGCGAATGGAACTGGATTTTGGAAGACAAAAATATTGTCGACGTCCCGCTTGAATACAAGGCTTACCTATCTTCGATAGTTTCGAAACGAAAAGAATTAAAAAAATAAAAAATTCAAATTTTGAAAAAACATTCCAATTAATAGAAAAAATTCCAAATTCCTCTTGTTTCGTTCCGTGGGCGCGTTTTAGCGGGCTAAATGTGTAATAATTAAAATTCGCTATTTACATTATGTACATCTGGTTATATAAATTACAAAAGGTGCGACATTATTCTTTATTATCTAGGTTTTATATCAGAACTGTGTCAAAATAAATTTTCAAGCAAATCATACAAAAACATTTATAAATTGTTTATTTATTATGTGTAATCGTCCTTACGTTCAAGACAACTTGAGAAATTATTCTTAGAACCAACTTCCCTATTTACCTTTTTCAAATCGTTTGAATTATCTTTTTAATTGATAAAAAAAATTTTACCACATGTATCGTCCCGACAATGTCCAACTATCGAATTTGAAAATTGTTACTTTCCAGGAGGCCATAAAAAATCCTTTAATTTTCCATCCATTCCAAAATCAGTTCATTTCCAAAACGATTTTTTTTTTTCCTATGCAGTTTTTAATACTTTTAACGATGTTATTAAGATTTACCTGTTTCTTTTTCGCTCACCAAAAATTCATATCCGTCACTGGGCAACATACTTCTAATTTGAGATTGTTCTAGGTTCTCCATTTCAAAAGAGCGAATGTGCCATGTCCGGCATTATGCAATGTATTAATTGTATTGCCTTAATGATATTTACAAAACCTAACTAACGAATATGCATATTACTACTAGATTCTATGACGTACCACTACGATACTATATGGCATACAGGGATTTTAGAATCTCTGTGTTTCTACATCGACTAACGCTACACTATATTCGATATTAAATTGCTTTATTGCGATGGTAAATTGCTGTAAAAAAAAGCACGTTTGTCCACGTTCGTGTCAAAAAAAGCGAATGTGAATATTCGACACTATGGAGGACTAAAGCGTAGGGAACGTTTATCCGTTACTTACCAAGTATATACAATAAATGAACAATATCCGTCGGTAGCCGCAACGGTTTAGGCGTTGACACGACGCTCATAACTGTAAGGTAAAGNTATATATATATATAAACGTCGGTAGCCACAACGGTTTAGGCGTGGCGTTGACACGGCGCACATCACTGTAAGATAAAAGTCCCGGGTTCGAATCCAGCGGGCCTGCATTCGAACCCGACATACTTACAAATGGGCTTTTTTCAAAAACACCGGGACCCCGAGAGTTGATATGACCTCTGCTGTTGCGAACCCTCATAAAAAAAAAATAAAATAAAAGCCACACCAATTCAAGGATCCTCAGAAGACAGTGCCCTCGTGACCTCCTGATGGCCCCTCTTTACTATGACCCAACACAGTTAAGACATCGTATAGAGAGGGATGGCGTGTAGTTGCCCATATTGGTCAAGGTTGGAAACGGTGTTGGGGAACATTGGCTTTGGGAGCTGTCTTACTACACACATCACAGGAGGACAATGTGCTCAGTCTCATGCCATACAGTGGGCATTGGTCGACCATTATTTGTTATATATTTGTTTATATTTGTTCCATTAGCCAAATATAAACATGCAGCAGTGATTTCCTCGACCTCAATCACTTCAGGAATAGAAAGCAACATACGCCATTGAGACCATGTCGACCCTATCTTGGGCCAAGGGTTGGCTTATGTACTGGCCCAGTGCTTGGTGACGATGCGTTGGTCTGTGTTAGCCCATAGTGTAGAGGGGCCATAACATAACCCTAAATCAACAAGTTACCATTCATAAATACTGAGATTTCCGACACTGTCTTGAAATTTCTTTTTAAACCGAATTAATTGACGATGGCATAAGTAAATACTATGTATATTTACTGATTAATGATAAGAAAGAAAAAAGATGGCAATCGTTGCTTTTAGATGTAAGAGATAATACCATTAATATGTATGTAATGAAATCATTATTGCCCACAGGGAACATTTTTGCATCATAAGCGATCAATTTTATTTGTGAACTGCAAACATGGAAAAATCTTAAATTACAATTTTGAAGTGAAGCTAGACTTTACGGAAGAGCTTTACTTCGGCTTTGATCAAATTAATGTATATGCTTTGTTTTTCATTGCTCGTATCGAAACATGATCTAATTTTAAAACCAAAATAAAATTAAGTTAATAACAGTAGTGTAATAATAGTGTCCTTAAAAACTATGAAAGATTGGAAGGGTGTATTATTATTATTCTCAGATTTAAGTGTTTTAAATGGTTGTTTTTCCTCGTGGCACATAAACTTCATTTTATTGGGTTAAATTCTGTATAATAAAACCACCAAGTCATAAAGATTTATTAGATTCATTTACATATATAAAAAAATTTGTAGTCATAATATAAATTTCATTAACGGAAAAAAATTCAATGGAAATAACATTTGTGATGGTAACAATCGCTCCTTCCAAGAGGATAAGGCAGTTTAATTCGAACAAAATTCGAAATTTATATATTGAAAATTACTTACGAAAAGGTAAAATTATCTGTGATGAAAAAAATACGTTCTTATAATTCTTTAGAGGTATAACATTAGGACTGGAATTGTTAAAATTGCTGCAATGGAGATGCCGTTTCTGCCAGAAGAGTTACAACCATCGGAAAAACACTGACAGACGGCTTCCTTGCGGCCGACGTTGCTGGTGTAGTAGCAATCCTCTTTATCGTGCAAAGCCCATCCGCACCTTCTTACAACTACTTCCAATCCGCCCCTATCGAAAACTAGACAAAAGATAAAACATCAAATCTTTATGAAAACCATTGTGTTTTCATTTACTTTTCTGGTAGGTTTTCCTGCAGAAGCGTTCAAGAGGAAGCTTGTAAAAGGGCGTGCCTTCCAGTTTCATTTCTGCCTCGGGAACTGTGCATTCCAAGTAATAGGGACTGGTGGTATCGTTGGCTTTTAGACTGAAACAGCCTTTGTCATATTGGGAGTTGCACTGGAAACAACGTAGCCCGTTGACATCTGAGAAAAAACCAATTATGTTAAAAAAGTTGTAATCGATGGTCTGTGGAAAGAAGAGGCAATAATTAATAAATAAACAATATTAAAAAAACATATAATCCCTTTAATGTTAGAATATGCCGCCGTAACACGATCGAGGAGTCAATTTTTCATGAAACTTTTTCGTAGGATTCAAATATCTAATAAAAAACTAAGGGTTTCTATTTAAAATGACAATGTTGGTGTCAATGACACATATTTACGCACATGCAAAGCGCAAAAATATAATTTTTGGATATTACTGAAAAATTAACGGGAGTTCACTGTTGCAACTTTTAGATCTTTTTTTCAATATTTTATTACAATCTCCAACTTTTGATTACAATATGTAATTTGAAGAACATATACAGGGTCGGAGAATTTTTTGATAAGGTGTTCTTGTGAATTTTCGTTAAAAATGTCAGAAATGGTGAATTTTGTGTACCCCTTCACCTCCTAACTTCGACAAATCGCCAAAAATGAAATTTTCGGCCGATCAAAGTGGTTTTAATCTCATTCGACGCAGAAATTAATCCTCAGCAGATGGTTTTTCGAGCTGTTTTACGGTCAGCGTAACGGTTTACTAACAATTTCACGAATAAGGTCTCAAAACGTGGTTTTTCATGGTTTTTGCCTGTAGCTCGGAACTGAAGGGTTTGCGGACACAGGTTCATAGAACCTTTTTTACTCAGCGTTCAATTTCCTATAAGATCTGGAAGTGTGGTTGAATTTATTGAGGCCACCGTGCGCGCGCGCGCGTGTGTGTGTGTGTGTGTGTGTGTGCGCGAGCGTGCGTGCGTGTGTGCGTTCTTCAAATTACATATTGTAATCAAAAATTGTAGATTGTAATAAAATATTGAGAAAAAAAATCAAAAAGTTGCAACAGTCAACTCCCGTTAAATATTTCAGTAGTATTCAAAAATTATATTTTTGCGCTTTGCATGTTTACAGCTATTTACATATTTACATAGAGGGATGGAAATAATAATATTATTCTCCCACTTCACCTCACTAAATAAACTTCACTGCCTACTCTTCAGAAAGGAGGTGGCGGGGCCATTTTTTCTTAAGACGCCTTATGAGATGGTAGGGATGGGTTCTGTTCGACAAGACCGGGCGAGACTGCAGGGGAGATGGGAAAGACTATTGTAGATGTTGGTTAATTTTTAAAGGATTAAATGTTTGATTGATATGTCTAAAAATGATAAATTTAAGAGGGGGTCATCTTTAGCTGGGACACACAGTAGAGGCATTCGAGTCATAAGAAAAGTATAGGTGCTCAAAAATTTCAAACTTAGTCACGAACTAACAGTAGTTTTAAAAACCTCAGGGTAAACAGTTTGAAAAAACGGGTTTTTGGTCATTTGGTGAACGTATCGTTAATTCTCCGACATACTCCATACCACCTTTAAAAAAATGAAACTATCAACAAATGACCAATGCCAATGACAAAACATATCCAACAGCTAGAAAAAGTACATGGAAAGCCTTTCTTGCGCCATACAGTTCGTAACACAACAAATCCGAGCATTCTCTCCTTCATAAAAGAAACGAAAATCTTCCAGGAAATGCATTAGCAGAGATCGCTCAATAGAAAAAAGATTAAGCGTTAAAGTGAGAAATCCCTAGGACTCCAAATGGGGAAAGCCGTTCCCAAATATCTTTCCAACCTCACAATCGACTCCGATTTTTATATTCCTTTTTTCAAAGACCTAGCCCGATCCAGGTTTAGGAAATTCCGCTCCAGATTACCCATATTCCATCAATGATTCGTTAATTCATATTCTCTCCTTAAAAATCCTTCCCAATAATAATGGATGTGTGCCTCCTAAGGTCGTCTACGAAGTACCGTAGTGCCTTAAATATACGCGTATGAATGAACATATCGTATACAGTTTAACTCCCCCCTAGAACTCCTATGGCCATAGCCAGCGTTCGGAATTGAATGGAACGTCTCCATCATCAATAAGAGCCACACCACCCGCAACATCCTCAGCACTAAATGGTATATCTAAGTTTACAATTTGAAAGTAAAAACCAAAACTAAACAGTTTATTTCTTCAGAATTCAAATGAGACTGAATAGACAGTTTAAATTCCGTAAAAAATAAACATTGAAAAATCTTTTATGCTTGTTCTGGATTCGGGATTATAGATTAAGTGTATTTACCTCTAATCGATTCCCAATTTGAAACCTAGCATAAACAAATATTTATTGGTAAAAACAATGAGACTATTAAGGGAAAAATTTTCGTTTATCGAGAGAATTAAAAAATCAATTTTGTGAATTTAGTCATTTTTTGACGCACCTTTGGAAAATCAACGTGGGTGCATTTAAATCTGACTCGAGGCTTATTTCCTTTGATTAATACGGTGATAAAAGGAAGTGAGTCAATTTTCGGTGCACCATAGGAAAATCAACGTTGGTGCGTCTAATTATGACTCGGCAGATTTTAATTTGTTAGTCTCGTACCAAAAAATAGGCGAGTCACTTTACGACGCACCATTCGTTACAAATTAGTTTGTATTATTTATACTCTTAAACCTTAATCAAATTAATTTGTGAAGATTTTTTTAAATTTTTACATTGTGTTGGAGTAATGTTTTAATAATATTGGTTTTGTTTATTTTCCTTCCAACCTACTAAAACTAATTTGTAACGAATGGTGCGTCAAAAAATGACACCCTGTATATATATATGTATTTTTTTTAATATATAATTATTTTCCAGTCACAAGTAACTCTTGCGAGAGGGAATATATTTCCACCTGCCCCCAATTAAGATTACAGGTGTTTAAAGCTTACATCTTTTACATTTTAAATATTACATCGACCATTCAGTTTTAAACATGTTCAGATTCAAATTTATAAACATTTACATTTGACGTTAGTGATCATGATTATTGTATTACTATTTTAATAACAGTTAATAATAATTTTATTAATTAATAATTATTATTCAATTAATCATTACTAATACATTAATTAATACATTAACCAATCAACTCATTAACGCATATATTAACTATTACTACCTATTAAGGAGCGCTACTACTACCTAATAGCGAGATTCGAACCCACGACCTTCGGCTAGATAAGCCGCTGCTCTACTACTTGAGCTATCGTGACCTCTCAACCTCACCTTCGAATCTCGCTCGTGACACTGACTTTTTTATCTCGACTAAAAACCATAATTAATTGAGAGATTTATTGAATTAATAAAGATTATCATATATTGAAGAAATTCTTGTAATAGTGTTTTTAATGAAACTGGCCACTATTTTCCTGCTAAAACTACCTTTCGTATTAGCTTTGCCCTCATTTGCTCCTGTAGATCGAAGTCAAGCACCGCAGCATTACAGAAACACTGCCAATGTCCTTAAGGTTGAAGCGTTTCAGGTAAGAGCATTGTTACCGTGCCCACTTAAAACCCGGGTAAGATTGTAGGAGTAGGTGAAGACTAAATCCTGGCGAGTTTTGATGTTCTCAAAAAAAATTTTAGTATGGCTTCCTGTTGTCCGACCATAGGAGATCCCATAATTCGTGGCTCTACCTTTTTCGCTTCCGATATATTAAGGATCTAGCTACGTTCCCGAATTCCACAGGTAGGGATTTATCTGCTGCCGCTTCTTTCGCCTATCGATCTGCTTCTTCATTACCTTTTTGACCAGCGTGAGCTTTTACCCAATGTAATTTTAATTGCTATCCTTTTTCTTCTAGGTTTCTGCTCAAGGCTTTGATTATCTCAACATCTGATAGGTGGTTTCGACGATCGCGGAATTGTGCTATTGCCACTTTGCTTTCTGAATAAATTCGCAGCGTTTTTTATTCGCGGTTTCCTAGATAGTTCTTCCTCCATTCCACATGTCTTATATAATGCAAGCAGTTCGGCCTGATTATTGCTGCACCAGTCAGCAAGTTTAGATTGCCGAACACCACTACTTCACATCCTACACCTCCTTCTGTTTTACTACCATCGGTGTACATATTGTAGAAAGCTACCTCTCCAGATTGTACAATACTGGTGTCTTCTTCAAATGAAAAACGATTTCTGTCTTCTGCTTGGTGTAGTCTTTTGCACGTTGGGATTTCAGATTCGATGTGATATTCTTCACCGAGAACCTCATATCTCCCTTTGCGTATGTCGTTGCTGATCATTGCCATTTCCCTAAGCTTTAAATATATAGGGAGTTCCCCAGCTATGACACATGTGACACATGAACCTAACCATATAAATATATATATATATTACACTCCTATGTATATTAATCGCACGCTTCAGTCGTCGGGGTGGATTAAGTGGAAGAGTGCGGGGATTAGTGGATGAAATGGGCTTATGTGACACGACGACACACAGCATTTTGCGGGAAAAAACAATTCTATTCGTTTTAAGCAACCTTTTAAACCCTTAAATACACCTAAAATACAATTTTTCATAGCTATAAAAAAATATTTCTTGGTTGAATTCATAAATTTATTTGCGTGGTGATTAGTGACCGTTAATCTATAATTAATTAATTAAACAATGTTTGTAAATCCCAGGCCCTGAAGATGATCTCAATAAAGATCGAAACGTTGGCACGATAAAGAAAATGTTTTTCTGAAACCTACGTCACACCAGACCGCATCTCACGATTTCTGAATAATCATAACTTTATTGTTTATTTAATTTTATAAAAAATATTTTCCCAAAAATTTGTAATCAGGGGTTGACTGAGGTAAAAAAGCAACTACCAGCGTTGTGTTTTTGCTTTAAAAAAAAAGTTAACCTACTACGCGGAAACAAGAAAATAATCAATCTTTGACGAGTACATTCGTATCTATTGAAATGCAATAAATAATTATTTTGTGACCGAGCTACTTAGGAAAATAGGTTGCTTAACATTCACAAGTATTATTAAATTCCACAGTTTTTTAATTCGTCAAGAAAAATATCGAAAGTGTGGAAATATCGAGTCCAAGTATCGAATGGTGAAATCCCAATATCGATACTTTTTCTGTATAGACGCACGTGTCCCTCTGAAGATTAACTGACTGACATGTTTGATCGCTTTAGTCATTACACAAACTTTGAAAATGACAATGATAAGCGGGCCTTAAGTGATAATAATAATAACAGAAAAGAATGTATCGACTTTTTTAAATATTGTCTGTTTGAAACTGTCAGCGTTTCAAAATAAACAAGGACAGAAAACCGCAATTAGAAAATTGCTCGATAATCAATTTTTAATGTTTGTGTAATCTGATTTTTATTGGAAATCAGGCTAAAAGTTTTTCAGTCATTATATTAAATGTAATTATTTGTTTATTTTTTACACACAAATGGAATATTGTTCTACAAAGAAATGTAAAAATATCTATAGTAATTATAAATAGATAGAAAAGAAAAATATACAAACAAAGAAAACTGTAAACTACAAACTAATAAATTGGGTAAAATAAGACCATACCGTTTTTTTAATCATTCTATTTTATAACTCTTGGTTTTTGAAACAATGTTGATGTAGTCATTATCGATTATTCACTTTGAAAAGGGATTCATTTTAAAGAAGACAAGATTTCTAAGAGCGTTGGAATATCTCATATTGAGATGCGATGAGAATTTTAATTAGTAGTCGGAGATAATCATTAATCGAGTTAACAATTGGTTCCTAATACTACACTGTGCTATTAACAGTGAGGCGGTCCTGTTAAAAATGACAAATGTAACAGACATATGCAATTTGGTCCAGGAATAAAGATTTTCCAAATCATTTGTAAGCATGGAGTATCCTCAATGCATGAGTTAGTTTTATATATACCATCTGAAAATAGTTGGTATTGATTACCTTTGTAAAAGCCTGCTTATATCCTCTTCTTATAAAGAGAATAGGACCAAAATGTGATGTGAGCAGATGTAGTGAAATGACACGATTTAATTTTAACAGAAAATATATTATTGCTTAAGTAGGTTTAGGAACATCCTAATAAGAGTCCAAAATTACAGTATGCAATTAATTCGGCAATTACAGACCCAAGAAAACATTGCTTAAACTTCTATTTAGAAGTTTGGAAACTCGTAAAAGTTTATCTTTTAAGTGATTTTGCATTTGTTCGCTTAAGATTATAATTTTAAAAAATCTCAGGTTTTTAATACTCTTTAAATGAGTGTAATAATCTTTTTTAATTTGAAATTTACATAATAGAATTAACTACAACGAACAAATATAATGTTGATAGTGAATGTCTTGTCCTGAGCGGAGAAGTCACTCCCAGAAATGACGCTCCATATAGGTGACTGAGTTTAGAGATACTTTCTCATCGTCTGTTTTTATCCATGATCCGTCGTCTCGTCTTTGTATTTTTGTATTTCAGTGTTCCTAGAGTAGCGTTCAATGATTGGGGTGTCTGTTGTGGTGTTTGTCTGTACATTGTAAGTTTCGTCCTTATACTTCTTCGGAGCAGGTTGAGTGCCCGTTTAAGCGCTGGGAGTTGCTAAATTTTGCCAACACAACCTTGCCATTATCTTTTCAATAATATGGACGCGTATTTCAGTCGGAAAGAAATGGTCGTTTAGTCTAGGGTTGTGTCGTCTAATCTCCGTTGCGTTCCATATACACTCTTGTATAGCAGAGGTGAAAGGTTCGGCAGCTGAGACAATCGGTTGAGCTGTTTTTAGTGTAATGTTTAAGTTAAGTCTCTGTTAAAGTAAATAACGAAAGTTGTCAACAGGTCCGTTTATTAATTTTGTAGGAGTTGGTTTTAGGTTAGCCCGGGTGTCAAGAGTAAGAAGCATAGGACTTCGGACGGAAGAAAAATCTTCCAGAATTATGATATCTGGTGAAGATAAGATAGAGGTGAACGAATGAAGATGTCAAGAAGGTCAGGGAGTTTATATTGGAAAGTAGGCCAGTATGTTGGTTGGGATTGGAATAAAAAGAAGTATCTGGAATGAGAGTGTCAGACACTCTACACCCCCAGAGATGTTTTGCATTATAGCCACCGTCCGCCAGGAAGTTAGGACTTAAGGATTGGAAGAAGTTATAAAGTAGTTTAGTGTGAGGGTATGATTGGGGGGGGGCACAATATACTGCAGCTACGGAGAGTTTGAATGGTTATACGGGGATAGAAATAACAGTGGATTGTTAGGAGTTGGTAGGTATGGTCAGTATGAAATAGTGGGTAAGGGTGTTCTTTATTGCAGTATCATCAGGGAGGCCAGTTCTCTAAACAGTGTAGCTTACAATGTTGAAGAATGTTCTAGAAGTGAAGTAAGTTTCCATTATTAGAGCGATGTCTATCTGATTTTAGTGGAGTGGTGCGTCTAGTTCCAGCCTATGTAAGTGCAGCCATTGGTCCAGAGATGGGTTGAAGAGGAATGAAGATTGACCGGATTAAGTAGCATTTTGGGTAGGAGTTTAGTTATGATGGTGGTTAAGAGGTTTATTGAAGGAGTTATTATGTTTTTAAGCCACTAAGATAGATCCCAATAACTGCAAGGATATCTGGCGATGAAGGTGGTGAGGCTTGGAGAAGGCGCCAATGTACAATTCACTAAATGCGCGTAATTGAAATGCTGATGGGATGACTGAGATGCTGGCTGGTTAGAAGGAGGTTGGTCAGGTTGCTGAGTTTTTTTTTATAGACGACGGGTGTTCATAGAGGGCCTAGGATGTCTCTGCGCTGCAGTTCTTTGTCGACCAGATTTCCTCGGTAGTTAGCTGGGTCCGATTTATCATAGACATACCAGTTACCCTCTACCATCCCGATCCTGCTATTTTCTCAGAGGAGTTCCCGCACACATCCAACGAATAACCGAACGCAAACAATTAAAAAGGTAGGAACTAAACTGACACTTCTGGTTAATCTATAAGCTCGTTGGACGCAAATCTAACATGTCGACAAAAAGCTGCATTACAAAACACCGTTGAAACCGATTTGGACATGTTGACTTGAACTACGAAGCACCACTTTTGTGAGTTGGGTTTTAACCCAAAAAATTCTTACCTTCCAATCCAAATTCCTAAGAACCATAGTCAACGCTTCCTACTATGCCTCTCATACCAACTATCTCAAAATACCCTTTGCAAATCAATTAAAAACAACTAAATTTTTTTAGATTCCATGCTAAACTCACTCACCCCAATCCATTAGTCCTAGGTATGACTTAACCCGCGAGCTAAAGCGGAAATGGCCCCGGGGCCTCCTCGCCAAGGCCCTTAAGTAAAGTTGGGAGAGCAACAAAGGTTGCTAACTCCCCTCAAGCCATAATATATTGTAAATATGTATGATAATATCCTTAAATTGGTATACTTTATTAAAATATTTATTAAAGTAATAAAATCTGTATATGTATAAACAGGCGAACATGGTTTGTGACGGCACAGCACAAATAAACTTAGGTTTTTTTGGCAGTTCAAATTGGGAATAATTTTGTTTTCTTGGTGGGTTTCGTGCGACAAACTTGGAATTTGGGAATATTGGAAATAAATCTACGAAGAAATCCGAACTTCCGCTGTTTCTTTGTGAGATGTTTTAAAGATTTAATTGAAAGCAAATATTATAACAATATTTAAGTTTATATAAAAATAAAAATCCTTTTGTAAAATAAATATTTAAAAAAATTATTTTATATGTACAATAAAACTGTAACTGTATCGTTATGCCTCCTTCATCACACTCTAAGAACTAATGGATAAAGTTCACTTTTAAATTTTGTTACTTTTATGATATATTGATTTTAAAATCAAATTGTTTGTTATTATTACTCACCATCAGACAATAAAAGAACTATGCCGCAAAATATCGCCACAAGGTGCCAAATTGATTTGGCAACCATACTTTTCCTTTCGATTCACTTTTTTACAATTTAATTCACGGATGCTGTCTTGCAACTGCCAAACGTATCTGCCTTTGACGCAGTAGAGGTCCATGTTTCATATCTCTGGTAAGATAACTCTTTTGCCCTTTCAATTAAAATCTCAGCACTTTTCGATTCGTTGATTTGTAGAGAGAAAGAAAAAAGAAAGATTTCACCCAGGAAATATTGCAGTCAGTCACATTATGCATCTGCATGCAGACCCCGACGCCAATGAGATAAGTGATAGCAGTAATAACGGTAAACAGATCTTTAATTGATAAACCATATAGTCTATTATTAAATCGAGAACACTTCCTAAAAAAACCTATTTTATTAAACAAATTTTTGGCAACGTCTATTCATCTATCATATTTCTAATAGTTAGTACATAAAACATGTCCTCATATTTTTTTTCTTTGTATTGGCATTGTACTATATTTATGAAAATGACGCCAAAATTCATAAACGTTAGTGACATCTGCCGGTCAAAAATTTTAACTCACAAAGATCATATATTCCTGCACTTGTGTAAAACGTGTGAGATAACACTGCCCATATTTTTTTTAATAGAAAGGAAGTAATTTACCAATTACGAATGGATTTCCGTGAAATTATACAATATTTTTAATTATTTCAATTAATTATTCTTTTTTATGTAAGGTTCGAATCCCGCTCGTGACACTAACTTTTTCATCTCAACCAAGACTACATAAAAAGAATAATTAATTGAAATAATTAATATGGTCCATTAAAACACTAAACATACATGGAATAATATTTATAATGCTGAATCGAGCTTATGCCTCAAATTATACCAATTTACGTTATAGCCTAATGATTTCAAAATTAGATATAACCATTTCTAAAATTCGTGCATTTCTACTCTCACGTTTGATTTTATTAATTTCGCACTCAGAATTTTAACACTTTGTATAAGTAGACCTCAGGTCACTCTTTTATAAGTATCTTTAAAACGTATTCGACGAAACCTTGCTGATACTCTCCATGCAACACCAAGGAGCATCGGAAAAACCAGTTTGGATGTTTTCATACTTAAAAATCTCAATATAAACAATGTTCTTTGTACTGCTTGCCAATAAAATTAAGCCAAATACATTTCTCGTGAAATAAAATTAAAAAATGTAAAAAAGCCCGTTTTGAAGCTTTGTAGTCAGCCTTGAAAGCTATTGAATTTTAAGTAGGTACAATTGATATTTTCTATCTTAATTTTTCAGTGTGTTTGTACAGTGACTCTTCTAGTTTGCCTAATGTACAAATAGTGAATAGTAAGGGATATGGTGAGGTAATCGTGAGTTTGTCTTTTTGCAAGAGGTTTCTTTTTTTCCTATATCTTTTCGGATTTTTCCTCAATTACAGCAAGAGATATCAAATAAAACATTTTATGAGATAGGTTGATTTCAACTTTTTTTTTCTCTTAAAATGACATAAAATTTGTTAGAAGAAAAAGTTCAGTTTTTAATAGTTTAATTTGAATAAAATCCAGAGATGTTATGAATTTTTAAGCACACATTAAAAAGAGAAAAACAAATTGCAACCGACTAATCCTGCCCAAAAATGTCTATTATTGCTATAAAAATTAATATTTCAGGGTTTTAGGATTTTAAAATGTAAAGAGTTCGTGGTCCGGTTGACCGAAAAACTTTTTTCAATTAATTAATCTTTATATAAGGTATGGGTTAAGATAGAAAAGTCAGTGTCACGAGCGGGATTCGAACCCACGACCTTCGGCTTGATACGACACTACTCTACACTTGAGCTATCGTGACCTCGATCCACTCGGACACCAACTTCCCATCTTAACCCCACCTTTCGAATTTTCCCTCTTTTTGCAATTTTTCAAATGTCGTATAATCTATTTGATTCTTGGCGACAAATGAAATGGCCACAGCGAGCTTTCGTGAAGATATACTTCATTTTACTTATTAAATTCATTAGAGTTCGCGGTCCGATTGACCGAATAACTATTTCAATTAATTAATCTTTATGTAAGGTTGAGATAAAAAAGTCAGTGTCACGAGCGGGATTCGAACCCACGACCTTCGGCCAAATACGCCGCTGCTCTACCACTTGAGCTATCGTGATTTCGATCCACTCGGACACCAACTTCCCATCTCATTTGTCGCCGAGAATCAAATAGATTATACGTCATTTTAAAAATGGCAAAAAAGAGGGAAAATTCGAAAGGTGGGGTTAAGATGGGAAATTGGTGTCCGAGTGGATCGAAGTCACGATAGCTCAAGTGGTAGGGCAGCGGCGTATTTAGCCGAGGGTCGTGAGTTCGAATCCCGCTCGTGACACTGACTTTTTTATCTCAACCAATACCTTACATAAAGATTAATTAATCTTTAAATAACGTTTTTTCCAACAAATCCCAATAAAAATATTTACGTTATAAAGAATTATTGATTCTCCTTTTTCTACAATTATACAATTTAAAAAATTAAATTTAAAAACTCTAAGCTTTTACGTTATTCCTACTACATGTTGTTATTTTAAGAGGCATTAATTATAACAATTATATTAATATAATAGCTACTCAAATTACATTTTTAAAAAATTTAATTATAGTAAATAACTACATACCGATTTAAATTTAGTACCTTAAATTAATTTATCATCTGGGGCAAGTAATATTTTACTTGTTAGGCAACCGCACAGGAACATACTTGTCTTTTTCCTTTTAAAGAGGAAAACATAAAGTATGTCTCACAATGTACAACATATTCAGGAAATCTTATTTTAAAAAATTGTGTAAATTACTTTAAATATGTGTTCCGAGTGTTCCTATGGCTTATTGGCAAAAACGCTCAAATTTCTAATATTTTTCGACCTAGTATCACCCAGAAAGAAGCTTCCCCTTGTAAATGATCTAAATCGTTTCAAATCATCAGTCCGTAAAGCGTTCATTTCTTTAGATGAGTATTGCAAAGCAAATATTTGACTATTGGCATTAAGTTTAAAAAAATATATAATTCTGTAATTCTGAAATTTTGTAGAAATATTCAACCACGGGTCACTTAAAGAGGTAGCTGTCGGTTTAAAAAAGTAAACTAACCTACTGACGCGTACAGCAAGTCATTAGTATACAGTCTTAGAAAATTGCGAACAACAATCCAAAGAGATCCCTAAAGGAGTCGAAAAAAACTTTGATATACTGATGAATTTTTGAAATTAACAGATTTTTGTGGCCTACTCCACAAATATCAATCGTGGAATAATACTATTTAATTTTCGTTTGCTTCTTTGTAGGTGTATATAAAAGATTGCAGTAACTCGTTAGGTTATCTACCCAAATAAAAGTGCTCATAATTCCTTATAAAAAGTTGTTTATTAACAGTATAAATATTGTACTTTAATGGTATTTTTATTTTGTAAGAAGTATCATTTTTATTTCATTTTAAATAAAAGGTATCGACCAGCAAATTTCCATTACTTGTGGATCAGGTATGTTGTCATTGGGATTTCATATTATACATTTTCGTACATGTGAATTGATGTTTCTTTTAGTCCTTAAAGTTAACATTTATATTATTTTTAAAGCAAGTCAAGTTCATAAATGGGATATTAGTTTAATTCTATAATAATAACTTATTTGCTAGGATTACAGTAGCTGGACAAAGAAAACAAAAAAAGCTTCTAAACCCGCAGTTAAATTAGATATTTATATACACTGTCTAGCCTAGCCTGCACAAGACTTAAATTGTTTTAAGGTAAAAATTGACAGCAAGGACTTTTCAAACCGGCAAAAAATAATGGTGTTTGTCATGACCTGTCTCAACCACCCTTGCATGATTTTAATATAGTCCAGGTTTGTCACAATTCCTTTCATCAAAATAATATGAAAAAATAATAAAACTGAAAGACAAGAATCTACCAAATATTAAACTATGCAAATTCGTAAATTTATTGCTCTAATTTGTGACGTTAATATCAGTTTCACAATAATCCCATTGTCATAACATTATTTTAAGTTTAATTATTGCATTCTTGTAAAAAAAATATTTATTGACGTTTTTGTTGTTTAATTGCTTTGATTTTAATTGTAATAAGAGAAAAATAGTTCGGTAAGGTCTCAGGAAGCAAGAATCTGAACCTTAATTTTACTACATTGTCTTCAGTTGAAAGAAAGAATGAAAACCCAAAAGGGATAACCATTTCTTACCGTATAATAGAAAAATATCATAGAGATTGAATGTAAAGAAAAGGCGTAATTTGTTCTTTCCGCCTAGACGGTATATCAACAAAATTTAAACTATGTATAAACAATATTTACGTAAAGAATTGATTATTTAAAAGCTAAAAATATAATAAATAAAAATGATGTAGCTATTTGTTTGACGACAAGAAAATACATTATTGTTAAATTCCTTTAGTGGTATTGCATCGCGATCAAGAAGGTTGAAATGGATATGGCTGCCAGAGAGATGGCGTTTCTTCCAGATGAGTTGCACCCCTCTGTAAAACACTGGCAGACAGTTTCTTTGTGGCCGACGGAACTAGTTTTGTAACAGTCTAGCTTGGTGTGCTTGATCCATCCGCATGTCCTGATCACGACTTCCAAGCCGTCCCGGTCGTGGACTGAAATTTAAAAAAAACAAGTCACGTCTATCCTTTGAGCTGCATAAGACATTTTCAATGTTTACTCTTTTGATAAATCTTCCTGCAGAACATCGCGGTGGCGTTGGGCGCAGGTGGAGCGCTTACTGACAGATTCTGCGACTTCGGCATGATCGGCGGACGACATTCTTTGTAGTAGAGGCTGTTGGTGTCGTTAGGAGCTATGGAGGCGCAATCCGGCTGGCGGAGCGAGTTGCACTGGAAACACCAAATCGCTGATACATCTGCAAAAAGCGAAAAACCCAAATAAATAAAAACAATCTCTCTTTACATCGATCGTTTTGTGTCGAATCGAGAAAACAGTGGTTTTTTTTATATGGTCTTTGGTTCAATTGAGTCGAGATTTGCCGAGAGGTTTGATGTCTCATCAGCAAACGATGTTGTGTATATGCATAAAAGCAACGGACCTAAGACCTGAGTATAGGGGTGTCGGTGGCCGCAACGGTTAGAGCTCATCACTGTAAGAGTCCCTTTTTACAACTTTTACACTTACAAACGGGCATTTTTTTTAAACCATCACTCCGAGGATTGATATGACCTCTTAGTGGTCCTCTGTACCCTTATACAAAAATGGATCGAAGAATTTGAAGTGATAAGTAATACGGAAGAAACCTTCTTATAGGTAGGATTTAATGGAGTAGAAACCGTCTTTCTGACCAAAAATTGCAATTTTGAATAATTTTTGAAAATTAAACTACCACTTTTTCATATACGGAATAAGTGATTCCATTATCCATTTTTGAAAGTTGTTAAAGAAGGATTTTAGTGTATTTTGCCTTGATGAACTTGTAACTCGTCATACTTTTTTGCTCTTTGAAGCCTATCGTCTTTTATATATATTCTATGTCAAAAACTACCCTATAAACGCAAACAATGTCTATCATCCCCTACTGCAAAAGGAATAGGTGTATTTGTTTTACACTAACCGGAAAAATTCAGCTCTACCAGGAAATCACTTCTCCTGAAAACCCCTTTTAATTTTGTAAAGGGTTAAAAGACGAACGATCGTAGCGAACAAATTTCATTTTAAAAAAATACCCAGTATCGTATAGTTTTTATGTTTAAAATAAAAGGTGTGAATGTTTTGTAGATCGACCTGCAGAAAATCAATGTAGAGTTGAAGTCTTCTTTAAGGTCTTTACTAGGAGAAGGAAAGACAAAAGTGTTGGGATCACCAAGCTTTCGGCAACATTATGTTGCCATCATCAGGGCCTATTTATTAAGAAAAATATTCATAATTATTATAAATTCAACAATAGATTAAAGCAATAATGCATACTTTCCCAAGAGAGAAGAGTGAAAAATTCTCATCGGAAAAAAACTAATGTAAAAGTGCTTTGGTTTAGGTTATAAAGCACATGGCCAGCATTCAGTTGTACATGGTGAACAAGACATCTATGTAAAGTAGTGAGTAATTATTTGCATATAACATTAACAATTGACAACAATAATAGTTTATATATATAATAACATTTTAAAAAAATACCTCACTAATAATTCATATAATTAGGTGAGGCGACGTTGTGTCGTGTTTTCATCATAATTTGTAATCCTTTGTACATATAATTTAAAAAGCTATAATTCTAGTCATTAATGTAATACTATGTGATAACATATGTTTTTAGTGTCAAAAATAGCTAGTAAGAAAAAAAACAGTTGGGTCTGTAATTATATGAATTATTAGTGAGGTAATTTTTTTTTAATGTTATTATATATATAAATTATTATTGTTGTCAATTGTTAATGTTATATGCGAATAATTACTCACTACTTTACATAGATGTCTTGTTCACCATGTATAACTGAATGCTGGCCATGTGCTTCATAACCTAAACCAAAGCACTTTTACATTATTTTTTTTCCGATGAGAATTTTTCTCTCTTCTCTCTTGGGAAAGTATGCATTATTGCTTTAATTTATTGTTGAATTTATATTAATTATGTATATTTTTCTTAATAAATAGGCCCTGATGATGGCAACATAATGTTGCCGAAAGCTTGGTGATCCCAACACTTTTGTCTTTCTTTCACCTAGTAAAGACCTTAACGAAGATTTGAACTCTACATTAAAAGGTGTAAATTTATATCAGGATTTAAAAATTAACGCCAAAAATTAACGATCATCTATTTTCAAAAACTAATTTTCCTTTGACTACCAATTCGTAGTATACTCAGAAAAAATCGGTTGTTGTATTGTTTTTGAGAAAATGGTACCAAAAATTTAGCCTCTCTTCGAACAGTTAAATAACCTCGAAAAATTGAAATGCGTATCAAAATAAAATCCATCTAATGTGTGTATTTAATAACTTAATTAATAATAATCTAATTGGCCGGCAACGATACAAATTTTAAACTCCAGCAAAAATATCGCTTGTCCTACAAAGTTGCATTTTTTGCAACTTTCGGTACACTTTCCACCACAACTCTTCATCAGTTTGAAATAATTATTTTTTACATTATACAATTGTTACAATATACAACAACAATAAGTAAACAATCGTAACGAGCAATGTTTATTCATAAACACCCAGAAACGTAAAAAGAAGTTTTTGTTTACACAAAAAGGTGTAAAATTTTGTCAAAACTAGGTCTTGCCGAAAAATTTAATAATCCGATCTAAAACGTCGTATGATACTAAGAAAAATAAAACCAAAAAAGGTTGGTTGTTATAGACTAAATACATTTTGAGACAATGGTTACGAAAAATGACTATTTTTTTGCCTCTCTTAGAACAACTGATGACCTGCGGTAAAATTTTAGAACTTAATGCTTAAACAGAAGGTACAGGCTCTTCTACAAAATAAATCCGTATCAAAATTAAAATCCTTTTAGTAGATGTGGAGTTTTAAAAACAATTGGCAGTTCCAAGGAAAATTACAGCCTGTCCGTCCGAAAAACGGTCGCAACCCATTTAAGGGTTAGAAAATGAGCTAGAAATTAGGGATTTGATTCGGCTGTATACCCTGGATCGCCTGGAAGATCATAAACTAAGGATTACTCATATAATAGGGGCGCATTTTTTGGATTGTAGAATGATAATTACGGAAGCCAAAAGTGGTCAAGAATGTCCCGGTTGTGGGATAGGATTAAGTGATCAAGTAAGTCAATAAGACGGTATTAGGAAGCTTGTGGATCATGTGGATGGAAATTCGTTACCATTTCTGTAACCAGATGGTTTTCTCACCTCAAACCACAGAGAAATTGATTAATATCCAAATCCCACTTCACAAAACACAATTCCAAAGCCGACTCCCACCCGAATCCGGCAATTGCACAAATTCCAGCCAATATGCCTCCACCCCGCCAACAAAGACGGCTAAAAAGAAAGCATCATACGGACTACAGATTGTAAATATGTGTTAATGTAAATAAGTGCTAGTGTAAACGTGCGGCTGATGTTACATTATTACAGATAAAAACAAAAAAGTAGGTTAATTTATTTATTAATTATCAAATTACATAGGGCAAGACCCACCCTCAAATGCTATGTTAATCACACTTTTCGAGTATGCTGTATATCAGTATGTATTAGCAAAACATAATGTGTATGTGCACAAGAGTTAAATAAAATAATTTTAAAAAATCACAATCGTTTGCTTGGTTCGAGATCTTCATTTATGGAAAGTTGTCAACAATTGTCTCTGGTCAGCCTGGTCCTCGCTGTACCACAAATATTATAAGATTGGAAGGTAGAACTAGAACAAGGGAAATCAGGGACTATCCAAATGCGGAATAAGATCTATATTTCCCATGGAATCTAGGCACTGTGTCATTATAAAGGAAAAGTGAAATGTAAATCCGCTTTCATAAAGTATGGCATTATGTTTAACTAATCGTTATCATGAAATATTATATTGAACTTTGTGAGTTGAGTTTAACGTCGCTTGGTTGTTTTTTTGTAAACTGTAGTACGTCTTAAAGAACTGTATCAAAAAGGTGTTATCGCGTGTTTACTATATTTATAGATGTATTTATCTTTTTGCTTTATGTCCTACTTATTTATAAGTTCGTATCTTGTCTTTTCAACACTTGTAGACTCTTAGGTCTCTGGAAATTGTGAGAAAGATATGGTCAAGGGCAAAGATAAGGCGCAGAAAACCTATCCTCGAGAAATTTTGAGCGACGATTCAGCGTTGCTTAAATATGTGCATTATTTTACTTTTTCTATAACTATTTACCATATCATAAAAGCTTTGATATTTTAGTGAAACAGATATTTACATGAAGTTAAAGGTCTGAGACAGTCAGAGAACTTCCAGCAGTTTCGGTCGTTACGGTACAATAAAAGCGCTCACCTTTCGAATAGATCGCCAAGAAAACCAACTTGAAAATAAAGGTGAGAGTAAGAGTGCTTGCAAACATGATGAGGTCACGGGGGGTTGTGCGTCCGATAAACACGGTACTCGCTGGCCAGGTGTGCGTGATTAATTATCGCGTGTGCAGGTCATATATCGGAGGAAATGCACGAAAACAGAGAGTCATTTATTTTCGGGGACTTGGCTCTTGGGCCTACTATAAAAACGTTCTGAACATCAAAACCCATAAGGCTAGCTGAAGTATATTTACAACTTTAGTTCCATCCATTCTTGGCTTACGGACTCGATGCCCAAGTGATCCATTTTTTTGTAAATATTTTATAGGAAAATTAATAAAACGCGATTAATATTATTTCCCTATAGCCAAGGTGGAACGATATTCATTATATTTAGGTTCTAGAAATATAGTTACGAGAAGGATAAACACATCAAATGTCATACGATTATCGATCCGCTGCTACTTAGTTTTGTCCTTGGCTCTTAAGCGAGAAATATTACTTCTTAGTAAAAAACCTCCCAAGATATTAAAAATAATATAGTTTAAAACATTAAATGAAATGCTGTACGCTAATAGTGAACTGTTTCGTTTAGGACTGATAATATTTGGTCCGCCTAATCTCGCGGTGTAACTTTGTCATGTAAATTCCAAATTCCTATTTGTTTTTCCCATTATTAATAGTTCACTAAAAGATAAAAATTGCGACATAAACTATCAGGGTTCAAAAATATTCGGTAAAACTGAAGTAACTATTCAAACCATGTTATGTACCAGAAATGATCATATAAAAAATAAATATTAGGTACATTAATTAAACAGTTAGAGAGACCAAATAAGTTCGACGCCACCGACCTGAAGGCACCAGAAGACTGTAACTAACTCGAAATTTGTTATTGGATGAAAACCGTTTACAATCTTATGAAAAAGGACGAAACTCTCGATTAATCTGGGGCTAACTCATGATGTTAGTCCCAACCGGCCAACGTCGCTACCGGAAACCTCATAAGTGGATGAAATAGTTAAAAATTCAAAGTGCTTAGTTAGGCTTAGTAAAGATTCAGAAGGATGATGGATCATATCGAAACTTTGCCCGCACACGACCAACCCTAACCATCTCGAAGATGTTAACCTTGTCGGTCGATCGACCGCGATGTACGACGGCTTGAAACGTTGTATTGTTCTTACCGCAGTACGGAACCGTTATTTAACCGTGCTTCCTTGATAGTCAACAATCCGTATGTAAGAAGACTCTGTAAGAATAATTTAGTCTCTAGTCGCCCCACATCAGGTTCTCTGCAACTAGAAGCATCCAGTAGAAAGGCATATTCATAAATCAGAAATTCGCGTTGACACTTGGGGAGGGGGTGTTCTCTTCCTAAATGCGTGCCGATTTGGTTTGTGGCAATCAGATTACCGGGACCGTTTATGGAGGAGACATGGAGAACGCTTTGCTTCATGTGCCAAGCGTGAGTCACTGCTTTTTCAAAGGCAGTCAGTTATGGGGTGGAATCAACTTCCATGGCCGTACCCAACTGATTATCATACATGATGGATCTTTCGCTGTACTATCGTACATTGAGGAAATTTTTCTGGGAGCCGTGGTCCCATTCGCTCCATTTATCGGAGACAACTTCGTCTTAATGCATGATGATACTCGACCGCAGGTGGCTCGAGCTATCAGCCATTACTTGTAGGATTTAGAGATTACCACAATGAATTGGCCAGCACGTTTTCCTGACATGAATCCTATAGAACACTTATGGGACATCATAAAAATGAATCTTAGACTTAGTTCGCCGCCTCCAATAAGCGTTGAACAGCTTCAAGCCATTCTTGTTGAAGAATGGGATTCAGTACCACATGCTGAAAACGGATCCCTTATTTATTCGATGCCTAGAAGACTTAAGGCCTTCCGCGAGGCCATGGGAGGTAATACGCGTTATTAAGAGCAAAATTAGATAATAAACTGTTACTTAAATTTTAGTATATCACTAAATGATTTTCAGGTGTTTTGGTGCATTTTCTTACCATCATCATCAAATAAGTGGGTTTTTTCTGAATGTATAAAAGTCGATTCACATCAGTGACGTGACAGTGCCGTGACGGCCCTTATTCCCAACCACTGTGTCATTAGAGGGCTCACACTGTTCAGTGTTTCATCCGTACCTTGCAGTGGATTTTAGTGACCAAATTGGAAATGTTTTCAGATGATGACCGTTTTAATATCGCACTGATTTTAGATGAAGAAGAGGAACCACAAGCGAGAAAACGGAAGTTGGTCCATCGAGCATTGAACAAGAGAGGACAGAGGAGGGATTTGCTTCACTTTAGAATGAATTAGTAGTTAGCTTGCTGCATTCCTTAAGACTTAAGCTTCTAAATACATTAGAAATACGATATACGTACGTATAGTTGCGATACTTCCCAAGTGGATTCGAGGAGTGAAGGTCGAACAACAAAATTTTCATTTACAGAGAGAGAACGCAACGAAAGATGCATTTCATGTATGAGAAATATACACTGATTATTTCAATTCTGATGCGGGATATCTCCCGTGGTTATCAAAAACCCAGCAACCTTACAACAATCGTGGTTCATAATTTACTATACCCTGTTGCAATTCATAATTTAAACACTACTGAAATATACACGTCCTTTACTCACCATCGGTTTTCATTTCTTCTCCTATTTTCCTCCAGAGAATATTCGTGAAATCTGATTGAATTTGCCTGTTCAAAACAGATAGGATTATTTCGCACCAACTCAATAAGTTTTTCGTAATCATATTGTACGACCGTGAAAACGGAAAAATAACGTCACCAAGAAATCCGACGATCGCGGTCCGGTGACGACGGCAGCACTGTTGGCACGGTCACGGTCGCACGCCGGGTGAGTGTGAACAAAGCCATTAAATTTCCAAATAAAGTATTTTCAAACCTGCCAGTGGAACAAAATGCCGGTCACGTCTTAGAGGCGACTTCCTTATTTCGTATAGACTAAACCATCCATTCAGCTAAGTAAGCCGGGTTTAGCCTATTGGCAAACGCCGTGTTCATTTAAATTGACAATTTTAAACTTGAAAATAGCAATATAGATAGGCGACTATGCGCAAATCAGCACCTCGCTTGGACCCTTCAACAATGGGGGATATTCTCTTCACAGATGAGTGCCAGTTTATAGCAATCACATGACCGGAACCGTATGTGGAAGAGACGTGGAGAACCTTTGATTCATGTGCCATGGCGGATGGAATCAATGCCCACGCCCGTACCCAACTGATTATCATACATAATGGATCTCGAGTACTCGTACGTTGAGGGAGTTCTTCTGGAAGCTTTGATCCCATTCGCTCCGTTCATTGGGGTCAACTTCGTGTTGATGCATAATGCTATACCACATGTAACTAGATTTTTCACCCAATATTTGGTGGATGTAGGATTTACTACAATGAATTGGCCAGCACGTTCTCCTGACATGAATTTCACAGAACACTTATGAGACACATGCCTAGGAGACTTAAGGTCCTCCGCGACGTCAGAGGAGGTAATACGCGTTATTAAGAGCAAAACTAGGAATACATTCTTACTTAAATTTTAATCTATCACTAAATGATTTTTCGGTATTTTGGTGAATTTTTTAAACCATTAAATCATTTTGATTATAACTCATGAATTTTTGATCTCGGGTAATTTGGTTTACATTAAAATAAGTATATTGTAATAAATCATATAAATCGACATAAACAATAAAATACGAGTGTCCAGTTTTTGTCTGTGGCTGTACAAACGACAATCTAATTTTTTTTAATTAATTAATTAAAGATTTGTGTCATGGGTAGGATTCGAACCCACGGTATTTGGATATGAACTATAATCTATCATCGAACTACGGAACAATTAAGGAGAATTGTAAAAAAGGAGTGTGGAATGAGAAGGTTGGGTCATGAGGATCGCGACTTCGATCATATGTTAAATCTAATGTTAATTTGACGAGAAAAAATTATTTTTTTCAATTTTTTTTTCATACAAATTTCCCCTACCCTGACATTTATTTATTTTTTTTAAATTTATTTGTTACCTATACAAATATGTACACATGATTATTATACCACACAGCACAACACTAGAACTAATGCCAGCACTGCACCGGTAGAACACTTTAATGAACCAGCCATTGCTGGCACTCAGTGTGTATGATTTTGGGTCAAGGAGGTCCCGAGGCCATCGTCGGTTGAGGCGACGTGGTGGGTTGTCAGGATGGGAATGAGTGGATAGGGCTGGAGCAGTATGGTTCGAAAGGTTGGTGTGGAAGGTTTGGAATCTGAACTGGATTAGTTCGTTGACAAAAGGAATGTTGAGGTCTTTGTGGATAGTGAGGTTAGTGACATAAATAAGGTGTTTTGACAATTTGTCTAAGGACTGGATGTGCTGGCTATTGGAAGGCTTAGCAGTACCCCACAGTTCCACTTGGTCCACATTGGTCTTAGTAAAGTCTTGGTACAGTGTTAGCTTTGTCTTAATTGTCCAAATCGATTTCGGTCTTAGAAGTGTTCCTAGTAGTCCAAGTCTTGTATTAAGTTGCTGTTTTTTAAGTCTTGTGTGGGGATTCCACGTCAGTCTGCTATCGAGATATAATCCCAGGTATTTGACATGAGTGGAAACTGATATCTCTATGTACAGTGGAGGGCAAGACTGCTTTTTCAGCGTAAAAGTACACTGAGCGCATTTTTCTTCGTTCAGTCTCCATTTAATAATAATAAAGTTTGTGCTCCATCAAATTTAATATTTATTTTCTCTAATCTTAGTAGTTTTACGTTTATTTACATTAGCGTGTAATTGTGGGTTGGCACGCTTATTTATTTTGTTTCTTAATCGTGCTTGTGTAGAATTATGCCTGTAAGTTTGGGCAAAATTTAAGATTCATGGTTTTATTTGGATAATAAAAGGGCAATATGCCATCTGTCGGACTCACCATAAGGTATAAAGAGGAAAGCAAGTAACACGACAGCTGCACAGTAGTAACACAATTTCCCCGCCATTTCCACAGTAAAAGTATTTAGAATCGAGAAAGCTCAATTTCACTTCGCGGGGACCGGTTCACATAAAAGCCGGCTGCGAACTGCTGACTACGCATTTATATACGCCATATGACCCTATCAGACGATAAACTCCGGTGCCCCTTTTCGATAAGAATTGGCTCGTAAAAATAGGACGATTTCATTAGACAAAGTCAAAATATCGTCGATAAACACCAAGCTGCGGTTGAAACGTGTGACTGATTTGATACCGACAATCAACATACCCAGGAAAACGGAAACCCTTCAGGACCGCCTATATATTAGATCGTGCAAACAACGTTAAAGTGTAATATATTTCTGAATATTAAGCTGTTTTTTCCTGGCTTCACTGTCGGAAAGTCAGTGAAAACAAATAGCTAAGCGTTGTTATTTTCTTACGAACCAAATGCCGAGGAACCGTACTGGTCTGTTGATTTCCCAAGAGTACGTTTCTTTATAGGCCCTTTTCTATGTGCACTGTCTATTTATCAAACTGCAAATTGAGAATTATACTATCCTCTTTCCTAAAATGTTATCACGTAATACGATTTATAACATACGATTTATAACAGGGGTTAAAAGTGGCTTTCATTGCTATTAGGAAATAATTGTTACACTAAACGGTTGATTATTGTTACAACCTGACAAAATATGCTTTTTCAGGCAAAAAGTACGTTAATATGCTAAGGGTATTAATAATAAAACAGTAAAATTAACACCGATCAGATGCCCTCCCACGAGTATGCAGAGAAAGGTTGCTCGATGTTGCCTTCATAATAGAAGCTTGTGATGCCTTGACTCCTTATAAAGAGCGTGTCAGCATATCGCCGAATTTGGGAATTTCTCTCGGGCACGGTATTGTTATTATCAAGGTTAAGTTTTTTGTGTGATTGCGTCTATTTATTAGTGTGAGTGGTGGAAATATATCGTCACCATCGCCCCTCTAGCAGTGTGTGTCTAAACGATCGGGTTCGGTCGTCGAAACCCGATCGATCGGGTCGATGGCGGAATATTTATACATTACTCCATCGACCCTAATTTTAATTAGCTTTTTTTTCCTCCCCCTCTATACTGTGTTGGGTCATAGTAAAGAGGGGCCGTCAGGAGGACACTGTCTTCTGAGGCGTGGTGGATTGAGGATGGGATGTTAAAGTTAAAGAGTGGATCCTTGAATTGGTGTGGATTTTTTTTCTTTTGTTTAACGAGGGTTGGCAACAGCAGAGGTCATATCAACTCTCGGGGTGCCGGTGTTTTTGAAAAAAAGTCCATTTGTAAGAGGTCGGGTTCGAATGACCTGGATTCGAACCCGGGACCTTCACCTTTCAGTGATGAGCGCTGTGTCAACGCCTAAACCGTTGCGGCCACCGACGCCCCGATTAACTTATTACTATTGTTTGCTAGTCGATGGAGGAATATCGAGTACTCCACCGAGTGGAATGTCCAAAGCTGTGAATGTATTTATTTTCGCAAATTATTACATATATTAGTTTGTTTCAGGGTATATTATATTTTGCATACATTGGGGGCTGAAATGACCTAGTTGTCACCCCCGTTAGAGCCTAACCCCATTGGTTGGGAAACGACGATCTACTGAACAGCTGGTTTAAGGGAGCTAACAAGCGACCCGGCCGCGTAAAGGGATAGGTGATCTCCCCTGAGATATTACCCTGGGGTCAGCACATCTGGCACCCCTTCGGGTCCTATAAGTTTGAGTTTGATTTCGAGTTTATTTATTAGATACTTTTACATACATTTTGTACAAAGTGACTACAAGGGGAAATGTCTAGGACATTATACATCCTTGTGGCAGGGGGCTTAAGTATATTTACAACATTTGCTGATTTGGCCTAGAGAAATAAGAACAGTAGTGAAAATTATAATAAAAACCACTTGCAGAAAGAATACATTAATAAATAGGGAAGTTACAAATAATTACATATATTATAAATTATAAATCATAAGTCACTGACTACATATGTACAATAGATATGTCTGATAAACAACACTTTTACTTTAATAATAGCTAATTTGATAAATAAAGTAATAAATAAGCAAGTTAATAAATAATTACTAATTATTATAAATTAAAATCATTGAATAGACTTGGTCAATACATAGTCAGTGAACAAGTTAATTAACAATTTAATAAATAATATCACAGGGAATAAATATACAAAGCAGTCATACTAAAATGTGTTTGATCTTCCTCTGTTTCCAATTTTTGTTGAGGTTATAATTTCTTACATTCTGTACTGTCGTACTTGTACACTCAGCGCTACGTTCGTAAAAGTTATCCCTTTGATATCATCCTTAATGTATGGGATGTTTAAAATTTCGTGCATATAGCTTATACGAACACTTCATTTAGAGGATGTAATTAACCTTAAAAATTTATTTTGCATTGTTTGTAGGCACTTTATATTGGTCTAACTATGGTTTTATATATAATGAGTTTATTTTGGGGGCTCATCCCAGATTCTCTACACATTAAAGGGAACAGAGTCTTGATAGCACATTTCCCTTTTTACAAGTGTTGATACCAAAGTTAAGCTTGCTATCGAGGTGTAAACAAGGTATTAAACACTATTGCCCCAAGGAACATTTGAATCACCGATTCTTATAAATTCCCTATGTATAGGATGTCGTTTTGTGAATAGAATTGCCTCAGTTTTTGTTGTGTTTAACCTACGTTTCCATCTGTGGCAAAACCTAACGATCCTATGGAGGTTTCGGTTCAATTTGTTAGTACTAGTACTTACCCTCCACGATGAACAGTATATTGCTATGTTATCAGCATACATAGCTCTTTCACAGTGTGGCCTAGGGAGTGCATTCATAAATATATTGAACAAGGTTGGCCCTAGAACTGAACTTTGTGGGACTCCAGCGGGAATTTTACATGGCCTTTTTTGTAGTATTAGTAGTATAGTATACTATTACTCTAACAATGTAGCTTGGGAATTTGTCTTTTATAAGCCTATAGACAGTGTCCTATAAAGTTAACGCATTATTAAGCTGTAATTTGGTCGTTACCTGCGAATTTCATAAAGGTTTCTACATTTCACCATCTTCAGTGAGTCTGTCAGAGAAATCTCACATCACAAAGCGCTCTCCTTGACCTTAGTTTGCTAGCGAATAAACGTAATCCGACCTAATTACAAGGAAATTTGTGATAAAAAATACACGTTAATTTAAAATAAAAGGTGATAATTAAAGCGATCAATTCTTACGCAGAATTGTAGAACACTGTCAGCTCATCTCTCCTGGCAAAATTTTGATCTCTGTCTATATACACTTATTGAAAAATTGGGAAACTAATATTGAAAATCCAATGGATATTATTTAGAATTATATGGTCATATGACACTCATTATTAAAATCACAGATAACTTGTTCGTAATGAATAAACTCTTTATTCTGCAAGTTATAAAAGCAAAGAAAGCTTTTTCTTGTCATGTTTAAAATGGAAAGAGAAAACAACAAAAGCCGCCGACATAAAGGCAGGTGATTTTATTTTCGTAAACGTTCCAAGCCCATTCTAACTTTGGAAATCTTTCCAGGCGCAATTCATCTCCATCGAAAAACCCCGATGCTTGTTTAAACATTAACTTATTATTAGAACAGCATCTTTTGAAAGATGAAAAAAAATATCGAGGCCGTTCGAATGGTCGAAAATCTCAAATCCCAGGTCAAATATACAACAAATACTATCGATCCGAAAGGCCAGGGACGGAAACAAAAAAAAATTCTCTCCAATTGATTATAGTTTGTCAGAATATTGAAGCAAATCTTCATATCGAGGACGATGTTACTCAACATTTGTTGGTCTGTGTAGATTAAATAATTCATTTAATAGATTAGGTTAGTTATTCCAATCAACATTCGTCTCTCGCAGCTCGCCAGAAATTTCGGCTTTTGGGTAATTGTCTATAAATTAACGGCAGGCCTCGAAAATCATTCACCTCAGTTTTGCAGTACTCAATCTTATCCGTCAAGCCACCGAGGTTGGGGGTCCAGGGGCTATCAACAGCTAGGTCATTTCAATCAGTCTACGAATCCAAACCTACTCTCACTCCCTATCAAATACATTCTTTCCTATACAAATAGGAATGAATCATAAATCATTCACTTAGTTAGGATGATAGAATACATGATATTCCTCCATCACTCTCCACACATATCATATAACTAATCAATGGGGTACTTAATATCTGTCACACTACATTCACGCTTATAAATACATTCAGTCTTAACATAAAGAAATACCAGATGAGATATTTATAAAGTATAGGATATATACAGGATGTGCTTTTTAGATGGCCGGCAGAATTGCTCTTAAACAATGACGCTATAAAAAAATACATATTTAATATTTTTTTAGTCCAGTTTCACATTTTTACCTTTCTTTGGAGAAAACTTATACAGGGTAACTCAGGCCCAGTTCAACTTAAAAATTTCAAAGACGCCCCCTGCTCTGACCACTAGCTATCGTGACGGTGGTTAAAGCAGCGGCGTATTGAGCCGAAGGTCGTGGGTTCGAATCCCGCTCGTGACACTGAAGTTTTCATTTCAACCAAAACCTTACATAAAAAAATTTTTACAGCATGCTCACGAAAATCAGAATTCCTCTCTCCGAAATGTTGGAAGGGTTTTAGATTTTTCAAAAAATAAAATTAGAGATGTACTCCGGACTTATAATTTATCGCTCTCATCTTGTCCAGGCACTTCGGGATTCTGATTCTGATAGGAGACTAAAGTTCCTTGCACAAGTGTTGAAAACGTTGTGTTGATACATCCTATGGAATAATGAATCCAAGTTCGCCTATAATGGCATACTAAACCGTTGTAACTTGGGCGGAGGAAATTGCGAGAATTTAGTACTCTTGTCATCATCAGGTGGTTCACGGTATCAACATTTGCTATGGACTTCTCGGAAATAAATTAATCAGGCCTTATTTCTATGACAATAATTTAAATGGTGGTCAGATACTCAATTTTTTGAGGGAGGTTTTGTCAATACTATTAGATGATGTTCTTCAGCAACAACGACAATTCTCCAGCTTCATAGATGCCCCGCACACAATTCTTTTCAGGTGAGACGTTATGTGAATTGTCACTTCCGGGATAGATGGATAGTACCTCATGGCCCGATCTGTTGGCCTCCTTGTTCACCCGATTTATCTTCACTTGTCTATTTTCTGTGGGGCAGTGTGTACGCCAATAATAACCCAGTAACCTCAATCGAAGAATTTGCGGCAAAAGATAAAAAATGCTTGTCAATCCACCTCCTGTGACTCAATCGGTCTGAGCTCCGGCGAAGAGTGGTTAAAAAGAGCAAATCTTTGCTCTTTATAGAAGGCAGACAGTTCGAACACGAATTGTGATTAATAAATAGGAAACCAAATTACTGTTTTTTTGCCATAACTTTGTCATTTTTTGGTTCAACATAAAAAACCTTTAAAATGATGTGTCAGGAAGTATAGGGTCATATTTGAAATTTTGAAGTTGCACTGGGCCTGAGGTACCTGTATAATTTTTCTACAAAAAAAGGTAAAAATGTGAAACTTGACTAAAAAATAATAAACACATAGAATTTAATAAGTTTAAAATGAAGTATACCTTCACTAAAGCTCTCCGTGGCCATTTCATTTGTCGCCGAGAATCAAATGGATTACACGACATTTGAAAAATGGTAAAAAGGAGGGAAAATTCAAAAGATGTGGTTGAGATGGGAAATTGGTGTCCGAGTGGATCGAGGTCACGATAGCTCAAGTGGTAGAGCAGCGGCGTATCAAGCCGAAGATCTTGGGTTCGAATCCCGCTCGTGCCATTGACTTTTTTATCTCAACTGAGAACCTTAATTAATTGTAAGATATTAATTGGTCAAGCGAACCACGAAACTAGTGAATTTAAAAAAAAACATTTATCATATTGGGTGACTTTCCTGCATGCTTATATAGAGCCAAGGAATGCCATCCTTAATTATGGGGCACTTCGACCTTTTTCTACGTGCCAGCCATATACCAGGCTTTGGCCAGAAAATAACTGTCTGTGTGTCAACCTCGCCTCTCATCGATGAGGATGACCCTCTGAGGCCCACCTATGAACAGTGCTTTTGATATATGATCAATGAATGAGGTATAATTGTAAAGAAATGCAATTTCAGAGGACATTGAGTCTGTTGTACCTCAGGGATCATATCGTCTCTAATACAAATGAGTGGTGAGTAGTTGCACGGCCGAATAGGGCCGGATGATCCAAAAGCGAAGAAACGAATGAGCACGCGTCCATTAGAACCAATTCGTTCGGTCGTGTTGGGCCGTGTACGGCCGAAGCACTTTCCGATCCAAATAAAGTTGGATTTTCCAGTCCTATTCGGCCGAATGGTTACTTCGACTTCAACTGTCAACCACGTGACATCAAACGCTCACCATTGTTTAATGCCGTTCTTTGTTTTTTGCTTACCTTTTCGTTTCGTTTGCATTTCGATGGATTGCGAAAAATTGATGTGCGGTTGAGGAGCAGGCTCTTGGGACATACTTGATCCACTCTATCATCGGAGAGATGTCCAGCGCAAGCTGTGGTCAAGGATAGCTTTAGAAATGGAACTTATAATATTTTTGTTTATTTCTTTCATTCCATTTGTATGTAAACTAAGAATTTTCGAGCAGCAACAAATCTTCTACATCCATTTGGGCTGTGTCGTGAACTGACGAAAATCGGTTACAGTGGACGACGGCGTTCGGCTGTATTGCCGGTCGTCCGGTGGTCAAATAGTTCGGCTGTTGAACGGCCAGGTCCAATGGACGAGCAGCCTTAGTCGATAATTATGCAGAAACCGTGAGATGCGGTCTGGTGTGACGTAGGTTTCAGAAAAACATTTTCTTTATCGTGCCAACGTTTCGATCTTTATTGAGCTCGTCCTCAGGGCTCAAAGTGTTTGTCTTCTGTGTAAATGTGCGTGCCGTGTTGAGAGTGCCCTCTAATACAAATCTAATAAAAATAGAGAATTGTTTCTTCTAGCTGATATTTTGAAGGTTTTAATGGGGTTCAATGTGTTAGTGAATGCCACCTTCTACTAGAAATTCATTAGAAAATTGGTGCCACTTGAATAGATTGAAGATGAACTCTGAGAAATGTAAATTCTCGAAACGAAGACACCCGCATTTCATATAAAATCAGAGATAATCGTAGTTCAGGAAGTAGTTAAGATAACCTACCTTGGGGTAATTTTAATAATAATATAAATTTGTAAAAATAAATGCAATTTCCGAGATAATATTGATTTTATCACAGAAAAAGTGTACATAAATCAGGGGTTTGTTAAACGGTTCGCTGTAGATTTCATTAATGCCTTTACCAACAAAATATTGTATCGAGCTTTGGTCAGAAGTCATTTGGAATTGTTTTGTGCTAATTATGGTGTACAAATAAATATTTTTTTCTCGATTGTATTATTTTAGCCTCCTTATAAACAAATAATAAAAACAATACACGAAGACCACGGTGTTAAACAGTTTTGTCCCTCGGGAAAAGTTTCAATTGCGCAACAATGCAAGATAACACTGTGCTGTTCGCAGATGATTGGCCAAATGGACTCAATTCGAAACCAACTGGCCTATTCCACACGGACCTTCCAAACGGTCTTGATTACTCTGAAATCCGTTGTCGCAACGTGTATTCTTAATCTGCTCTGTAGAAATTTTGCGTGCTTCTGGATGTATTTTACTGTTAGGACTATCTCATTTTCAACGAGTCTGGGATTTTTAGACGATTAACGGGTCTTCAATTAAGTTCGACTGCTTCTTGATACATTTTTTGAAATTAACTTCTGAATAAATGAAATTTTAAGGTCATTGCGGAAGGTAGTATTTAAGGCATAATACAGAGCATTTATAATTAATTGATTTAAAGACTATAAATTGAAAGGATTTGAGACGTTGAATATAGGAAGTTTGATCCCTGTTGCTCACTGTAGCGTCCCCGATTCCCCCGGTTGTAGTGACCTTTTGTAGATTGTCAGTTTGTTTTCCTTCGATAGCTTGGATTGTGGTCCTATGAGTATGTACAGTAGACCATAGCCTGCAGATACCATATGAATACATGTGAAATGTCGCTCCAGATCTTCTGCAGCAACCTTACGATCATCTTAGAGGATATTACAGCTGAGTCATCGGCAAAAGATTCAAGGAAGGGGTAGGTGCAGTAGAAACATCTGCAGTATAAATGAGATAGAGGATTGGTCCGAGCATACTGCTCTGCGGTATTCGGTGTAATCTGATCCTTGTCGGACCCAAAAGAACTGATCTGTTAGATAATCGATTAATGTAGAGGATATTTTGAAGGAAATCAGGATACTCACACAGAAAACCAACCTAACCATCCCTAATTAAAAAAGGCTCCCATACAATATTCTTTGCGGTCAGGGGAGGAGGATATACGATCTATTTCGTTCTACAACGCGAAATATTTACTAGCTGCGGAATGGTGGAAGCGAAAGCCAAACTGTTAATCTGGGAGAAAGTTAGAACAGTTAAATTTTAAGGGGAATTTTTTAAAAATACTTTGGGCACGATGGTAAGTAAACTAATTGAACGATATGATGAGGCTTTTTGAACTTATTTGCTAAGCTTCAGTAAGAGGATGATGTTCCTATATGTCCAGAGTGATTTATTAGAAGTTGTAAGGCTGGATAAGGTAATAAGCCTGCTGGATAGCAGTGGTGAAGAGAGTCACAGCCTCGCCCAGCTCTTGCGGGGTTTTTAAGGAAATGCTGAGGTCTGTGGAATTTTCTCTTTGGGTGCGGAAGCCGTTCGAATCTATAGTAAATCTATAGAAATACGGAATTTGGTTTAGGAATTGGAATTAAGGATTTGGTTAGGAGTATGGGAGTATGCACGTGATTGTTCATGGAGGGTTAATATTGAACAGTGAAGAAGTCCACAGTTTTTAGGATGAAGAAGTTGGTAAGATTAGGGATACGGTTCACATTAGTGGACTAATAAGTAATGGTTAGGGTAGTTAATAAGTAGGAATATATGGAAAGTTGGTGAGAATTAAAAGCTGTCAAACAATGCAGGGAATGGTTTCTCTGGAGCCACACCAAGTATTCAGCATTGTAGTCGCCGCCGGAAGCAATCTTGGCCCAAGAAATCCGAAGAACTGTTGAAATTGGTTGGTGATGGGGCTTCGGCGACCTCAAGTTAGGGTCGAGGTATATCTTTACCCCGCGGTTCGAACAAAGGGAAAACAAAAGAGAATGCTGGATAAGTTTCTGCTTTTATTTTACAAAATACTTGTAGAAGTAAATGACAAATTTAAATGGCTTACTCGCACAAATTACAACAAAAAAAGGTAGACTTGTCAAGTACAAAATAAAATGAAATAAAAATTTAAAGAAAAATTTACAAAAAAAAAAAAAAACGACTTGCGTGTTCTGGAGTACCCCTATTTAGCCGGCAAAATGTAAGCCAGCGTTCAGCAGCAAAAGCAGATGCGGGCAGCAACAGGTCAAGCAGTAGGTCCGACCAAGGCTCGAGTGTAAGTAAAAGTAAAACTCCGAGTCATGTCAACAATCCTGTTATCGGCGAGTTAATTCCGTTGTTGTCAACATGCCGATCACCGCGGCTCGGCCCGAAAGCGTACGGCCGTAACACACCGCCCACCAAATTTCAGGCGAAATTTCAACTCGAAGGTCCCAGAAAAGCACAACAGAAAGATGAAAAAAAAACAGAAGAAAACAAAGGGGCGTGGGAAAAGAATGTGTCACTGGAGCAATCAGGGCTCAGGCATCAGAGGAGATAGACGGACCACTGGTCGCGTGTACTCTCCAATAGGCGTCTTGACGCGTACCACTCTCACTGTTCCATCCTTGCCTGGGTACTTCTCGATGATGCGGCCGATCTGCCAGGATAATGAATGCGCCTGGACGTCCCTTAAGACTACAAGGGTTCCCAACTCCAGGTTGTCGGTTCGCTGTTGCCACTTCGGCCGTTGTTGGAGAGTGGTGAGATACTCCAATCGCCACTTCTTCCAGAAATCCGCTGTGCATTTCTGTAAAAATTGCCAGCGAGTCATTAGATGATGAGCGTGATCAGACCAGTCCGGTTGGGGTAGTGACACCAAGGCGTCACCTATTGTAAAATGTCCGGGTGTCAATACGTCGTAATCGTCAGGGGATGAGGACATCGGATACAGCGGTCGGGAATTGAGGATCGCTTCGACCCGGCTCGTGACGGTAGATAACTCCTCGAACGTCAACGGTTGGTACTGAAGAACTCGTGTGAGGTGGTACTTCATCGATTTCACGGCAGCTTCCCATAGACTGCCAAAGTGAGGGGCGGACGGCGGGATGAAGGTCCACACTATGCCTCGCTTTACCAGTTCTTCCTTAATTTCTTGGTGCGTTTTCTCTGCGTTCCACCATTCGGTAGAGTTCGGCCAGTTGATGCTTGGCTCCTACAAAGTTTGTCGCGTTGTCAGACATAATTTTGCTTGGGATTCCTCTTCTGGCGATAAATCGATCCAAGCACGCGAGGAAAGCAGACGAGGAAAGCCGACTATTATGGTTTTATTGGGTGGGCAGTATGCTGAAGCGTTGGGAATAGCGCGGAATAAATGGATACAAGAACAGCTGTACTTTGTATGAAACCAGTGGCATTTGTAGGAACGACGTGTGTTCGCGTTCTTCCAGACCACGGAAAGGTGACTCTGAGGAGGGGAAAGGTAGTCGAAACATATACTGTCTTTTAAATTAAAACTGGTTATTTGACTTTTTCGGATTGTTCGTTTATTTTTATAAGATCCAATTACAACTCATAGATTTAATTATTAGAAAACGTTTTCCGCTATTGATATAAAAATTCACTAAATCCTTGGGTGGGGGGGGGTTAATCGTGTGATTCCACTTGGTTTTATGCTGTATCTCATTTCTAATTGGTCATGAAACTCGAAACTATTGACCTTCTTTCCTCCCCTCTCTACTAATATCTTCCGACCGTCTTTAAAACGCATATTTTATGGAAAACTGACTGCCCGTGTTGTATAATTAAAAGCAAATGATAATTTTAAAAACCAAATTACTTTCTCAACCCTGCGAACGCTTATTTTGAACAAAAATGTTCCACCGATTGTATCCTTCAGGTATGGTCGAAATCTTCGCCTTTGTAAACTTTTCCAATGGCTGCTTAATTTTAAGGTTTGATTTTCATCTCCATCATGAAATTTTATTTTATTAACAAGATATAAATTTAATATGTTTGGAATGACCAATGGCGTCTATTTATTTTAATTGCATTATTTATTATTGGCCGAGTGATTAGGTTATGCAATTCGTTCTATTTGCCACGTTAGCGGTTCTGAGTTCGAATCCCGGCAAATTCAATGGAATTTTAATATATAAATTGATCCTTACCTCTTAGTTCGATAGACTGACCAGCGATGATGGCAGAACAGAATGATCGCTAAGGATCAAAATATAAGAAATTTAATGAGTATTAGTACGTAAAAGGTATTGTGGTATGAAACCCCCAGTTAAACCCTCCTGTGTGACAGGAATTACTTTCCTATTTTGCTTTATCGGTAAAATTGAATTCATTTGAATTCAAAAATGAAATTGAATTCAGTCATACTGTAAAGATTTATCGGCCAGCCTGGGAATGTTTATTTATGATTAGTCACCGAGAATAGTCCCATGTTGATCAAAGATTACCAGACTGCGGAGATTTCATTTGTTTAAACAATTATCGTAAAAGTGGTTTTTATTATTTATTTTAAATTTTCAACGCATATTTTCAAGCTTGTAGTTGTTTTCAAATGTGGAAATAACAGTGTATTTTATAAGATTATTTTTTAAATTCGTATATAAAAAATTCGAAGTATTAAATTGATCACTCAATTATGTTCTCTCAAATTTAATTTTGTCCTTTGACCACAAGCGATTCTAAATCTGAATACCCTTGTCGGACTATCAATGATTTTAATGGCGAACGTTTATCTTAAATAAAATTGCCGTAGACAAATTACCCATCAGTCACCTCCCAGTAAAAAATGCCCCGGTTTCGACCTTATCACCAGAAACATACACCGAAATCCTTCTAAAAACGCAACAATTCTCCTTACTATTATTTAGAACTCGGCACTTAGAAATATATACCTATTTCCCAATCCAATGGAAATTGTCAATCATAAAACCCCTTTCCAAACCTCAAAAAACTCAGCATCACCCTACGTAATGTCCATCTATCACTTTTTGCCATTATTTGCCACAACGTTTGAAAAACTACTGAAACAACCACGTCCCATTGTTAAAATATTCAATATCATTCCATGCCATCAATTCAGGCGTCATCACTCTACCATTCGACAGTACCAAAGGGTGGTAGGCATCATCGCATCCTCCTTTGAATGGAAGGAATGCTGCTCAAATGCTTTCCTAGTTCTGAGGGAAGCTTTTGATCGAATGTGGCACCCTGGTTTGCTGTGAAATTCCATTCACTTTTTACCTCATCCTAAAATCACATCTGTCTGTTAGGTGCTTTCAACTATTGTACCGAAGCGGGTGTTCCGCAAGGGAGCATCCTTGGTTCCATTCTTTATTCAGTATACACTTCAGATATTCCTGTCGATCCCGATGCAGTATTCATCATATTCAGACGATACCGCCATCCTTTCAGCAAACCCAGAACCTGTGGCCTTCAGTAACCTCCAGAACAATCTCCTCCTGTTTGGAAGGATAATTTAAGAAATGGTGGATCAGATTCAACGAAACCAAATTCTACCAAATAACTTTAACCTTTTGTCCTATCATATTAATTCCAACTACAATTCTGTTCCTCTCTCAGTAATCAATATCGTCCACTATCCGATCCTGACAATCCTCTAAGACGCCTAAAGCACCAATGGCCTAGCGATACCCTCCCTAGTGAGGAATGTCAATAATGTTGGTTAGGAGTGTTACTTCTGGATCGATTACTTCTCCACTCTTATTATATTGATCTCATAAAGTCAGCAAAGTTCTTCTAGCGCTCTAGAGATGTTGTAACTTAATAATAATCCCGAAAAAAATTTATTTCCCGATTACAAACGCTTATGTTTAGTCAATGATGCCCTTCAGATAATAACTTATAAATATTTAGCGCTTATTGAACTTGTATTTTCACTACAATCAGATCGAGTAGCACGAATCATTTTTTTTAATTTGCAAGTTTTAAATTGAAGAAATAATATAGAGCAATGTTTTCCAGGCAGTAATAGATAACAAAAGAATTTTTGTTATACAACTAGGTCAACAGTTTTTTATAAGTGTTAAAATTAATTCCAACTGTTCAACGATAAATTTAGTCTATTTCGCGTTAGTCTGTCATCGAGTATTCACGAACGAGTACAATAATTAGGACCAGTGGTGGCCTATAGTCGTGTTAACTCTAACAGGATGAGGTCTGTTACATCCAGTTAGTCTCAATAGGACGTGGTCGTTTCACGCCAAATCCCAAGAGGATTCAGATGATATTTTCGTACAAATTTCAATTCTTCATCTCGTCGGAATGTGAGATTGAATTGACGATCCCGTCCTGTTTTTTATTTCGTTTAAGTGTATCGGGTTGTAAATGGAAAAATCATCTTAAATAATTCAATATATTTTTAAATATGATTATTTAGAGATCGTGAGATGCGGTCTGGTGTGGCATAGGCTTTAGAAAAACATTTTCTTTATCGTGCCAACATTTCGATCTTTATTGAGATCATCTTCAGTGTCTGGGATTTATAAACATTGTTTAAATTATACAAATACATGTAGGATGTGAAAAAAAATGAATTTATACAATGCTAGAAATTTTAGATTCAATCAATTTTTTTTTTTTTTATTTTTTTTTTATTTTTTTTNAGTGGTGTTTTTTTTGACAGGGGCATCCGACATCTTGGTCATTTCAGCCCCGAAGCACTAGCGAAATACCGCTACACACTTTAATACATTCATACCTATATACATTGATCGCACTAATTCTGTTTGGCAGATAGAGTACTCGATATTCCTCCATCTACCTGTTTCCTAAAATAAACTAATGTAAATTGGGGTCGATGGGGTAGTTTTATAAAATTTCCGCCACCTGCCCACCTTTTACACACAACCTGAGAGGCGATGGAGAGGCTACTTCACCATCAGCCCCTTCCCATTCACACTAATAAATACATTCACTCATACAAGTCACAGAAACACAAAATACATATTTTGAAGGCTATATACAATAAAAAGTTCCCAATTCCCCTAAAAAGCGGAACAGGGGACCTTGAAATTCGCTACCGTGTTCGAGAACTCTTCTTTGATCCGGCGGCATGCCTACACGCTCTCTGTATGAAGCCAAGGCCTACACGCCTCTATTATGTGGGACACATCGAGCAACCTTTCTCTGTATAAGGGGCACCTGCGCGGGCTTTGGCACAAATGTGTGTCGTGTTGAGAGTAATGACACATCTTCACAGAAAAAAACACTTTGAGTGAGTACAAATATTTTGATTGAATCTAAAATTTCTAGCATTGTATAAATTCATTTTTTCGCATCCTACATTTATTTTGTATATGTAGCCAATGTTTATAAACCCCAGGCACTGAAGATGATCTCAATAAAGATCGAAACGTTGGCACGATAAAAAAAATGTTTTTCTAAAATCTACTTCACACCAGACCGTATCTCACGATCTCCAAATAAACATTAACGGGCACTAAATATCACGCGTTTTTAAATATGTTGTGCTTTAGCCCCTGACAATAATCAAATTTTAGGCTAGCTTAAACACCTTTAAAAGTTATGCCAAGCACATTTAATTCGAAAGATTAAAAATTAAAAACATTTTGTTCTACTTCATGATCAGAAATGTGTTTTTTGTCTGTCAAATTGCCACCTCTGATCATCATGATCAGCTTATAAACCTTAAATAATTAATATGCTCAACATTGAAAAAATATAAACAAAAATAAATCTAATCAGATTATTTGGTAACTAATTTAATTAATTTACTAGCTAATTTCAATATTTTCTAAAATCTTCTATCAACTAATTAAAAAAGGTTATTATGTTTTTTTCTAATAATAATTTAAATAGGAAGCAAATTTGGCTTTCAAAAATCAAGTTGGATACTCTTGTCAATTTTTTGACCAAGGTCTCTAATTGTAGAAACTACAAATTTGGACATTTTGACTAGAACTACAGGGCATCGCTAAACCTACTAATATCCAACGAATTCAGTCCTTCCAAACCAAAATCCTCAGAATCAGAGAGAAATATGTCTCCAATACCAACCTCCACAACTACCTAAAAATACTCTTTGTAAACATAAAACATAAAAAGATTAATTTGTAATTTATGCATAACAAAAGGAAAACAAAAACATTTTTTGTAAATTAGAAAAAATAATGTTTTCTCGACTCCTAGAGCTTATTAGAAAGAAAGTTTGCACACTTTTCTAATATTTTTCGACCTAGTATTGTCCAAAAAGTTTAATTAAAATTCGTGATCCAACGTCCATAGCCTCCGTCTTGTACCCATCCCTTCCACAACATTACATTCCAGCCATAGCTCAAGTGGTTAGAGCAGTTTTGAGCCGAAGGTCGTGGGTTCGAATCCCGCTCGCGACGCTAACTTTTTCATTTCAACCAAAACCTTACATAAAAAGAATAATTTGTAATTTATGCATAACAAAGGAAAACAAAAATTGTCTCGACTCCTAGAGCTTATTAGAAAGAAAATTTGCACACTTTTCTAATATTTTTCGACCTAGTATTGTCCAAAAAGTTTAATTAAAATCCGTGATCCAACGTCCGTAGCCTCCCTCTTGTACCCATCCCTTTCACAATATTACATTCCAGCCATAGCTCAAGTGGTTAGAGCAGCGGCGTATTGAGCCGAAAGTCGTTGGTTCGAATCCCGCTCGCTACACTAACTTTTTCATTTCAACCAAAACCTTTCAAAAAAAGATTAATTTGTAATTTATACATAACAAAGGAAAACAAAAACATTTTTTTAATTAGTAAAAATAATGTTTTCTCAACTCCTAGAGTTTATTAGAAAGAAAATTTGCACACTTTTATAATATTTTTCGGCCTAGTATTGTCAAAAAGTTTAATTAAAATCGTGATCCAACGTCCATAGCTTCCCTCTTGTAATTCCGCTCTTAGGTTTATTAAGATTTTTTTTAATTAACCATAAGCATTTTTGGAAAAAGAGTTCTTGCCCCAAAATTATCGACTCTTTGATGGTGCAAAAATAGACTCTTTTGACCTAATTGGGCAGTTTTAAGACTATGTCGAAATAGACTAACATACCGGTGAAAGCGTTCAGAAATAAACAAACATAATGAGAAAGGGACGTTTATTTGTCTTAAAATTTTATGCGAGGATGTTGTGCAATGGTCGCAATATTCCAAAAATAAGCGTACATGACAACAAAAAGGAAGAACGAAAACTGGAAAATTCTTCAAATTTTTATAACTCAAAATGTTTCTAGTATTTAAGGTGAATCTAGTGACTTTATCCAAAGATTGTGTTATGTCAGGGTAAATGTTTAAGCGTTTTAATTGTTTGGATAATTTGAAGACATGTGTTAGAATTTGAAAATAATCTCATTATCTAAGGGCAAAGGAATTGGTGGAATTTAGCTAAACTAAAATTATCTCAATTTGTTTTGTGAAATCGAATCTACTTTCTTCTTCTAAATCTCCTAAATATTTTCCAACTTTTGCAGTCTTGTGCCCACGTGAAACGGTTTCCATGGCGCCAAAAAGGGTTGGATCGTTAGAATTCGCCCTGGAGACGCCAACGAAAGCTTGAATGACTGCCTAGGATAGACGATCTCTACCTCGGATCTGCTATAATCACATATCTGTTATGGAGAACCTTGTCGGTCATTAGATCCCCCCCTTGGCAACATCCCCTCTCGAGCCCGATCGCCTCCTGGTCACACTCGACAAATCGCCATGGACCGCTCTCTCGCCCTCATCTCCACGTTCGCCCTCGTCTTCTTCTTCACATTCCAAACAGGTAATTTTTTTTATCGGTTATTACAATTTACTAGAGATTACATAAGCCGCTGGGATGATTAATTTAAAATTAATTAAATAAAATTTAATAATAATCTAGTGTATGCAAATGGAGAAAAAAATTACCATCATAAAAAAAATCAAAGGGTTAAGCATTTTATTCCCTTCTTTTTAACCCAATCGATACAAAATCTGAACAATAAACTTTTTAAATTAATTAAATAATCGTCATCAAAACAAAACATTAATCTGGGAAAATATACTGTTAAATAAAAATTTGAATTTGATAAAATATCTCAGTGAAACGTTAGATAAAACCGGCTATCGTGATCGCTTAATTTGATTTATTCTTTTTATCAACGACCATTCCTACCAATAATTTAAACCGAATACCTCATCTGTTATTAACCTAAGATTTAATTTTAAAAATCAAATTCTGATTAGTAAAAGGTCCACAACTTTTTCAGACGTAACCACATGTGCATATTTGTCTTTCTTTATTATCTTCTGTCTATTTTTAATTCAAAAAGTATGCTTCACTACAGTCTCTTTTTTTTCGTTATGGATTTTCTATACATATGTGCATTTAATGTTGCAATATATATTATTTTTTTCATTGTGGATTAATTATTGTGTAGGTTTTCCTTAAGCCAAAATATAGGTGGTTTTTATTCGTATTTGACGTATTTCAACAACTTTTATACCATTTCTATCTTGTTCTTCCTATATTCTTTTCTTTATATTCTTGAGAACAAATATGTGTTTTTAAGAAAATAAATAATAGAGGAACAATATGGCACAAAATATAGCGAAAATTGTTACAAAAATTATACTTGTAAAATAATTTTTTGGGGTTATAAATTAAACTGATTAAAACGGCACATGTTATAAATTATTCTTTCATCTGTTAATAAACACGCATTTGTTAAAAATAGAATATCCAAACTTATTTTAACACAACAAGCCATCAACACCGATGGGAAAAATGTGTCAAAAATTATATTAATATACTTTATATTTATAAAATTTATTAAGAAAAATTCTATTTAAAAAAATAATTGTTATATAGCGTATAAAATAATCTTACATAAAATTTAAGAATTATTATCCATTTCAATGTGAAATTCTCCTACATAATTTTGAAAAAAAATATTTGTATGTACTATGACATATAAATCTTTGTTATAAAATATATTAAATATAACGGTTTCTTTATTTTAACACGATCGATCATCCATGTGTAGAGAAAAATTTGTTTAAAAAAAAAGTCTGTTTATAGATATACTATAAGAAAATAGAATTAACAATATGTCTTTCATAACATTATATTGAATAAATGTTACTTTTGTTCGTTTTAGCAAATTTTCATTGTTTATCTATTTATCAATTCCATTGAGCGAGCTAAGCAGCTAGACAAGGCGACTGTTTTTATAAATAAAACGTCTATATTTATCTCGAAAAGGGTGGGAGTAAGGTTGAGAATGTACAAAATTACTTGTATTGGATTGAAACATTTTCCATTTTTGCCTATTTTTTCCCCAGGTCTGACGAAGAGTATGTTGAAAATTGCACTGCCAACGAAGAATTATGTTATCGTTATAGTTATCGGTCGAATTTTGGTTTAACTTCGAATAAATAAACTTGAGCAATTTTTCTATAAAGAATGATGAACTAAATTGGTCTATAAATAAAAATTAAAGAAAAATTCCACTTTGAAAAATGTTGATTATGTTCGGAAAAAAATTCCGATTATCTTTTTTACATATCCTCTGTCGTTGTCTTCGCAATTTCGCCATCATCAGTGTGTCTGAACTGTTCGTCAACCAACAAGAGATTCTCTTACGATTTACGTTGAAAAAGACTTAGAAAAATATAACAACTCAATCTACCCAAAAATTAAAAAAAATATATATTGAAACGTTCTCCTACAAACAAACAATGCAGGGTTTTGTTTTTCTTACAATTCTAAATCAATAATGTCAAATTTAAATATCAAAACAACAAAATTAAATAATTTTTCAAGTTGGTCCAAAATTTACAAGAAACATTGAAAGCCAATTATGTAATCAGGAATGACGGTGATAAAAACTAAATGTGCTTCCGGCCCGATAGACAGTTGTCAGTTTGTGTTGGTAAATATCGGCTAGAAACCGCTTCGTCTTAGATAAATAATAATAGATAAATAATAAATAAGTCAGAATAAGCTTTTTTCCATTTAGAATTCCGTCCTGTCTATTTCAGATTTGAATATTCCAATGGCCAGCACATTTTCTCTTCTCCACTCAAATGATAGATCGTCCATGAGCTTGGTGCAGTTCTGCAAAACGTGAACTATATGAATATTTGTCAATGTGTAACGGCCTGCAATTTTTTAACGTGTAATTACACGGATTATTTGATTTGTTTTTTATTTAATTTTCTATCGAATTCTTTAATATTTCACATTGAAGCTGTCGTCTGTTGAAATTGAAGGAGAAAAACAATGGAGAAAGGACAAGAAAGAAAATAGTCTACTGGGGCTTGAATTATTATTTATTTATTTACATTCGATAATACCATTCGTTTCTCATTGATTATGGCTGATTTTCGTATATTTGTTCTTCATTGGTAGGTATGGTAGAAATACGTTTCTTTGCTAAAAGACCTTGGTCAGTTGATAATTAGCAAGCAGCAAAATAATTTGTTGATCTAGTACGGTAATTTATGGATTATATGATCTTATATGATTTATGGCTAATCGCTTTTTACTTTATACATGTAATATTCTGATTAACTTTAATTTTCTGACTTTGATTGTGATTTATCGCCTATTTCACAATATTGCTTGTAGATAAAAAAAATCCTTTGTTGGAATATTCTTTAATTCAGTAATGGAGTTGTCTTAGTATTTTTTAGTAATTAAACTTTTTATTAATTACAGTTGAGTGTGATTATAATTCGTTAATATTTCGATTTATTTTCGAACCAAATCGATGATACTGAAGAAGAAACAACTTTGTCAAATGGCAAGCTGGAAAAGTAGACCTATTTAGGAGTACTGACCAATACTTGCATTTAATTTCATACTCGCCATATTCATAAATAGCAATCATTTATTTTTATGAACACAAAATCAGGTTTATTCTACATAAAATTAATTGAGGGGATCATAATTATCTAAATTTCATTGCTGTATTTCTTAACAATTTTCTTTAAGAAAGGCCGAACAATGAGGATTTTTTAGTAGGAAGGACAAAAATGTGGTTTTTCTACGGCTAATCGTAAATCTCTTTATAATCAACATAGGATATTTACTAATGTAGTATATTAGTTTGAAATGATGGAGGGTGTTTAAAAATAGAACTAGTTCAAACAATTGTTTTTATCTAGTGACACTCTCTCTCTCTCTCTCTCTCTCTCTCTCTCTCTCTCTCTCTCTCTCTCTCTCTCTCTCTCTNCTCTCTCTCTCTCTCGCACACACACACGTTTCAGTCACCAACTGTCTCATCACTCACTCTATCTTTAAACTACACAATCCGTCACTTACATCTCATTCACTCACTCTCTCTCTCTCTCTCTCTCTCTCTCTCTCCCTCCCTCTCCCTCTCTCTCTCTCTCACTGACGCACACACACGAGTTTGATTAATTTTGATGTATGGTGTGTGGCTGATGGTAGAACCCCATAATTTAGGTCAGGTTTGACTATTCCTTTTCTTGGTCTTCTCCATTCAATTTGGTCCTTCATCCCACAGGGCAAAAAAGAATTCTCACTATTTCTTTTCTCATATCACCTTACGCTTTTTAATTGAAAGATCCTTGTTCACACACATTCTTCTTCATAAATTTTTTTAGTTGAAATTATTTACTTGTATACCTCATCACCTACACAAGCTTATTAGTACAATAGCAAAGGGGGTGTCGGAGGCCGCAGTGGTTCAGGCATTGAACAGCACATACTTACAAATGGGTTTTTTTCAAAAACACGGACACCCCAAGGGTTTATATGACCTCTGCTATTGCGAACACTCATTTAAAAAAATACACAAATACTTTTAAAAAATTCTAAATGGATGGCTTATAAACAAAACAAATTTTTAGTAATACCTCTTCCGGATTTTATAGAGAGGTGAAGTGGACACTATGAATACCAGAAATTTGGTCGCGTAAAGTCTAACTGGCTGCTGTCGTGGTTTCAGCCAACCCAAACTAGGCCTTTTTATAAAATAACTAAACATAAACTTCAGTGAATGGCCATAGAAATTAATGGACAGCAATGCATGCTAAGCTAATGACATGTGCTAGGGACTTAAATGGCTCATCAATACCCTCTGGAGCCTCAATTTAGAGAGCAGGATGATCAATATTCTTTTATGTTTATGTTTTTCTGAAACCTACATCACACCAGACCACATCTCACGATTTCCGAATAATAATATCCTTTTAAAAATGGCATGTGATGTCGTGTATTTTTCCTGCTAGGGACATAGTAAATAAATCACATTGAACAGCTGGTTTTATATAAGTTAAAAAAATTTGTTACTTTTAAGTTATTATTCATACGTATAATCAAATATGTACAATTTTTGATTTTCCAGATACATAGTAGAATTGTATGCGTTATTGTTGTTTTGCTCTCAGCTAATTATTTAAATACACATACATTTATTTACAGGAAGTGCCTTAAAATGTTTTGAGTGCAACAGCTTCAATGACTCAAGATGTGCATTAGAAGTTCCACCTGAAGCGCTCTCAAAAGAGTGCAGTACTCACCAGAATTCGATGCACAAGTACATATTGTGCAGAAAAATTGTACAGACCATAGAATATGAAGTTAACGGATGTAAGTATGCTATTGAATTACAGTATAAAAAAAAAATTTAAAAACTTTTTGATATTTTGCACACCTGTTAATTAAAGTTATTGTATATTGAATTATTCTGCCTTTAGTGCCCCCGGATTCGAGGGTAATTCGAAGCTGTGGATGGGATGACTCCAGTTATCTTAACGCCTGCTACCAGCGATCCGGTTTTGGCGGACGACAAGAGGTCTGCTCATGTACAACAAATCTGTGCAATAGTGCAACAGCTGCAGGAGTCGCAATGCTCTTTGTTACCTCATTATTAGCATTCCCAGCACTTTTGTAAATAAGCAACAAAATTTTTTTAAATTATAAATATAAATGTACTAGTGTATAAAATGAGTCAAGAAAATTAAGTGCTGTTATTGTCATTTATTTTCGTACAATTTAAAGAAAACCTAGAGAATGCATTTGACTTTTTGTCATTTGTTAGGCACATGTGATGACCCTAATCAAAATGTCAGCTTAGTAAGTATAATTTATAAAAATCTCCTTTGATGATACTGAAGTAATTTCTTAATTACAAAAAATAATGTAAATCTTTTAGTTTCTACTGGTTATGTATACTTATAACGTGGTATGTTTACTTATGGTGTGAGCATTTCCAATGTTGTATAGATTTTAAAAAAAATTGTTGCTCTTTTGTTTTTGCTTGTTTTTTCTTCTTTTTTTCTAAAACTAACACTGTTTCAAAAGTAATTAATGTATTGATTTTTATTTTTCGAAAGTATCCCACTCCTTTTAGTGTCTAATGAAAAATGTTTCCCAGTTTGGATTTTTCATATTGAGCAAATCATCCAGTCATTCGGATTTGGCATCTGGAAAAATTCTGTTGGATCCCTGAAAAATTGATGATGCATAGATGGGTGACATAAATAATGAGAAGAGAAATACTACGCAGCTCGAGGAAAGGGTAAATACAGGAATCAATTAAGGCAATAACTGGACAAAGACAAGATTAGTTATAATGACAAAATTTACTTCATTTTCTTTTCAGAATGATCCATTTGATATTCTTAAAAAAGAAAGCAATGGAAAGGTCAACATTGCAATTCGGAAAAAAACAAGACCTATTCCTGATGTAATTCCAAGATTCCCTAGTAAGAATTGTAACTTTAATATGATAGAATTTATGTTAACTTTTAACTATGCTGTCATTTTAAATAATACTGTGATAAGCAAAATAAAACTAAAAACCCTATAAAACAACAACAAATGTTTAAAGAATTTTTTTTCAATTCTTGAAAATTTTGTTTGTTAAGACGTATGAATATTTTTTTTTTCTTGATTTATTATTATTATTTGTGGTTTATTAATTGAATTGAAAAAGGCAAATTCAAAATGTCCAATCTGCTGAATATAATTATATTCAAATTTCACTGAGATTGGTAGAATCTAATTTTATAAGTGTTATGTCATAAAATGGTAATAAACACACTGAAAGATTAAAGAATGCACATTTATGAACTTTACCAAAAAGTTATCTACAAAAAAAACCCACAGATAAGTTTTTTAAGAAAATACATACTATCATACATTTTATTTCAGGTGATTTGAAATTACCACTGAATGTTAAAGGGATATGCAATGACACTGTAGGCGTTGAATTGTGCAGCAAACTAAATTTAAACAATAAAGATGCACATAATAATGTAAGCGTATCCGACCAGGGAGTGCAGATGGGAGGGAATACCATCCCACCAAATGAGACTTCTTGTCCTTATGTTTTGACATTGCTCCCTCCATCAGTGGGACAGAATGTGAATTCACCACCAAGAATTCATCCCCCATACAGCACTGGCCAATTTGTCCAAAGCGCATCCCCTTTTGTCCGGGTCCCTCTGGTAGATCCGATGTACTACCAAAATCAATGCTCATACCAGTACGGGTATAGGATGCCAGCACTTGTCAGGAATGCTGACAATGTGTATTGGAACCACCAACAAATGTACAGGTCGAAACCAGGGAGCGTTTATGGAATTCCTCCAGAGCCGAGGGTGATGCAAAGTGAATACCATCGAATGAATAGGCAATTTAATCTCCTGCTACAGCCCAATGCTGTTAGGGTATTTAACGATTACAAATCTAATTTACAAAAGCCAGTTGTAAATGAACAGGAGGCGAATAACGTTTCTCCGAGGCAGAAATGCGCTGATCAAAAATTTGAAGACCCAAAAGACAACATGACCGTTCATATCGGTGGATTGTTAACTCTTCCGAGAAGCCTCCAAACATACAGTGATGAATCGTCCCAAAGCTCTACGTCGTCTTCCAGAAATGATGATGAATCTACTAAAATTGCTTTTACTCTGCCCGGAATGGCTGAATTTAAAAAAATGGCTCACACAGGATGCAGGGATCTAGAAAGATTGATAGCCAAATACAATGTTAAAAGCTCGAAAGTAGACCTGGAAGAATTTTGCAAAGCGGTAAAGGCCAATTTGGTCAATACGAGCCCGGGATTGATTCAAATGGAACCGGTACTAAGAGAAATAATACTGGCTTTTCTCCATATATCTAGTTCATGGGTGAGTCTCGCTAGTCTTCTGCCTGTTTCGAAAGAACAGCCGAATCCTTTAGACAGCTCTCTTGAACCGTTGGCAAAAGAATTTCAACAATGGCAGGAAATTTCTAAAACTATGTTAGAGAAAATAAGTTTAGCTCTGCATGGAATCCCAAACGAACACGAGCGGTATGTTTCTGGTGCGTATAAGAAAAATGTCAATCCACGAAATACAAAGCCGATAGAGACAGATGTACCGATGAAAGTCTCTGAAAATTGGCCCACTGTGAATGAATGGCAACACTTCTCAAGACAAAATTCTCAAAGAGAAAACCACCAGCAGCCCAACCCAATAAGCCCAAGACAAAATATGCGCACTCAGCAAAATTCGTTTCTCAGTTACTCTTATCCCAATGACAACTCTCAGAATGAAAAGAGGAAAAATAGCAATTTGCCTCTAGCCAAAGAAGTGAGCTCAAATTTGAGGGATTGGGACACACCATTTGGCTCCACGATAATCTATCCGCAGCAATATGGAAATAAAAAATCACAAGATGGAAAAAAAACTTCTCCTCAATCAAATAGAAATGACCACTTTCGGTAAGTATTTTTTCATATTTTTTACAAACTTAAAAATACTGTCTATGACAAAAAGATAAAAATGTCGCAAATATTCAAAAATTATAATCGGCAAAAACTTTTAATTATTCTTTTAGAAATTTTATTAGTCTGTTTTCCCAACATTGAATCATGTAAAAAATCCTTTAGGATTCTATGTAAATAAACTTATTTTCTTATTGGTATTTAACTTATACTTGTCAATTTGGTGAGATAGATGCTTCATTGTTCTTTGCTTGATTCCAAACAGCTTTCTGACAATGACAATCTCCAACCTAAGGATTTCACATAAAATTAAGAACCGAACAACATTCTGACCATTTCAGAACCCTAATATTGTGGCAAATAAACCACTACATTGCAAATTTCACATTATGATTGGCGCCACTGGCCTTGATAAAAGTAATTTGTACATTAAGCACATCCAACAAAATTTTAAAATATTTTATCAAACTTGAAGCCAATACTTGGTCAAAGCGCATCCCCTTTTGCCTGGGTCCCAATCCGATGTACTATAATGTGCTTAATTGATCTTTCCCTTATTCGACAATATTTTATAATATGTCCATCTCATTAACTTTTCGAGTACTGGTGTTTGAGTCTAAACTTTTTTAAATTTTCTTTTGCTTCAAGTTGTTTCTTTGTGAGGACACTGGACTACATAGCTCTCGGTAGAAATAGAAGCTGCCCAACCCAGAAAAAAATAGATGATAATTATCACACATGGAAACCAAATACTTTTTTTATATCACACACATTAAACATCAATTTTAGAAAGATAAAGTTATAAAAAATATAGTTGTTTTAAATTATTTTCAGTGTTAGAAGTATCGGCCACTTTTTCTCTTATAAATACTCGATTAAGGTATGGTTATGAAGAAAAAAGCAAATTTAGTTGTTACTGCAAAGCTTTCGATCCACAAGGTCATCATCAGGGCAAAACAATCTTAAAAATGCCTACAGATTGACATATTTATGTTTTTTACAGGCCAAAGCTGCTTGGCAATCTTGGGACTAATAAAACTTAAATATTTCAATCTGTAGGCATATTTAAGATTGTTTGCCCTGATGATGACTAGAAAATAGGTCAAAAGCTTGGTAGTAACAACTGAATTTGCTTTTTTCTTCGAGTCCATGCCTTGATCCAGGGTGTTCGTGTCTTCATTTATTCTTAGTGTCAAGGTGCAAACACCTTCATTAACATTTTTACAGTTTTAACATTTTGATTTAACTTATCTGTGAACAATTTTTAATTTACTGCTAGTATTTTTTTTTTTTAATTTTATCTTTATTGTCTATATTTTTAGAAAGTGAAAACAGATTTGTCGTGAAATAACCGGAAAGGATCCTGAAGTGTCAATGGTCTTTATTATGTTTTAGTTAATTTTTTGTTTAGAACAAGTTCAGTCAAATGGTAAGACAATAATTTATTCTTGATCTGACAAGTGAACACTTTTTTTTTTTTCTTGTTCTAGGGAAATTAGAAGATAATAATTCATCAAGCAAGTCCGTCTTTGTTGTAGACCCAAGCAATTATCTTTGTTCTTTTTTGAACATTATTTGGTCCAAGAAGTTTGTTTTGTGAGCAAAAAAAACAAGTAAGCTTATAAAAATGGAATCATCAGTTAAATAAAAAAGAAAATAATACAAAAAGAATAAAACACTTAACAAATCGAAGATAAAAGAAAAGCAAGACATGTTTCCCATGGTGGTTATATTTGAATATTAAGGAGAAAGCTGCATTTCTTTCACTGGAAATTTCAATTAAATGGTTCAATCATCAAGCATCAAGTATCCAGACGCAAACACTACTAAATACACCAGTTTTACATTTCTTGCTACTTGTTTTAATATAGAGAAATAGTAACCTTTTGTTGAGCCATTAAGAAAATTTTACATAGTTGCAATAGTTTATTTCCATTGTTTTGATTGTTTTTTTAAATAGACTTCTTTGTGTTCAGACTCAGTATTATTCAAGCAGTAGATAAAATTTAAACATTTCAAGAGAAATTAAAAGGTACATGTAAGAAAATTTCACATTGTTGAACATACAAGACAAATATGTTCAAAAATAAAAACTACATAATTCATCCAACTTTATTTTAACAAAATTAGCATTACGGTGAAGTTTTTGTTATATCCATTGACAAATTTAATTTAAATAATTAATCATATAATAGTTATTATAATTCTCACATCAAATAGCATTTTTCCACAAACTGGTGAATATACTCTTCAATTTTTTAATAGGGCGTCGGTGGCCACAACGGTTTAGGTTTGACACGGCACTCATCACTGTAAGGTAAAGGTCCCGGGTTCGAATCCAGCGGCCCTGCATTCGAACCCGACATACTTACAAATGGGCTTTTTTTTCAAAAACATCGGCACCTTGAGGGTTTATATGACCTCTGCTGTTGTGAACCCTCGTAATAAATAAATTAAAAAATTTAATAAATTTTCAATGATCAGTAAATAAGACAGATATTGATTTAATTTGTTGTTTTCCTTTGCCACCTCAGGTCACAGTTATATTTTAATACATTTAAAACATACATTTAATATACAACTACATTTAAAGACTTTTTTTTAAATATTTTTTTTCAATTTAAAAAATCTGTGTTGTTACGTTTCACAATGAGAAGAGTACGAGTTACATTATTTTATGTTTTTAATACATATACCTCTTAGTGTTAAATTGCTTTTATTTGTTAATACATTGTCAGTAAAACTTTAAAAACTTTTGTAGCTTTTTTTTTTAAACTACAAGGCTATATGAATCCTCAGGATGCCAGTGTTTTTGAAAAAAACATTTATAAGTATCTTACAATTAATTAAGGTTTTCAGTTGAGATAAAAGTCAATGGCACGAGCGGGATTCAAGCCCAAGGACCTTTGGCTGAATATGCCACTGCTCTGACCACTTGAGCTATTGTGAAAACCAAAGGTCGTGGGTTCAAATCCCACTCATGCCACTAATTTTTCATCTCAACCAAAGACTTTAGATGAAAAGAATAATTAATTGGAATAATTAATATGATCAATGATGACCAGTAAGAAAATATGGATTATCATTATTGTTATTGTTCAAATATTGTTTTAACTTTGAATAAATAAACTTGAGGAATTTTTCTATAAAGAATGATGAACTAAATTGGCCCATAAATAAAAATGAAAAAAAATCTACATTAAAAAAAAAAAAGAAAATTGACTAACTACGTTTGAAAGACAATTTGATCCTTTCCTATCATCTTTGTTTGCCTATCCTCAGTCATTGGTCTCTCAGACACTTTTTGCCATTTCGCCATTTTCAGTGTGTCTGCACTGTTTGTCAAAGTTCATCACCTTGCAAACCACAAGAGATAATCTCACAATTTACTTCGTAAAAAGCATGGTATGGTATAGTATGGTGAAAAAGGATACTAGGAAGCGGGGTTTGCACTCCCCAGGCACTGCAGCCTTCTGGCTTATTGTACCTTCATAGTTCCTTAGTACAGTGTATTAGACTCAATCCTTCTTCTTAGAAGTATCAGGTCATTGACTGTCGCTGCTGTGATTTGATTCCCTAAGTTTTTTCCGTACGTTAGGTTAAATCTCCATTGAGCTGTCGCTTCACATTCGAAGATGATATGGGTGGCTGTTTCTTCCTCCTCATTATATAATCTGCAAATGGGATCATCATTGTATATACCCATGTTGTGTAGATGTTTTCTCAGATGCCAGTGACCGGTTAGTAGTCCTACTACTCCTCTGAGTTTGGCCCTCTCCAATGGCAGCATTGCTTTTGCTAGTCTTGGTGAGGATTGTTCCATCATAAGTTTACTATGTCTAGCGCCGCTAGAGTTTATCCACTTCTCCTTTTGTTTAGATTCATTCTGCGAAGGAGGATTCTATATTTGTTTTGTTATCCTAAGTATAGGTTCGGGGCCTATGTATGGTCTTCCAGATCCTCCTCTGGCCAGACTATCTGCTTTCTCATTACCCAAAATTCCTCTGTGCCCTGGCACCCAAGCTATAATCAGGTTGTGTTTCCCCAGGTTTTGGAGATTTTGGATGCTTTCACTGGCTAATTTTGATGTGATTCTTTTCCATGCTAATGCTTTAATGGATGCTTGGCTATCTGATCTTATGAGGATTTTTTTGTCAGTGTCATAAAAAGCATAGAAAAAGATGTCGACTGAATCTACCAAAAAATAAAAATATTTAAACGTTCTCCTACAAAGAAACAGCATAGGGTTTGTTTTGCTTAAAATTTTCTATCAATAATTTCAAATTTAAATATCAAAGCAACTTAAGTCATTTTTCAACTTTGGTCAAAATTTATAAGAAACATCGAAAGACAAGAATATAATCAGGAATGATAAAAATATAGTTTTTTTTATAATAATTTTATTTTTTTAGCTGTTTCTTCTATAAGTGAAATATTGGTTGTGCAAATACTTTTGAACGCCAGTGTATATGAAAAAAAGTGAAAATTTTTAAAATTTAGCGGTTCCTTGAGCGTTGTTCCGGTTGCAATTTTTTTGTCGAGTGTCGTGCCATCAAGATTTGTACTTGACAATCGTTCAATGTTCAATTATTTTGTAGTTAAATGCTTTAGTAAATGACATTTGATGCAAAAAGAATGATTTTTTCGTGGCCATTGAGACCTTTCCTGTTTGAATTAGGCCGCCGACAATAAACACAAACTGGGGGATAGTTGAAAATTTGATTTTTTCCCCGCAAATCTAGCGCTTTTGTGGCCCCGCCCAACACTAATCTGTCGTCTCGTTTGTCGTACGGAGCGGATCCGCCGTCTGGCGTTATCAGCCGGCGACACAATCACGGCTGCGAGCATGCAATTTTGGGGTTATACCATCCACTCCGTTTAGGCAAATTACCCCACAAAAAGTATAAATTCACGACGCCAGACACACATCCAAGCGGTATCCGGTTCAAATTCCCTGTCGATGATGCCGTACATGCCGATGGAGTCGGCCAAAAACACACCCATCGTTACTTTCCTGGCAAGGCCGGAGGTGCAGTACTTCATCAGGGTTTCGGTTTTCTCCCTGGCTACTTACCTCTCGGTCAAATGGTTCCTGAAGCAGATGGACCCGACCAACAAGCAGAAAAAAACAGCAGTCAAAAAGGTGAGCGCGGACGATTTTGGGAGAAGCAGCAACCATGCTTCACTCAAATCTTAATCTTTACATCTGCCATTTTACTCTAACATTAACCTATTTTATTAGTCTAATGTTTCAATAAACTCTAGCTGTTTAAAACAGTCTTTTTCATCGTGAGATTTTTCTCTCATGGGCTTCAGAGCAATGAACTTGTAATTTGATCCATAGACCCTGATAGGGTTACGGTATGAGAGACTCTCTGCGATACTGGCATGAGATACAAAGAGTATCCATACGACTAGATCCAGTCATCTGCCCTCCATCTCTTCTCGACCCTTTCCTAAGTGGTTTACAGACCCAGATCATATTTTTATAATGTACAAGTTAGAAGCTGTAGCTCTTGGTATTTAACTAGGTGAAAAACAAGTAAGAATAATGTGGGTTTGCACAATTAATAAGGAACATGACACAAGAGGCAGCCACGCCTTTCTTTATAAAGAACTATGGGAAGATTCTAACAAGTTCTTCAATTATTACTACATGTCATTCATCACCTTTCAAAACAGCTTAAGAGAGAAATTAGTTGATCATTATCAAAAATGTCAATGCCATCCATTTTGGAAGAGTAACGACAGTAAATGTAAATGACAAGAATTGGAAGGGGTAATCTGCTCAATACAGGATAAACTGTGTGAATGGCACCATGTTGCACAATGTCCCATCAGCTGCCTTCATATAGAAAGAATATAAAAACATCCTAATCAACTAAAAATCGGTCAGCTTCCAGTCTCCTGAATGAATGATGGAATCTGCCCTATGTTACCATCGCCTATTGATACCTGTCTCATACCAATCTCCTCCGTGTGAGCAAGGCCTTATCAATTGGTCTGCTCATTCTCACTGAATTAGTCAGGCATGTTTCGCCATTTTACTATCTTAGCTGGCCTGGGTAAAACAATAACCTTACCAATCATCTTGGTCTGCTTATCTTAGCTGATTTGGTCTGTCAGATGGATTTCACCATTTTGCCATATTAGTGAGTGCCATATTAACCATCCCTTAACAGCCATCTTGGTCAGCTTATACTTGCTGATTTGCTATGTCAGACATGTTTTGCCAATTTCCCACCTTAGCAAGGATAGGCAAATCAAGATGATTGGTAAGGATAACATGAGTCATCCTTGCCGATCAGCTTATCCTTGCTGATTTGGTCTGTCAATGTTTTGCCTTTTTGCCATCTTAGAGAGGTTGGGCAAAACAAGATGATTGGTCAAGATCAAATTGGTCATCCTTGCCGATATTCTTCGTCTGCTAATCTTAGCTGATTTGGTCTGTCAGACATGTTTTGCCAGTTTCCCACCTTTGCAAGGATAGGCAAATCAGGATGATTGATAAGGATAAAATTAGTCATCCTTAACGGCCATCTTGGTTAGCGTATACTTGCTGATTTGCTGTCAGACATGTTTTGCCTTTTTGCCATCTTAGTGGGGCTGGGCAAAACAAGATGATTGGTCATGATCAAATTGGTCATCCTTGCCAATTTTCTTGGTCTGCTTATCCTTGCTGATTTGGTCTGTCAGATACGTCATGCGTACTGATAATCTTGGTCTGCCTATCTTTGCTCAGTCAGTCAGACATGTTTCGCCATTTTGCCATCTTAGCAAGGATAAACAAAACAAGATGAACGGTAAGGATCGAATTAGTTATCCTTACTGATCATCTTGGACTACCTATCCGGGCATTAGGACATTTTCTTGTCTTCATTGTCTGACATTGTCTTCAGGGTTTGAACAGTTTAGACATACATTGAAGTTAGCGAAATGCTGGAACACGTCTGTCAGGCCAATCTAGTAAGGATGATCAGGCTAAGATGATCAATAAGGCCTTTCAGGCAAGGCAGTTCGATTGATTTAACTGAGGAGGCAGGAGCACTTCTTATGTTTTCTCTTCTGCAACAAAATTGAAAAACTGTACTTCCCTCCAAGTTGCACTCATTTTTATTTTACCACTATACTTCTCACACTTCATGTCCCATATCACTGGACTACTATGAATTTTTTCAATAAACTGTTCCGCATAGGATAAATTGCAACACTTTTTATGGTGAACTCAGTTGACTCAACTAGGTAATTGGTGTGAAGGATGAATGACAAATTGTACCTCTTAACCAGTTGGGATGAGAACTTGAGCGGCACTTGTGCCTTATCATTTTCTTCAGGTCTACACTCCTTGACACCTGTTTTTTCAACTAGCTGATGCTTCATTTGAAAGAACCCTAAGTTTAATTTATACTTGCTTCTCTATTTCACATAAATTCAATTTTCAATATGTTTCAGGCGCAAGAGATGCTTGCAAAATTGGGATTGTCGAATTTAAAGGACGTAAGTTAACATTCTCTTTAAGATAGTTTTTCCTAGTTTTAATTTTAATTTTTTTATTACTTTCAGCTGAACGAGTACGAAATGATGATCGCCAGCCATCTCGTTGACCCAAATGACATTAAGGTCACTTGGAGCAGCATAGGAGGGCTCAATAACATAATTCAAGAGATAAAAGAAATTGTCATCTTGCCAATCGTAAGAAAAGATTTATTCCACGGGTCACAATTGACACAGCCCCCAAAAGGTACAATTTGATTTTTAAATAATCATTTCACTTTTATTAGTTGAGTTTTTCATTTTTTCCTCAAGTCAAAAATGAGAAGGTTCTGCTTTTTTTATTTTTTTGCTTTTGAGAGTTAGTCGCCAACCCCATGTTGCAACTTACTTAAATATTATGGTCATTTGTAAAATAAGTCTGTAGTTATTTTTTTTATTTTTAACAATTGAATTTTATCCTTCTTGTGTTTGAAGCAATTTTTATTTAGACAATTTATTTTTTTTTTTTTTTGACAAAATTTAGACAGACTAAAAAGGGATTAGGTAAAGTATTTTTATTTGGCAGTTTCATTTGGTTCAGAACCTTTGATGATGACCAAATTTAAGCATTTTTCACTCTCCATGAGGGAGAGACATTTAACAGATCTTATACAAGCATTTCAACACATCTGAGAGCAGCTGCAGAAGAGGGGGGGGTTCCTCACAATTTGACTTAAAAGAATTTGTTGTACTGCATTCCATCTGCGGAGAAAAAAACTGATAACCAGGGATGAAAAGTGTGAGAGGAAAATCCTGGGGAAAACACAGCGACCCATTGGAGGAGATGTTTTATTATGAGCTTCTTCTGCCCAGCCAACTGGTTGATTTTAGTTTGCACTTCACACAATTGGAGCTATTAGAGTCACCAAAGTGACCAAAAACTATGCAAGGGAATCATTTTCCACCAGTATAAAACCCGTGACTTTGCAGACGCACCAGAAATTGTTAAGAGTTTAGCTGGGGTATGCTACCCCACCCACCATATTCTGATATTGTCCTGTCAGTTTTTCGCATATTCCAGGCTCTGCAAAACCATTAATAACACTACTTCACTTGAGAATTGCAGAAAGTGCAAAACTAAAAAAACTGAGAAGCTCTGGGAGAATTATGTGCAAAATTATGTGGGTGTGTTAGGGAACAAAATGTAGATATATTGATGATTAAATTTGTTTACAACAACCTTAATTTACCATTACAAAAAATGCTTCTGACTTATTTTACAACCCATTATACCTAAATCATAAAATAATAGAGAAATAAAATTAAAAACAATGCAAAATACCACATGCTACCAAAGCATTGCAAAAAATGGTCTTCATATTTAAGCTTAATTTAAAAAAAATAAATACAAATAAAATACAAATACAAAAAAACACATCGTAATCATTTCAGTCAAGATGTTAATATTTATTTATTTTTTATGCAATTATATTTTTCATTTTTTATTTTTTTTTTTTTAAAGGAGTGTTACTTCATGGACCACCTGGATGTGGAAAGACAATGATCGCAAAAGCTACTGCCCGTGAGGCGGGGACTAGGTTTATAAACCTTGATTTATCAATCCTTACTGATAAGTGGTACGGTGAGAGCCAAAAACTGGCTGCAGCTGTTTTCTCTTTAGCTGTTAAGATTCAGCCCTGCATCATATTTATCGACGAGATAGGTCAGTACATCAAAGTGGAAAAAAAAGAAAATGGCCGAATGTTTTAACTTCTTACTTTTTCAGATTCATTTCTCCGCAGTAGGAATGTTCAAGATCATGAAGCGACGGCTATGATGAAAGCTCAGTTTATGACTCTTTGGGATGGCTTAAACACGGACCCAACCTGCACAGTCATAGTGATGGGCGCTACGAACAGACCCCATGACCTCGACTTGGCCATTAGGCGTAGGATGCCGGCTACGTTCCATATTACGCTTCCGGTATGTTTAGACGTTTTGTCAAATATTAAAATAGAAATTACCCGTATTTTTTTTTTCCTCCAGTCTCTAGAACAGAGAAAAGACATCTTGCAATTGATCATGAATGGAGAACCATTGGCAGACAACGTGGACTTGGATAAAATTGCAAAGCTTTCGGAGAGCTTCTCAGGGTCAGACCTCAAAGAACTTTGCCGGAACGCATCTATGTACAGGATCAGGGACTATATGAAAAACTGCCAAATTACAAACTCACCCAAAAAGTAAATTTCGAAATAGTAATTTTTAGTAACACATAAGACAAATTATGTAATCCCGATTATAATTAATTATTGTGATTTTTCAGCCTTAGTACACGTGGAGGATATCTCAATCAAAAATTAGAAGAAGATCAGGAAGAGTTCAGAGACACACTACGGCCCATAACCATGGAGGATATGGTTAACTCGTTGAGTAAGATGAAAGAGACCAAAGTGGTATGTTCAACGCTGTCCATGGACTGAGAAAGTCTGAACTTGAAAATCTGTTCATTTGTAAAAAGCTGTCAACGTTCTAAGGAATGTTCCTCCTGTAATTGTGCTGTTGTTAGGTCATACATAAAAGAGCTAAATTAAACATTCTCACATCACTGTGTTTGCTCTTTTTGTTTTATTTATTTATTTTCTTTTTTTGTGATTAATAGTGTTAATCATTAAATTAGATCAAATTATTTTCTCACCTGAGAAAAATATCCTAGACAATAATATACGGTTGGTTATTTATAAGTTATGTTAGACATTGCACAGAATATTGTTGTTATTACTTGTAAAAATTTTATTAATAATAGTTTGGATTTTTATTTAAATGTGTCCTGTTTCTGTCTACCCTCTTGGCTAGTTCTGTTATTACTTACATTGTGTTAAAACAGGTTTTCACATCCTCGCAAGTCCAAATTTAATATTTTACAACACTAATTATTGAGGATTTAAAAAATGTTCAGACAGATATTAAGAAGCACTTAATTTAATAGAAATTTGTATCACTGATAATTATAAAGTTATTTACATTTGCAGCTGAGTTCAATTTATCATTTAAAATGGTATATTTCTTTTATTTTTTTCTGTANTAAGAAAGATACATAAAATTGTATTTTTTTTTTTTAATCATAATTATTGATTAACGGCTAAATGAAGTTTGATATATAGTGACTTGTTGCAGGGAACCTGACAACAGTTGACTTTTGTGAAGGTTTTCCCTCACAAAAACGTTCTCATTTAAAGGTTCCAAAGAGATCTGGCAATAAAGTAAAGTACCAAGCATAAATTCAGAATATAAAAATATTTGTTGCAAAAAATATTCTTATATAATGAGGGCTAGACGAAAAACTTGGCGCTGTCAACACTGGTAAGCCTGACAAAAGGTGCTTTAAGGGATATTTACACCTAGAGAACTTGTAATTTCCATTTTTGCTCTGAAAGGTACAAAAAGATATGCAATAAAATATTTAAAACATGAATGTTAATTTAAAAAATGGATTTCTAGTTCTTAGCCTGGCAACAATTGTCATTTTGTGGTTTTGCATTTTGAAGTTTACAAAGGGATATTGAACAATATAAGGAATTAAGATTAAGGTAAAAATGTTAAAATGAGTTAAATGGATAATTATATGTGTTTAATGAACTTGGTCAAAATTTCCACAAAAAAATAAAAAAAAGTGTTTTTCTAAAATACTTCATTCTTGACCATCTAACTACTTCAACAAATATTGAACAGCCGGTCACTAAATAACACAATTTAAAATGTTTCTGCACAAATATAAAATGATTTTATTTTTGTTTAAATCAGTATGTTTTTTTTTTTTTAATAAAAAGGATATAACATTAGTTTTTCTTTTATACACAAAAATTCTTTATGAATAGAGTTAGTAATTTCATTTAAATTTTTTACTGGATAAATAATAGTAGTGTCATCAGCATAACTACACCCAGAAACTAAAACTAACAGTTTTCCCAGAAATGTTCAATTATAATAAATCGATGTAAACAAGGATTAAGAAAGGACTTAAAATTGTACCCTGTGGTACTCCACATTTAATTGATAACAATGTACTACAGCAAGATCCAATTCTTGTTTACTGAGCCTTATTAGTTAGTTCCATTAATGCTAATTTATTTACGAGCAAAAGCCCATTTTTATTACAATAATTACAAGAAAGACAAAGAACATTTAAAACATGAAAAATATTGAAATATTAAACATTGACAATAGTAAAAATAATGCCATACAGTATAATTTAGATACCAATATTTGAATACAAAAATAATATTTGGGATTTGGGTAGTAAATAAAAATAATTGTTGTAGGTGTGTGTGTGTGTGTGTGTGTGTGTATATATATATATATATATATATATTTGATGGTACAATACTGTTTTACACGTTTAAAAGAGTAACTTTTTTGTTTGTTTTTTTAATTTACCGAAAGTAATAGTTTATACGTCAAGGGTCGGTTCAAGTGTACAGTTTTACATCAAACATTTTAAAATTGCCAGTAAAGCTAAAACTTAAAAATACAATAATAAAATAACACATAACCTAACCTTTTTAATAATAGCAGTATTCGTAATAGTTTAGCAACATAATATAAACTTTAAATTCTTGATCGCTGAATTGCAGGTGTACAAAAAATATTTAGCTTTGATTATATGTATAATTTTAAAGAAAGAGAGTGAGTGAGAGCGAGAGAGAGAGAGAAAATAAAATCCATATATGTTAAGCGATCATAAATGACCATATTAATTATTTCAATTAATTTTCTTTTTAATAATATCAGTATCAGTAAATATTAGTAACAGTTTAACGACCTAACATAAACTTAAATTCTTAATCGCTGAATTGCAGGTCTACAAAAAATATTTAGCTTTGATTATAGAAGAAAGAGAGTGAGAGAGAGAAATATAAAATAAAATCCATGTATGTTTAGCCGACCATATTAATAATTGATTTGACCATATTAATTATTATTTTATCTAAGGCCTTGGCTGAGATGTAAGCCGAAAGTCTGTTCAAATTTCTCTCATATACAACTTTTTCATCTCAATCAAAACTTATATAAAAAGAATAATCAATTGAAATAAAATAAAATAAAAACAAAAATACATTTAAAAAAGAAAAAAAGAGAAAAAAGTTATAATTTGGTAGATATTATTTATTATCCTTACAATTTTATAATAATGGTTAAACCGAAGATCAGACTTCATATTCAAGAGTAATTATTCATCTATCTGGATAGTTTTTCATCTAGCCTAGTTAATTGATTGTCGATTCATTATTTGGTGGATTTTAAAGCCGTTTTATCAATTAATTACTGAGTTCCGGTTTTCCAATGAATATTTTACTTGTTAATTTTTGGGAGAAAAATTGGTCACATGGAAAGTGAACGTTGGGTTTTTGAATTAGCGCGGGAAAAGGCGGGACAGCATCACGTGATGATTTTTCTCGAGTATTTTCTCGAAAAAAGGTCAATTTCCCGGGCCCTTTTTTGATCCGAGGGTGTTTTCCGGGAAGGGCTACGCCACCGGCGAAGGGCGGAACTCGAGTCGAACTCAGAGGGCCGATAAAGGGCCCGGAGGCCGTTTTCAGTCGGGAAATCAAGAGAGCAGGATTGGGATAAAACAGCTCAATATGGACGATCGGGACTCGAGTTGAAGGAGAGATGCGGGCAAAGGGTTTTTTCTAATAAAACACGAAACGGAAATGTCGTCGTACGAAATAAGAAAGTAAGTGATTTTCACGTTTTGGCCTTGTCGAGAGCCGTCGTCGTCGTCGAGAGCACCGCCTTCGGCCCGCGACGTCGGCGTATTTTCATGTGCGTTTTTTTGACTTTTTCCACCCCGGCTGGATTTTGGAGTTTTTCAAAAGTTCTCTCGGCCCCGTCTTTGCCCGCTCGCGACGCGCCGGACGATTGATTTATCCGAGAGAAGCGGCGATTCGTCCCGGCGCGTCGCCCGCTGGAAAAAAGACACGGAGACCCTCGGCCTTTTCGCCTTCGACGCTCATCCGTTTAATTTGTTTTCTATCCGGACCGACCGCCCCGGCCGCTTCCAGTCAATTCGGCGGCTCGTCCTGGGAGAATCGCCCGGACGCCGTGGTGTTGTCAGATCCGGGGAAACTGACAACAGTCGCCTATCCGTGAAGGTTTACCCTGAGTGAACTTCCTCTCGGGGTTTCCTCTTTTGAAATCTTCTGTCGTCTCCACCCCAGAAAACTGCAGGCCCTTTGGTATTTTTATTATTTATCCTTTTTAAATCCTGTCACAAAGTAATACAAAACTAACGGAAAAGAATTTTCCGTTTTGATAAAACTAGCTCAAAACTTTTTTTCGTTTTTGACCTCATATTATGATCATACCTCCACTCATTTTCAAATAGAAAACAATACATACTTTTTAACGTAAAAGTAATAATTTATCCTGACAGAACGTTACTCTCATACCTCTTTTGACTACTTCCACCTAGTCAACCATAAAACACCACATTTTGATAAAATTATCTTGTAAGCTTGGTCTTGACCAACATAAGAAATTGTTTAATCTATTATTTAACTATTTTCCCATAAGTATTTAAAATTAAAGAGTATTTTATCAACAAAAGTAATTTACCCTGAGAGGACATTTACCCTCTCTTTTGAATACTTCCAGCTGGTTGAACACAGAAAACAGTAGATTTTTCTTTATTTAACCTATTGAAATTCATTTTTCTAGTGATTAACTGAGAAAGGTAATTTATACTGAGAGAATATCATTCTCTTAAGGATTACCACTTTTTGACTAGGTCTATTAGTCAAACAGAACAAACAGTATATTTTTATTTGAAAAAGTCTTGCAAATTTGGACTTAAAAAACATTACAAGCTGTTTAATGTATTGTTTTAACTATTTCTTTGACATGGAGTTGAGCATAATGTTATAGTAGTTTTTCAACTTGATAACATGGTCATAATTTCCAGAATTGTTTAAAATTAACGAGTATTTCACATCCAAAGGGCAAATTACCCTGAGAGATCGTTACACTCATGATTACTTCTTTTGATTACTTCCACCTAGTCAAACACAATTTTTTCATTTTGATAAAATTGTCCTGCGAGTTTGGTTTTGAAAACCACTAGGTGTTTAATGAATTATTTTACCATTTCTTTGACATTAAGTTGAGCATAATTTCATTGTAATTTTTCAACTTGATAACATGGTAATAATTTCCAGAATTGTTTAAAATTAATGAGTATTTCACCTCCAAAAGGCAAATTACCCTGAGAGATCATTACTCTCATGATTGACTACTTCCATCTAGTCAAACACAATTTTTTCATTTTGATAAAACTTTCTTGCGAGTTTGGTTTTGAAAACCACTAGGTCTTTCTTTGACATTAAGTTGAGCATAATTTTATTGCAGTTTTTCAACTTAATAACATGGTCATAATTTCCACGATTGTTTAAAATTAACGAGTATTTCACCTCAAAAAGGTAAATTACCCTCAGAGGACATTCCTCTCCGTTGAATACTTCCAGCCGGTTGAACACAGAAAACAATAAATTTTTCTGTATTTAACTTTATTACTTACTTATTTTAATTGTTATAGTGTGTAGTAAGTTTGGACTAAAGAACAAACAATACATACTGTTTAATGTGTAATTAACTTATTTTATTGGCATTAACTTGGAAAGGTAATTTAAACTGAGAGAACATAACTTTCTTCCCTCTTTTGAATACTTCCAGCTTGTTGAACATAAAAAGCAGTAGATTTTTCTCTATTTAACATATTGAAATTCATTTAATAGTGGCTTGTGGGTTTGGACTAAAAACATTCCTCAAAAGACAAGTTGAGCATAATTTTATTGTAATTTTTTAACTTGATAATATCGTAATAATTTCCAGAATTGTTTAAAATTAATGAGTATTTCACCTCCAAAAGGCAAATCACCCTGAGAGATCATTACTCTCATGATTGTGTCGTTTGACTATTTCCATCTAGTCAAACACAATATTTTCATTTTGATAAAACTCTCGTGAGTTTGGTTTTGGAAGCCACTGGGTGTTTTATGTATTATTTTACCATTCCGTTGACATTAAATTGAGCATAATTTTATTGTAGTTTCTCAACTTAATATTTCCACAAGTGTTTTAAATTAACGAGTCTTTTATCTCCAAAGGGTAATTTACCCTGAGAGGAATATTTTGAATATTTCCAGCTAGTTGAACACTGAAAGCAGTAGATTTTCCCTATTTAACCTATTGAAATGCATTTTTATAGTGATTAACTATAAAAGTTAATTTATAATGAGAGAATATCACTCTCAGGATTATCATTTTTGTCTACTTCCATATTGTCAAACTTAACAAACAGTAGTTTTCGTGTGATAAAGTGTCTTTAAAGTTTGGACTTTAAAACGACGAAAACACTGTAGACTGTTTAGTGTATAACCATTTCATTGACATTAAGTTGAGCATAATTTTATTGTAGTTTTTCAACTTAATAACATGGTCATAATTTCCAAAATTGTTTAAAATTAATGAGTATTTCACCTCCAAAAGGCAAATTACCCTGAGAGATCATTACTCTCATGGTTGCATCGTTTGACTACTTCCATCTAGTCAAGCACAATATTTTCATTTTTTATAAAACTGTCGTGTGAGTTTGGTTTTGAAAACCACTGAGTGTTTTATGTATTATTTTACCATTTCATTGACATTAAATTGAGCATAATTTTATTGTAGTTTTTCAACTTAATAATATTGTCATAATTTCCAGAATAGTTTAAAATTAACGAGTATTTCACATGTAAAAGACAAATTACTCTGAGAGGACATTCCTCTTGGTGATTACTTCCAGCCGGTTGAACACAGAAAACAATAGATTTTTCTGTATTTATCTTTATTACTTACTTATTTTAATTGTTACAGTGTGTAGTAAGTTTGGACTAAAGAACAAACAATACATGCTGTTGAATGTGTAATTAACTTATTTTATTGGCATTAACTTGAAAAATTAATTTAAACTGAGAGAAAAACTTTCAAAAATTCCCTCTTTTTAATAAGTTTGTTGAACATAAAAAGCAGTAGATTTTTCTCTGTTTAACATATTGAAATTCATTTTATAGTGTTTAGTGCATTTGGTCTAAAGAAACGTTCCTAAAAAGACAACTAATACATGCTGTGTATGTATAATGATTATTTTTTTATGTATTAACTTTGAAAGATAATTTACACTGAGAAAACATAACTCTTAGGATTCCCCTTTTTGCATACTTACATCTTCATTTTCATGTGATAAAATGTCTTGCAAGTTTGGACGTAAAAAAACCACTATAGGCTGTTTAATGTATTACTTAACCATATCTTTGACATTAAATTGTGTATAATTTTGTTGTAGACTTTTGACACGATAACATGTTCAAAATTACCCACAAATGTTTAAAATTAATCAGTATTTCACTTTGAAAGGTAAATTACCCTGAGAGATCATTATTCTCAGAATTCCCTCTTTGGACTACTTCCAGCTAGTCAAACATAGAAAACAGTATATTTTCATTTTGATAAAGTGTCTTGCGAGATTTGTTTAGAAAAACACTATGTACCGTTTAATGTATAAGCGCAATAGTAGTTTTTTTTTTCTTCAACTGGTTACATTTTTTAAAATTAAATCATAATTAACTCTGAAGTTAATTATGAAATTAAATTAACTTTATTGGCTTAGTTATATACATATAGTTTGACAAATAATGAAAACTATATCAGTAGCATTAATGCTAAATTGACTTGAAACATGATTTCAGCGAATCTGACACATTAGTCATTACATAATGGGAGAACATTACTCTTATGATCTCTCTCTCTCTCTCTCTCTTTTGAATACTTTCCAACTGGGCAAACATAAAAAACCATATTTTAATCTAACCTATGTTGAAATTTATTTTTGTAGTGTCCGTTGAGTTTGGGCTAAAAAACATTACTAACAAAACAATATATGTTGTTTAATGTATCATGACATTAATGTCTGCCTAATGGATTTAACTTGTTAACATAAAATTTTTATAATTTCCAAAAATGTTATATATTATCTTCATAAAACAAAAGCCAGTAATTCACTCCGAGAGAACATTACACACAGGATTTATGTATAGTTTAACCATTGTATTAACAATCAATTCAGAATAATTGCACTTTTTCAACACAGATGGATACATGTTAATGATTTTTACACATGTTATAAATTAATCAGCGATTTACCTTGGAAAGGTGATTTACTCTGAGAGAACTTAACTCTTATGAACCCTTAACACTTCCATATAGTCAAACTTAACAAACATTTTTTTGCTTTTTAGTATCGTTCAAGTTTGGACTAAAAAACTACATGCTGGGAAAAAAATACAATACATGCTGTTTAATAGTTCATTGCCAATTTTTTGACATTAATTTTAGCATAACGGATCTCTTCATAAAATAAATACCAATACCTTACTTGTAACTTTAAAGGTAAATTAGCCTGAGAAAACATGCTCTCATGATTACCTCTTTTGCTAGTTGATCATAGAGGACAGTAAATTTTCATTTTGATAAAGTATCTTGTGTGTTGGTCTGAAAAATTAATATACATAGTTTAATGTATAATTTAGCAATTTCACTGACATTTACTTCAGCATAATTAGTTTTTCAGCTTGGAAGCTATAAACATGTTTATAATTTCCATAAATGACACAAATTAACCAGTATTTTCCTTCAAAAGGTAATTTACCCTGAGAGGACAATTCTCTCTTTTGAATACTACCCTATGATATTTTCCCCAATTTATTCCTTTTAATTAATTTTTGACAAGGTCTCATTTGTTTCGCCAGTATGGATTAAAAAAGTACATACATAATTTCCACAAATGTTATGAATTAACCAGTGTTTAACGAATTTATTTGAAAGGTAATTATCCTGATAGATCAATACGCAAATGATTCAATCTGGAATTTTTTGCTAGTTGTTGAACTAAGAAAACAGTATATTTTCATTTTGATAAAGTATCTTGCGGGTTTGGACTTAAAAACCTCAAGATGCTGTTTAATTTTAACTATTAATGTATAATTTAACCTCTTTGTTGATATTTGCTTCAGAATAATTAGTTTTTCAGCTTGGTAACATGTTTATAATTTACATAAATGTGACAAATTAACAAGTATTTACATTTGAAAGGTAATTTACGCTGAGTGAACATACTCTTAGATCTCCCACTTGTGGATAC